TCTACCGGAGGAGGACCTGGTGCGAGGAAGAGCGGCGGGGGGGGGGAGAGGGGCAGTGCGGTAGGGGAAGAGACGGTAAAAGGGAACCAACTCGTCAAACGTGACGTCCCGAGAGGGCAGGACACGGCGCGAGGTGGGGTGGTAAAACTGGCAGCCAGGCGCGTCAGGGGGAAAGCCAAGGAAGACGCAGGGAATGGCGCGGGAGGAGAGCTTGTCCGCGGACGTATCGCGGACAAAGGCACGAGAGCCCCAGACCCGGAACACCGACGCATCGCCAACCTCCCGCGTCCAACGCAGTGTCAGCGAGGTCTCCGGCAAGGAGACACGGGGCCAGAGGTTGAGCTGATGCGCAGCGTACTGGACCGCAAACGGCCACAGAAAATGGGGGGCAGCCGCATGGATCATGGAGGTACGAGCGACCTCCATGACTAAGCCAATGCGGCGCTCAGCAACCCCATTCTGCTGCGGAGAGGCCGGAAGCGTGAACGACTAGCGAATGCCCCCCCACGACAAAAGTCTCGCAAGAGGTCGGAGGAAAACTCACCACCTCTGTCAGAGTGCAGACGCAGGACAGGAAGGTCCTCACGAAACCGCTCGCGGAGCTGGAGACGGACAGCGCGGATCTAAGGGATCAAAACATCAGGGACCTCCCCCTTGCTGCGCAAGGGGAAGACCGTGGTGTAACGCGTGTAGTCGTCAACAACTAGCAGAAAGTAGCGCTCGCGGCCCTGTCCACGGACGCGGGCTGGGCCCCACACGTCCATGTGGAGAGTCTGCAGGGGAGCAGTCGTCGGGGGAAACGAGGAGGAGTGAGGAGCGGCGCGCTGCCGCCCCTCGACACAGGGAAGGCAGGGAGGGGCAGGGGAGGGTGGGAGGGGAGGCAGAGACCTGGGAAGACCAGAGAGAAGGAGACGGTAGTGCATGCCACGGAGGCGCTGCACTGAGGGGTGACCAAGGCGGTGGTGCCAAAGGAGCGTCTGGTGCGACAGGGCGCGACACGAGCAGGGGGCCGCTAGCTGACCTAACGCAGACGCAGACGTAGCTACTTGGGGAGGCTCAGTAGTCAGTGTGTACAGACTCGACCCAGGCCGACGGGTGAACGTGGCCAGGTGCCGGCCAGTCAGGGAGGACATACAGATCGCCACACGCTGCCCTCCTGAAGTAAAGGTGTCAACCCATACATCCTGAAGGACGGCGTTGCTCACCAAGTTCGTAGAGAACGAGGGGAGGTGAAGACCTGACAGTGAGCCTGACGGAACCGCCGGACACGGGAGAACAGTGGAGGAACGTGCAAGGACTGGGCCCCCAGAGGGGTCAGCCAGAGAGACAGCAACAGGTGCAGGGAGCGGTGTGACTGTGGTACTGTCGCGAAAGAAACAGCGGGAAGCACCTGAGTCAAGCGTGAAGGTGTGCAAGGCCGCAGCAGGCGCAGTACCAGAGAGAGCAGACTCACTAGCACATAGAGCAGCAGCCTCTATACCTGGGTCGGGCGGCACATACAGCTAACAGTCACCCTCAGCACTAACAGTCAATGCATACATGGCAGTATGGATAGCATCATAGTCAAGAGCAAAGATATCCACACCCTGCCTAAGCAGCTCCAGCCAGCAAAAAAACTCAGCCGCGTTGCCAAACTCTGCACGCCAGGCGTCGCTCAGACAGGCAAAGCAGCAGGACTGTGTGTGACCAACTGTCCCGCAAGTCTGACCAGCCCGATCACATGTGCGAATGACGTACGGGCAACGAGCAGTACTCTGAGACGCCCCACGCTGAGCGTACCACTAACGAAGCTACAGGGGCGTAAGGGTCTCGCGCGGACGCCGCTGCAGCTGCATCTTGCCACCGCCAGAAACTCCCCACTGACCAGCTCCAGGGCGACTGCCACTACGGCCGCCGCCACAACCCCAACTAGCGTACCACTCACGAAGCTGCTGGGGCGTGAGGGTCTCGCGCGGACGCCGCTGGAGCTGCATCTGGCCACGGCCAGAAACTCCCCACCGAACAGCTCCACCGAGACTGCCGCTACGGCCGCCGTCACCACTCCCACTGCTGCCACCACCGCCGCCACCACTCCCACCGCCACCACGAAGAGAAGTCATAGCGGGCGAAACAAGGAGGTGTGAGACCAGCACGGCGGTACGCAGGGAAGGCAGGGCGGCGAGCAGGCACTAGGGTAGGTCAGGGCGGTGCACGGTCAGGGAAGGGCGGTGCGCGGCCAGAGCAGGGCGGCGCGCTGCAAGTAGGGCGGCGCGCTGCAAGTAGGGCGGCGCGCGGGCAGGGGAGGACGCGCGGGCAGGCAAGGGCAGCGCACAGGCTGCAGAGGGCGGCGCGCGGGCTGCCAAGGCAAACGCGACGGGCAGGGGCAGGGCGGAGCGCGGGCAGCAGGGCGGCGCGCGGGCTGCAGAGGGCGGCGTGCGGGCAGGCAGGGGCGGCGCGCGGACAGGCAGGGGCGGGGCAGACGGGCGACGCGGCGGTCTGGCGCAGCCCGCACAGGCGACGCGACGGGCAGCGGCAGGGCGGACGGGCGACGCGACGGGCTGGGGCAGCCCGCACGAGCGACGCGAGGGGCAGAGGCAGGGCGGACGGGCGACGCGACGGGCTGGGACAGCCCACACGAGCGACACAACGGGCAGCAGGGGCGCACGGGCGGCGCGACGCGACTGGCAGCAGGGGCGCACGGCGCGACGGGCTGTAGGGGCGCGCGACGCGACGGGCAGCAGGGGCGCGCCGCGCGACAGGAAGCCGGGGCGCGCGACGCGACGGGCAGCAGGGGCGTGCGACGCGACGGGCAGGGCGTGCGCAGGGCGGCGCGACGCGGGACAGGGCAGGGCGTGCGCGGGCAGCGCGACGCAGGGCAGGGCGTGCGCAGGGCGGCACGACGTGGGGCAGGGCAGGGCGTGCGCGGGGCGGCGCAACGCAGGGCAGGGCAGAGCGCGCGCTAGGCAGCGCAACGCAGGGCAGGGCAAGGCAGCGCGGCAGCCAGCAGGGTGGCGCGCGGGCAGGGTAACTCGACTGTTGGGGCAGCGTGACGAACACGGTAGGGCGCTACGGGCAGGGTAACGCGCTACGGGCAGGGAACGATTCGGTGGGCCCTAAAAAAAAACGGTCCTAGGTCAGGACCTTCTCTGAAACCATGTCAGAATCAATAAGCGAGGATGGATGAACTAGCAGCATGCAGTACAAGTAGCAAATCCTAATTGGGTTGTACCCCATATGGGCTACCCCACTATAGCCTACACAACATGCAACATATAAGTTTGACACATTCCCTTATTACAACGAAGTTCAAACCGTGCGGCGCGGGAACCCGTTTCAAACATGTTCCCGCTCTTTTCACTTCGAATGTTTCTGCCTGCATCGGTTTTGATCAGACGGTTACCAATGTCGCTTCGACTCTTCTGACTCCTCGGCTTCGTACACTTTAGAGTCGGCCCCTGCAGCATACAGGAATGCCTTCTCATAAAGTTTCATATCGTAACACACCCGTACAACCCCGTAGCCTCCCACGTAGTCCAGCTACCGTTGTTGGGTGACTCTTCGCATTCTCCTCCTCAATGGCGGACGACTTGTATCGCGTTTCACCTCGCACCTGGTGTACCCCGGCACTTTCATTTTGTAGTTGCTCCAGTTTTGTCGTGAGCCATTGCATATTCATCCCTATCTGTCTCAAATGCTTCATAAAATCGTATAGCTGCACATGATTAATTTCCCATGCCTGCTTCGAACGGGTAAGTGGTTATGTACAACATTACGGATAATTGTGAAGGCACAATCGCTACCATAGTCAGAGTGAATTTATTGTATGTGATTCATACATGATCGCTTACCACCACGTCAATCGCTCTCCGTAGTCACAACTACCATGGGAACGCAATGGAACCTAAAAATGTATATCTGGTATCAAGTGCTATGAATTATAGAAGAATATGGATAAATGGATTACCAGAGAAGTGTATTTGGAATGCGTAAACAAATGAATGCAGACGTAGCTTTGGCTAGAAGCCCCTCGCTGGGCGGGGATGTTAAAATTGGGCACATGTGTGGGCGCGCTAAGTCTGGACTGGACGCGGCTCAAAGTAGCCTCGGAAAGCGATGTATTCGAGTTGAGACTCCCATAAAAAAAGCCGGGGCTGTACGCGATATAGCATAAACCCAGTCAGGAATGGGAAATCCTTATGCGCAAGCCATGGAAGAATAAATGGAATTAAGTATAGACGCTGAGAGGTGTGCATTTAATATATATATTCAGCTTGATTTATCGCTGCTAAGGTTTTGAATTTTACGTTAGTCGTAACCAGAAAAGCTCCGTTGCCGGGATTTGAACCCGGGTCGCCTGGGTGAAAGCCAGGTATCCTAACCAGGCTGGACGACAACGGATCCTTGGACGCTGCAATAAACCCAATCGGTTCTCTATAGCTACGCACGAAACTCAGAAGTGCATGATTCGTGAATCCTTGAACCGACGTTTAAACCCCAGTACCATTCTCTACCAGTCGTTTGTCACGCTGTGCGTTGCTTGTCGGCAAATGGATCCCCCTCCCCCCCCCCCCCCACCCCGCCCTCTCCCTCTACACTGATGCAAATAGTGCAGATCGCTTCGGTATGCAGATTAGGGTTTCCGTTCTGCAGGACTAGTGTTGGGTGCACTGCGACTGCGAAGCCAAGCAAGGCCTACTCAATTCCAGCTGCCCGCGTCCCTTGTGCAAACCCCGACGTCATGAGTCACTGAGGCTTTCCAACGGATCACTCAGGTCACCGCAGTCATGTCTAAGCCAGGTTTCCGCGTCTCCTCAGCTCCTAATTCCATCGCCGGTTCCCGCGGGGACAAACTTAGAGTCGTGTCGGATATGTCTCGTCCGACGAATCGCGACGTCAAGCCCAGCCAGCAGCATAGCCGGCGAGCCGGTCTCAATCCCACCGCCGGCAACGCCGCCGGCCGGGGAGTCGCCAGCGCCGGCGACGCGATCGCGAGGGGATTGAGCGGTGGGGGTCGCAACGGTATGAATGACACTGTTCCGAGGGGTGTGTCCAATTCCGGTGCGGTGTTGAGCGGTGCTGGTGGTACTGGCGGCGTTGGCGGTGGGTCGTCGCCGTCGGGGAATAGTCGGCGGCTGGCTTCTGCCGTGACTGCAGCGGCTGCAGCCGCAGCGGAGCGCGCGTTGCTAGCCGACGCGGTGGCCGCGGCAAACCCCGAGACGCGCTCGCCGTTCGCTAGCCTCGGCGACGCCTGCGACAGGTGAGGAGGCAGCGGCTTGCGGGGCGGGGCCGTGCGACAGGAGCGGTGCTGCGCTGCGATCATGATAGGGAAGACTAGGGTTTCGTGGTCTTAACTACCTTTCGGGTGCTTTCAACCCCTCTTTCCCCACCCTCTCATCCCATATTTTGATCTCCACCACCCACCTGCCCCAACCCATCCTCCCCCACCCCCCTACACACCCACTCGCTCACCTTCTCCTTCCTACTCATTTCCCCTCCCCACCCCTCCTTCCCCGCCCCCCCCCTCCCCCCCTTTTTTTTCCTTCTCCGCGCTTCCTCCACACACCTTCCACCCTCGCGCTCTTCCTCCCCACATGCCCCGTGCGCAGGCTGCTCCCCTTCCACGTGTTCGCGGATTACGATCCCGCGCTCGTCGCCCTTCACTCCTCAACCGACCTCGCGCCTTCCGCCTCTGGCGCGTCTAGGGCCCGTTCCCCCCTCCCCGCGTCCCACCCGCCTCCCTGCAACCCTCCCCGTTCTGCAGCAGCCGGTGGTTTAGGGGGAGAGCGCGGAGCGGCGGGGGCGGGGGCTGGCGCACAGGCCAGTGGCGTGGGGAGCGGGTGGGGGGGAGGAGGCGGAAAGGGAGACGGGGGGAAGGTGGGAATGGTTGGTGATTTGAGTGGCACGAGTGAAAAGGTACGGGGAAAAGATGGTTTAGCGAACGAAGGAGGGGATGGGGAGTATGAGACCAAGGCTCGAGTTCTGCTGGAGAAGCAACGGCAGCAGCAGGTGGTGGCGGCAGCACGGGAGGCTGAAGCAGTGGAGGGACGGAGTATGGCCCTGGTGAGACGAGGCGACGAGGTGGTGGGGAGGTGGGGGAGGATGCGGGACGGGTGGAGGGACGGGGAGGCTTTGCGGGGAGCGGAGCAGCTGTTTCTGGCGCGGCTGCTGGTGAACCATGAGTCTGCTCTGCTTCGGAGCGAGGTGGAGGGTGTTGAGAGGGAGAAGCAGAGGGTGAAGGAGGAGCGCGAGAGGGAGAGGGAGCGGGAGAGAGTGCGAGAGAGGGGGAGGGAGAAGGAGACGGAAGTGGAGCAGTGGAAGGAGCGTGTGGAAGTAGAGAGAAAGAGGAAGCTGGGGGAGGTGGAGGCTGATGAGAGGGGGCGGGTGGGAGGAGTAGGAGGAGTAGGAGGAGGAGGAGGAGTAGGGGGAGGTATAGGTACAGAATTTAAAAGAGCAAGAGTGAATCTTGCTGCTGGAAGCACTAGAGACGCTGCAACTGCGGCGGCAGCAGCAGCAGTTGAGCGAGAATGGGGAATGGACTGGCAGGACGGGGGTGAGGGAGATGGTAGGGAAAGAGGAGGAGAGGAGCAGTGGAGTGAGGAGAATAAAGAGACGCAGCAGGGATGGCAGCAGCAGCTGCAGCAGCAGCAGGGAGAGCAGGACTCAAGAGTTGGTGGTGAAATAAAAGGGGACGAGGGGGAAGCGGCAGAGCTTGATGGAAAGCGGAAGAAGGAGGGCGAAGAGACAGAAGAGGAAGAAGAGGAGGAGGAGGAGGAAAGTGAGGAGGAGGAGGAGGAAGGGAAAGACGATGAGGAGTGGAATGAAAAGGACATGGAAGAGGAAGAGGACGATGATGAGGATGATGAGGAGGATGATGAGGAGGAGGAAGAGGAGGAGGAGGAGGAGGAAGAGGAGGAGGACGAGGAAAGGGTGAAAGGTGAGAAGGAGGAGGAAGAGGAGGAGGGGAAGGAGGATGTTGAGGGTGGAGAAGAGGAGGTGGAGGGGAAGGAGGTGGAGGAGGAGGAAGAGGAAGAGGAAGAGGAAGAAGAAGAAGGGGATGAGGAGGAGGAGGACGAGGAGGAAGAAGCGGAGAGGAGGGGTGCAGGGGAAGGCGAGGAGCAGGAGGAATATGAAGTGTCAGAGGAGGCAGGGGAGCAGGAGGGATACAGGGACATGGGTGCGCATGATGCCTGTGGCATGGATGGGGATGGTGGCATGCGGCATGGGGATGGCGGTATGCGGCATGGTGGCATGGGTGATGGTGGTGGGGGTGGTGATGTGGAGGGTGATGATGGGGACGACGGTGACATTGATGCTGAAATGCTCCTGGCTTTTGCAGGAGGGGAGGGAGAACGGGATGGATGGTGGGACAAGGAGGGTGGTGATGGTGGTGATGGCGGTGGTGGTGGTGATGATGGCGATGCTGCTGCTGCAGAGGGGGGGCAAGGACTTGGGTACGGGGTGGGAGAGGCGCCAGAGAAGGAAGGGAGAGCTGGGGATGAGGAAGGGGAGGAAGGAGGGGATGGAGGAGAACGGCAAGAGGAGGAGGCAGAGGGGAGTGATGATGATGACGATGATGATGGGGATGATGATGATGAGGAGGATGAGGATGAGAGTGAGAGTGATGGTGATGGTGATGGTGATGGTGATGGTGATGGTGATGGTGGTGGTGGTGGTGGTGGTGATGGTGATGGTGATGGTGATGGTGATGGTGATGGTGATGGTGGTGGTGATGGTGATGGTGGTGGCAATGGTGATGGTGGTGGCAATGCTGGTGGGGAGTTTGGCAGTGGTGATTGGCATGCCCAGCCATCATGGCAAGACCAGGCACAATGGCAGGAGTCGGGGCAGGGGCAGGGGGAGGGGCAGGGGCAGGGGCAGGGGCAGGAACAAGTTGAGGTTGGACGAGATGTTGGAGTGATGAATAGAAGGGGAGAGGAGAAGAATGAGGGGGACGAGGGCACTCTAGGTTTGGAGGAGAGTTCAGAAGAAGAGAGTGAAGAGGGAGATAGTAGCAGTGGTGGGAGTGCGGAGGAAGATGATGGGGATGGGGATGGGGATGAGTATGAGGAAGAGGATGGGGATGGGGATGGTAAAAATGATTTAGAAGACGGCAGCGATGGTGGTGGTTGGAGCGGGTAACCATACAAGAGGAGCGAAGGCAGGAAACCATGTTTTCCATGGTTGCTGGTGGTGTTCCCGTGCCGATTCAAGTTCGGTCTTCGAAAGGACCATCGTTCACACATGAGTCGGTTGTGTATTGGATGGCGAGCAGGCCAGCAGCTGCATTGCTGCATGCTGCCACCTCCGGTCTGTTTCTCGGTTTTTCTGCCTATGTTTCCTGTAGGCAGCATGTGCTTTCTCATGATGTCCGATGTGCTGCACAGCGGAATAATTCTCAGCACTAATAAGCTGCAGCATAATTGTAATGGTCCCAGATGCAAACCGTGCCAGAATAATGCACCTGTGGGCTTTGAGCAGGTATCTGCTCTCAAGCCGCGCTAGAATAATGCACCTGTGGGTGAAGTGTCATGAATCTCACATTGCAAGCCTGGACTCTGGTATCCTGGAATTGTGGCAAATGAGCAGGCCGCTCGAAGATTTCAGTGTGACGTTCTTATATTGCTCTGAATACCGTACTCACATTCAAACGACTCAGGATTTATTGACACATGTACAAGACCCTCCCTCCCACCGTCTCCCCCCTTCCCCCTCCCCTCCCCCCCCCCCCCCCTCCCTCTCCTTCCTTCCTCCCATTCTGTAAATGAAATTATCATAAGACCCTAGGGTAAGTGAATTATTAATTCACCTGAAATGAAAATGTGTAGATGTGTAATTTGACGGGTGTAGAAAATGCAGATCCACTGTTCCCTTTCTGATTTACCGCCTCTTTACCCTCGTCATTGTCCCTGACTTCAAATGGCCTGACACCGTCTCTAATCGCATCCCCTGCCAACTTGAAACTGATTGGCCGTCTCAGCTGTTTCTCTGAACACAGTGGTACTCGATTGGCTGTTACGACTGGATGATTCATTTCGCGGTTCGAGTACTTCTGCTCCAAACTTGTCTACCATTGGTTTGAACCAACGTTTGCAATTGTGGCTGGGATTCATCCAGCCGAAATTGGTCCTGAGAAGAAGCATGCCATTCTGCCCAAATGGTTCTCACCACTCATTATCCACCCAGATACATTATTCGGACAGGTGGGATATTCCACATTAGAAAATGCTGTGGGTTCAGCTTTCGTATTTTACCACGAAGTTTTAGAGTGGCAGTGCAGTCAAGTGACCGTTTCGTTTTCTGGGCAGCATCTGTTGATCGTGTGCTTTCCCATCGACCTTGCCACACGACGCTACACCTGGACATTCCAGTTTCCATATTATTCTGTACCTTCGAATATGCCTAATTTCCTAATTGAAAGTCCTGCAACCTGCTAGAAAACAAACAATTTGTCTTGAACATCTATTGCTGCTGCAATAAATGTGAGCCCACACGAAACACAGCCAGTTTTCATGTGGACGCTGTTGTCAGAACTGCAAAACTATAGCTAGAGAACTTCCCCTGGACGTAGTGCAAATTTATGGTTCTGGTGAGTTCTGGTCAAGTGTCCTTTCTGGTCAGTGCATGGAATGAAGCTCGAGGATGAGAGTAGCCGAATCGCCCACACTCAAGACTTGACTGTTCTCCCTAAGTTTCCATCTCAAACCCCCACTTCTTCTACACCTGAGACTTCGGGGGAAACATGTGCCAAGGAAACGAGGTCTGCCTCGGGGACACGAGGGTACTGCAGTGTTGGAGCAGAGGAAAATGGAGAGACTTACGTCAGCAAGATTGTAAGCGGAGGGGGTGGGAAATTGGGGGAGGGAGCCTGCAAGTTTGTTTGGGGAGGAAGGAGAGGAGCTGGGGCTGGGCTGGGGATAAGTGAAGGCGGAGATGAGTGAAGCGGAGGGGCGGAGGCGTGGGCGGAGCGGGGAGGTTGCAACAGACCTACAGAACAGGCTAGGTTTGGGACGTTTTGGGGAAAAGGCAGTGGTGTGTAGAAGGTCCATAAGACCTTCGGTTCGGTGGCGTGCGTGGCGCTCCGAGCCGACCAGCAAGTTGTAGGTAGGGGAGGGCGAGGCGAAGCGAGGGCGAAAGGGAAAGCGCAAGTCGGATGTGGTGTGGTGTGAGTGGATCCTCCTCTTCCGAGTTTTGACTTGTCTCCCCTCTAGCCCGGCAGCCTGCCTGCCTGCCTTCCTGCCTTCCGTGTCCTGCCTGCCGTCACCTCACCACACCACCCTCCACCCATGTTGTTTCCAAACACACACCCTTGGCCTTGGGACCTCACCCACGCATCTCTCCACCAACCATCGAGAAGGAAGAACGTGCTGGAATTTGAGGAAAAAGCCTTTACTTTTCCTGCGAGTCCGTCTAGCTCTTTCCACAGGGTTTAGAAGAACTTTACTCATTGACAGTTACTGTGTTTGCCCTCTCTGCGTCCCCATCCACAGCCGTCTCCGTAGTGGAATTTCGGCAACTACGAATCTTGTTCGGCCATGGCGAACCAGAAAGCACGAGTAGCGTTCGGATAAAACCGCTGAGTGTTTTAAACGCTTAAGAATTCCGCCATGGCGGAAGGGCGATGCTCGCAGGAAGCCGACAGCGGCGGCGGAGCGACTACGCATAGGCGGAACGAATTGAACTCTGCGCAACCCGCGCAGCTGCTGAACGCGCGAGAGCTGGACTGCATGCGCGGAGCAGGCACAATGTTCCAGGGGCAGGATTCTAACGCCAATCTTAAGGGCGTAAAGTCGTCGCAGCAAAAGCAGGAGCAGCAGGACCAATGTCACCATCACCAGCGCCGCTTGGACGCAGAATTTGCGGTTTCGAGCGCCAGCGGCGGCTGCACAAGCATGTCAGTTGGAAACGGAGAGGATTGCGCCGCAGAGAGCTTGCGCGAGTTAAAGCGGAGCCGGGCGCAAGAGAATGCCTCCTGCGGGAGGGCCGGGATGGAAGCCGAGGGGGTAGGCGGAGTGAATGCAGACAGTGGTGAGGAAGGAGAGGGAGGACGAGGAGTATGTTCGCAGCAGCTCATCGCCAAACGTCAGCGTCGCGAATCTCCGCCACCGCCGCCGTCCTCGCCCACGCCGTCGTCCCGCGAGTCCGCCGCGAACGGCCCGCCCGAAGGCGCAATTCCCCGTCCGCCACTCCCTGCAGGCCCGCAATCGGCGGATAGGACGGCGGGTGGATGCGCCTCTGGGAGAGGAGCATCCGCCGTGTGTGGCGGAGGCGGAGGCGGAGGCGGAGATGGAGGCGGGGGAGAATTTGGAGCGGACGCGCGGAATGCCCCCGCGGAACCGTCGGCAACTGAGGCGTCGTCTTGTGTATCGCTGCCTCCGCTAGGCAGCATGGAGCACGCGCCCACAGTCTCCGACATGTCGCTCGAACAGTCCTGTCCGCCTAGGCCGTGCGGCGAAAGGGCGTGCGACGAACGGCCGTGCGACGAAAGGCCGTGCGACGAGAAATCCGCCGACGCAAGGCCGTGCCCGCCGCCCGTTGCTGCAAGCCCGCTCTGCGCCGGCGTTTCTGCGCAACCCGCCGTCTCCGCCACGGCTGCCTGCTCTCCCCCTGCGCCCGTCGCGCATCCGCCGCAAGCCTCCGCCACTTCGTCCCGCCCTGCGCCGTCGGAACTGACCCTCCCCCCGGCGGTCGTCGCTACTGCGCCGTTCGAGGCGTCTCGAGCGCCTGTTCCGCCGCCAAGCGGCGAGGCCCCGCAAACTCAGTCAGGGGGAACTAGCACCGTTCCCGCCGCGCCTGTTGCGGGCTCCACGTGGCAGCGGCTGGACGCAGTGTACCGCGTCGGCCGGCAGCTAGGTTCGGGGCGGTTCGGCGTGGTCAGGGAAGTTGAGAACCGCGCGACGGGCGAGCGGCTCGCCTGCAAGAGCATCTCAAAGACCCGAATCGCCGACCCGGAGGAATGGGACGAGGTTCGGCAGGAAATCTCGGCGATGCAACGGTTAGCGGGGCATCCGAACGTGGTTCAGCTGCGCGGAGTATTGGAGGACGAGCGCGCCGTGCACGTGCTGATGGAGTTATGCGAGGGCGGGGAGCTGTTCGATCATCTGCAGCGCAGCCGCCGGTTGTCGGAGCGCGAAGCGGCGTTCGCGTTCCGCGACCTCGTGCTCGCCGTCGCGTTCTGCCACTCGCAGGGCGTCCTGCATCGCGACTTGAAGCCCGAGAATATCTTGCTCGACACGTCGCCCGCTGCCGCCGCTGCCGCCGCCGCCGGCGCTGCGCGTGGTGGTGGTGGTGGCGGTGCGGGGCTGCCAGGAGGAAACGGGTTCGTTTCCAGCCCTGCTCCCGCCACCGCGCCCGGTTCGGCGGCTGCTGGCGGAATTGGCAGTTCGGCACCAGGTTCGGCGCCAGGTTCGGCGACTGGTTCGGTTGGTGGACCGCCGGGTTCGTGGCAGCAGCAACGGCAGCAGCAGACCCAGGGGCAGCAACGCCAGATGTTCTCGCTGCAACCGCATCACCAGCAGCAGCAGCAGCGTCACCACCACCAGCAGCAGCAGCAGCAGCAGCAGCAGCATCACCAGCAGCAGCAGCAGCAGCAGCAGCAGCAGCAGCAGCAGCAGCAGCAGCAGCAGCAGCAGCAGCAGCAGCAGCAGCAGCAGCAGCAGCAGCAGCAGCAGCAGCAGCAGCAGCAGCAGCAGCAGCAGCAGCAGCAGCAGCAGCAGCAGCAGCAGCAGCAGCAGCAGCAGCAGCAGCAGCAGCAGCAGCAGCAGCAGCAGCAGCAGCAGCAGCAGCAGCAGCAGCAGCAGCAGCAGCAGCAGCAGCAGCAGCAGCAGCAGCAGCCGCAGCAGCAGCCGCAGCAGCAGGCACAGTACATGTCTCCTGGTATGGTCAACGGTCGGTGGCAACAGCAACACATGCAGCAGCAGCAGCAGCAGCACACGCCGCTACGACAACCACAATTCAGGTCGTCGGCGCCGCAACCCGCGCTGGGTCAGCAGCAGCAGCAGCAGCAGTTTCAGGCGCGACAAGCGAGCAGGGAGCAGGAGCAAGGGGGCGAGGGCGGAGGAGGGCAGCTGGCGCAGGAGAAGCGCGCGCGCCTATCGAGCCACGTGGGCGGAATCCGCAGCAGCGATGCGGTGATGAGGGATGCCGTCGCAGGTCACGCGCACGCGCCATCCCCGTGCGCTGACACAAGGAGCGCGGAAGGGCAGATGGCGCAAGGGCAGACGGCGCAAGGGCAACTGGCGCACGCGGAGAGGGCCGCGCGAGTTCCGGCTGCCCCGCCTCGCTCCCCATCCCCCCTCCCGTCCTCTCCCCCTCTCCCTTCGGGGTGCCAATCCCCCCTCGCGCTTCCTCTACCCGCGCTTCCGCCGTCCGTGTCCCCTGCGGCCATCACTCTCTCTACATTCACGCCACTGCCGCCCATGGAGGATCTCACTCTGCCGCCCGCCGCCGCGTCTGCCGCCGTGTCCGCCGCTGCCGCGTCTGCCGCCGCGTCCGGCGCTGGCGGCGGCGCGGATGGTTTTGCTGCTGGGACGGGTGGTGGCGCGGCGTCTGCTGCATGCGGCGCGGACGTGCGGACGCCAGTGAAGAGCTTCGACGCGCATGCGAACGAGGCGGCGAGGAGCGTGCTGCCGTCGCCCATCAAGGCGGACGACGCACCCGTTGTCGCCGCCACTGCTGCCGCTGCTGCCAGTGCTGCTGCTGCTGCTTCCGCTAGTGCTATGGCGACCAGCCCGTGTGGGAAAGAGGCGGGCATTGGCGTGGGAGTGGGAGTGGGAGTGGCATCGGCGATGGATGTGGACGGGAGTGGTAATGGCGCTGATGCGGATGGGGATGGAGGCAGCAGCGAGGTGGTGCCATCGGCAACGCGGTCGCTGAATGTGGCGCAGGGAGCAGCGCTGCCGTCGCCCATCAGGCCGTTGACCGCACAGCAACAGCAGCAGCAGCAGCAAGCGCAGATGCTGCCGTCGCCGATTAAACCGCTGGATTTGTCTTCGATGCTGTCTCCTTTGAAGCCCTTCAGTCCCAGCACTGCTGCTGCTGCTGCTGCTGCTGCTGCTGCTGCTGCTGCTGCTAATTCTGCTCCTTCTGGGTGTGGTTCTAAAGGCGGTTCTGTTGGTGCCGGTGCTGGCGGTGCTGGCGTTTCTGGCGACGGCGTGAGTGGCAGCAGAAAGCTGTCGAGGCTGTTTGTTGCACGAGCCATCTTCGCCCCCACTGCTCCTTCTGCACTCCCCTCTTCTGCTGCACCCTCTCTCGCCTCAAGCCGGTCCGCTGCTCCCGCTCCCCCGCCTTTCCTCGCGCCTGCTCCTATCGCCGTTTCCGCCGCTGCTCTCTCTGCAGGCCCCTGTGCTGCTCCCCACTCCCTCGCGCCGCTTCCCTCCAATGCTCCCGCCTCTGCCTCTGCTGCTGCCACTACCGCCGGTACCGCTACCGCTGCTGCTGCTGCTGCTGCTGCTGCTGCTGCGTCCGCCTTTCCAGTTGCGCCCCACCCCACGTCCCACCTGCCTGCCTTATCCTCCATCCCTGCCGCTCTGAACCTGCCCGCACTGCCACCCACTCCCCAGTCACCCCCTCCTCTCCCCCATCCCGCCCCCCTCCCCCATTTTCCTGCCCCTCACGCACAGCCTTCGCACACTCTCCCCGTCCCCCAGCCCTCTATCCCCCAAGCGCCCACCCCCCACACAGCAGTTTTCACCCCCCCTTCTTCCCCCTCCCCTGGTGTCCGGTCCGCCCCCTTCTCTTTCACTCCCGTCCCCTCCTCCCCTCTCCCTTACAAGCCTCCGGCACACGCCCACACACCATCCCACACCTACACCCTCCCCCGCAACCACCCTCACACTCACACCCTCCCTCACACCCCCCACCACCACCCGTCCTCCTACCCACCAGCCAGCCCCCCCTCCCACCCTCGACCCTACCCGCTCGCCTTCTCCTCCCCGTCCTCAGCCCCTTCCTCCCCCTGCCACGTCATCTCCTCCTCCCCCTTCTCCCCCGCGCCCCCTCGCCCTGCCTGGAGGGTCAAGCTAGCGGACTTTGGCCTCTCAGTGCGGCTCAAGGCAGGGCAGAGCGTTTTGGGGCCTGCTGGGTCGCCCATTTACATGGCTCCCGAGGTTATCTCTGGCTCGTATGGTTTTCCTGCAGACGTGTGGTCGTTGGGGGTGATTCTGTACTCGTTATTGGCAGGCTACCCGCCGTTCTGGGGCCCGAATACGGACGCTATCTTTGCGTCGGTCAGGGCGTACTCCGATGCTGCGAATGCTGCCACTGCCGCTGCCACTGCCGCCGCCGCCGCTGCTGCTGCGGCGGCGGCGGCGGCGGCCGCTGGGGCTGCTGGTGGTGGGCTCATGAGCCCTGCTCCGAGAGGAGCAGGCGTGCCATACAACCCCACTCACACTCACAATCCCAACCACAGCAACCACGGCAACCACGGCAGCCCGTTCACGCACGGGCGTGTCCTCGGCAGCCCAGCGCGCAGCCCCTGCCCCTGCCCCTCCCGCTGCCACGGCCGAGCAGCCCTCTCCGCTGCAACCGCCGCCGCTGCCCTCGCTGCCGCCACTGCAGCAGCAACAGCAGCAGCAGCAGCAGCAGCCAACAACCCAAGACCTGCCGCCTCCTCCTCCTCCGCCTCTGCCTCTGCCTCCACACCTGCAACCGCGTCCGCACCAGCACCTGCATCTGCACCTCTCTCTTCCTCCTCCTCGTCGTCGTCGTCTCTGCTTGATTTCTCCTCTGCGCCCTGGCCGAATGTGTCTACAGAGGCCAAGTCGCTCGTGCGCTGCCTGCTCAACCCGTGCCCTGGTCGCCGCCCCACAGTGGACCGCATTCTCACGCACCCCTGGCTGCTCTACCACACGCAGGGGGGGCGCATCGTGAGACGCCTTGTCCGGCCCGGCACGCCTGTGGGCTCGCGCACTCCCGGTGCTGCTGCTGCTGCTGCTGCCGCTGCTGGTCCTGGTGGTGGTGGTGGTGGCTCATGGTCGCTTCCGGCTTCGCCAGTCACGGTGTCTCTTGCTGCTCCTGCGCCCGTCGGTGCAACAACAGCGGCAGCAGCAGCAGCATCTGCGGCGGCTGGTGCTATGTGTGTGACAGGGGCGTTCTCACCTGCTCCCGCTCCTGGCGCTCCTCCTCCTCCTCCTCCTCCTTCTCACCTGCAAGGCTCCTCCCCATGGCCTTCTCCCAGGATCGCTCTTTTCCAGCAGGCGGGCGCGAGAGATGCGGGGGAGCCTGCCTATGCTGCTGTGGGGCATGGTGGGAGTCAGCAGGGGGGGAACCAGCAGCAGCATGGTGGGAATAATCAGGGTAGGAAGGTGCAGCAGGGCGGGAGCGAGCATGGTGTGAATCAGCATGCGGGCATGCAGGGGAGCTACTACCAGCACCAGCAGCAGCAGCAGCACCAGGGCCAGCTGATGCAGAAGCAACAAGGATTTCAGCAGCAGCAGCAGTACCAGCACCAGCAGCATCAGCAGCAACAGCAGCAGCAGCAGCAACAGCAGCAGCAGTACCAGCACCAGCAGCAACAGCAGCACCAGCAGCATCAGCAGCAACAGCAGCAGCAGTACCAGCACCAGCAGCAACAGCAGCACCAGCAGCATCAGCAGCAACAGCAGCAGCAGCAACAACAGCAGCAGCAGTACCAGCACCAGCAGCATCAGCAGCAACATCAGCAGCAACATCAGCAGCAGCACCAGCAGCAGCAGCAACAGCAGCACCAGCAGCAGCAGCAGCAGCAACAGCAGCACCAGCAGCAGCAGCAGCAGCAGCAGCAGCAGCAGCAGCAGCAGCAGCAGCAGCAGCAGCAGCAGCAGCAGCAGCAGCAGCAGCAGCAGCAGCAGCAGCAGCAGCAGCAGCAGCAGCAGCAGCAGCAGCAGCAGCAGCAGCAGCAGCAGCAGCAGCAGCAGCAGCAGCAGCAGCAGCAGCAGCAGCAGCAGCAGCAGCAGCAGCAGCAGCAGCAGCAGCAGCAGCAGCACCAGCACCAACACCAGCACCAGCACCAGCACCAGCAGCATGCCCAGTCTTTGCTGCACGCGCACCACCATTCAAGCCTCAGCCACGGGGGCTGCCCCGCGCCCTCCTCCGCACGGCGCACGCTCACAGGCAGCCGCCTGAGGCGCGGCGCACACCCGCTCTTCCGCGACATATTCGCTGGTCTCTCCAATGCAGTCTCCTCCGCCCCTTCCTCCCCTGCCACCACGCCGCCTGCTCCTCTTGCCTCAGCGACACCTGTTGTGACCGGTGGGGCGGGCGCGGGATTGCCTGCAGAGGTAGCTTCCCCTGGAATGGCAGGTGTTGGTGTGTGCGGCAGCAGCAGCAGTGGTGGCAGCGGCAGCGGGAGCGGCAGCGGCAGTGGTTGTGGCAACGCAGGCAGCTCGCATTGTGTTGGCTCAAGCAGGCTTGCAGCATCACCAGTGCCACCTGCAGCACTGGCTAACGCAGCAGCAGCCGCAGCAGCAGCAGCAGCAGCAGCAGCAACCGTCACAGCAGCAGCAGGTGCATTCTCCCCGCTTCCCTCCCTCTCCTTGGACCAGCCGTTGCTGGCAGGCGCAGCTGCCATCCCACCTGTCGGTAACCAGACCCAGGGGGACTGCAAAGGACCTCTGGAGTCCCTCGTTGGGTCGGTTGCACAGGGGCTCTTGGTGACACAAGGGCAGGGGGGGATTAGGGAGAAGGAGACGGGTGTGTTTGGCGTGCGAGCGTTTACCCCTGCGGACTTGCATGCTGCTGCTGGTAGTGGTGATGGTGGTGACGGTGGTGCTGCTGCTGCTGATGGTGGTGTTTCTGTCAATACCACGGCAGATCATATGGCTTCGGCGACCTTTGCATGCACGTCTCCTCCTCCCCTTGTAATCTAGTTCATTCATCTTTCGTACCGTATCTCCTGTCTCCTTCTCTGCCTTGTGTTTGCCTCTGGTTTCTCCTTTTACTCCACTTCGCTCCTATGCATTTCCTCTGGTGTCAGAGGACCTCTGCCTAGCGTGTAGTTTATATGTCGGTCATTACCGTATTCGCGTAGAGAGCTTCTAGAACCTGGATCTATAGGCTAGTTATGTGGCATGCTACTATGCTGCTGCCACGTAGATCTTAGTAGCTATCTTTTGTCTGGATAAAAGTCCAACTACTATCACAACGAAGGCCTTTTCCACATTCTGTCAGGTAAATTATTTTGTTTGGATTGCAGATGCTCAGCTACAAACCGTTTTTTTGTATGTATGTATGTAATTTCTCTCTCAGAATACACAGATTTATTCTGGCAGTAGTCGTTGAATGCAGTGGCCCTTGGATTCACAAACAGCATATACACTCATTCCTAATTGTTGCCTGACCTAAATGATTAATATCCCTTTTCTTAATCCCCATACTCTTCATTTACAGTGTACTCGTAGTTTTCTTCGAGATGATCGGTCACTACAGTGACTCGGGCTTGGAACTCGCAGAAGGTGGAGGACGTGGAACGGAGCTGGTGCGTCTGTCTAGCGTCTCGTCCATGACGCAAGGCTCGGGTTGTCTTTCCTATTCCCCCCCTGTTTCCTGCCTACCAACACCTCGCTGCTTTGCTGGATCGAACTTGAGACTCATCAACGCTGGTGCAGTGAGAGCCTGAGACCCTCGGCAGCGCACTCGCCTCACAGCTATTTCCTTACGTAACCGCCATACAAGCTGCCCGTAGTGGTGTCTCTTGATAGATTTTGTGTGGAATTGTGCGTGGTGGCGAAGAATTAGTAGATTTGACCGCGTAGTCAGCCAGGCCTGTCTAATCCGTCTTGTTCAGTGGAGACTATTTTCTGAGGCTCAGGCAGCATGGGGGCTCTAATATCCAGACTCTGGTTCCTCATGTTCCCGGCCAAGGAGTATAAGATTGTGGTCGTCGGTTTGGACAACGCTGGTAAGACGACGACGCTTTACAAGCTACATCTGGGCGAGGTCGTGGTGACACAACCTACGGTCGGGAGCAACGTGGAGGAACTCGTCTATAAAAACATACGATTCGAGGTAAGTTGTACCACACGCTAATCCGCTCGCGGATCAACACAGGTGCCATAGGTTTCGGGTCCGCTTGGGCGGCTGAGTCGTACGTCGGATGGTCCCTTGGACCTGCATAGCCTGGCGTGAATTTTATCGTTGCAGCCGAAAGTAAGGTCGAATGTACCTCGGAATCAGGGCCGCGTGTCGTCCGCTGTATGTGTTTCGAAATTAGGGTTGCGTGATGTGAGCCGAACTCATTCCGCGGCTAGGTTTGCGTCATTCTTGCCTGACGTCAGCCGTATATATCTTGCAACTAGGGCTGCGCGAGATGCGCGCATTCGCATGAACGCTATTGTTTCAAGCAGCGTTTCTTCCATGTATTTGCTTCTTCGATGCGACCGTCTTTCATGATGATCGAAACCTGCAGTTATGTCGAGTGCCTCCTGCTCCACCTATCATTATGATAGCTGGCTTTTTTTATCTCGTACAATGTCCCTACGTTAGTAAGATTCATTAGTTCGTCGGTCATGCGTCAGCCATGCCTTGTTTCCGCGTTATGCTCAGAAAGCCATCATATCCTTATTGCATAGTTGCCAAGGAATACTATTTCGTCGAGTTTGGGTTTTCCATCGCTCTTTTGTACATTTCCTGCAACATTGTTTTGGCAGGTATGGGATCTAGGAGGGCAAGAGCGACTACGACCATCCTGGGCCACTTACTACAGAGGAACACACGCAGTGGTGATGGTAGTTGATTCTACAGACCGAGGCCGCATCGGCGTGACCAAGGATGAGCTGTTTCGCTTGCTGGGGCACGAAGATTTAGCTCACGCGGTCATTCTCGTCTTTGCCAACAAGCAGGACCTGAAGGAGGCCATGACGCCAGCAGAAATCAGTGAAGCTCTGGCTCTTCATCTTATCAAGAACCACGACTGGCATATTCAGGCATGCTGTGCACTAACAGGGGAGGGCCTGTTTGAAGGGCTTGGGTGGATTGCACAACATGTAACAGGTAACCGAGATGCAGTTTTATCATGATAGACTTCCACTGGGAACACCACTCACTCAGCACACATCATGTCATCATTTAGTACAGGTGCCTCTCTAGTTTTCTGACAGCATTTGTCTGCAAAATCCTTACATTTTGACGCTTTTTTCATGTATACAGCTTCACGAGTTGCTAATGAAACCCAGCACGGTATTTGCGGAAACAATTGATGTGTTGAGTTTTTGGATTGCAACTTAGTAGATGTACATTCAAATCAAGCTCACGATTGTACTTCTCAAAAGCATTCTCAAAAGCAGCTATCATCAGCTAAACTCGATACAAGACCCAATTATGTCGCATCATTGCACCTATCCCCCTCCCATCATAAAGCCCACAACCTCCCACTTCCCCCAAACCTTTCCTCATATGGAACCCTAACCCTTTCCCTCATCATTTCTCCCATCACTTAGCGCAGCCATGTCGCATCCTTTCACACCTGGGAGGCCTAACAAGGCCCGAGCGGCCCTCCCGCCGAAATCTACTCCCACGGACCGCCTCAAGGCTGCTCGTCAGCGCTCGCTTCTACGCAGCGAAATGGGCGTGCTGCGCTCCCGACAGAAGCGAAATGCTTCTCGCCCCTTCGCTTCCCCCGGGAGCGCGCTACCCCCCTCTTCCGCAGGCGCGTCAGGATCGTCAGCCATGAAGCGATGGCTGCAGCAGGAGCGCGATAGCGGCGGCAGGCGCGCGTTTATCGCGGGGAGCGTAGGCGAAGACGCGGGCAGCACGATGGGCGACGACGCCGCATGCTTGGCTGACGTGGACATGGTCGACGGGGAGGTTGAAAGAGGTGCGGGAGGTGCGGCGGAGGAGGGTAGCGGGGAGGGGCTTAACGAAGGCGCGAGGAAGCGACGACGACTGGACGGGCAGCAGGAAGGAAACTCGGAGGGCAGCAACAGGAGGGACAGCATTGTGCGGAGACTATGGCCCGGCAGCGGCGGAGAGGATCGGTCGGGCGGGGCGGGAGAGGAAGGGGGAGGGGGAGAGGGAGGGGGGGTGGGAGAGGGAGGAGGGGGGAGAGACTGGATTGTCAATGGGGGCAGAGACGGTGCTACAATTGCGTCCGCAATGATCGAGCACTCGGAGCTTAGGACCGAAACGGAACACGATTATAGCGCGGATTGGGGCTTGGTGAAGGTCAATGACCCGGCGGAAGCCACTCCCGCGAACGATTTGCAGCTGGTTCTTCTAAACCCGCGCGAGGCTCGGCGCGCAGGGATGGTGGAGGAAGACGCGCGGCGGTGGCTGGCGGAGCTGAAGCGGACGGAGCGGAGACTGCCGGCCGCGCTTCGGCACCGGCCCCAGGAGATGCTGGAGTGGGTCGCGGAGCGGCACGGGGCCGGCGGACAGGTCGGGTCGCTGGCGTATTTCCGGCGGCGGCTGCGCATGTGGCGGTTCTTGGAGTTTTTGAGCGACTACCCCGCGGAGGCGAGAGGGGTGGAGTGCGTTGAGGCGTGGTGCCAGGCGATGGCGCGGCAGGAGGAAGAGGAGCAGGGCCGCATGCTGGGATCCTGGGAGAGCGACGAAGAGGCGGGGGATGAAGAGGAATTAGATGACGATGATTGGTTAGATGAGGACGAGGAGGAGGAGGGGGAGGAAGAGGACGAGGATAACGAGGGAGAAGAGGATGAGAGGGGGGAGGAGCAGCATGCCGCCGGGGAAGGAGGAGACGATGTGGAAGGGGAATCGGAGGAGAGGAGGGAGAGAGGGGGAAGCGGGGAAGGGGAGGGTGCATCAAAGGAGCAGAATGGTAGGAGTGGTGCTGGGACCAGGAGCAGCCAACCCGGATACAGAGCCCGTGCCGGCGCTCAGGGCAGTGGCGCCAGACGCGGGAGCGCTGCCGGCGGCGGCGGCGGCGGCGGCGGCGGCGGTGGCAGAGGGGAAGGAGGAGGCGGGGTGCCGTGGTGGGTGGCGTGGCACGGGCAGCTCGCGCACCCGGCGGTGGCGTCGCGGCGGCGGCTGCTCACGCGCGATCTGGAGTGCCAGTTCGCGTCGCGCGGCCCGTCGGGGCGGTACAGCGAGCTGCCAACGTACTTCCGGTCCGTGGAGGGCGGCGAGCGCAGGCAGCTCGCGATCCCCCTCTCGCGCATGCTGCAGCAGCAGCGCCAGCTCGCGCTGCTCCGCGAGAGGGACGCGCAGGGGCGGGGCGAGGACGCGGGATGGTCGCTCGCGCTGGTGGCAGGCGAGGGGGGAGGAACAGGCGCAGGGGGAGGCGGTGGGCGGATGGGATCAGGGCGGAAAGGGGCGGGACGGGGAGGGCGGAGTAGCAAGTCCCACGCTTCCCTGCAGAAACAGCAGCCACAGGCAGCAGCAGCAGCAGCAGCAGCAGCAGCAGCAGCAGCAGAAACAGAAGCAGGGCAAGAGGGCCAAGGCATGTGGTATGGCGGCACGGGGCGGGCGGTGGGGCTGGGCACAGCAGCGGAAGAGGCTCGTATGTTTGCACCGGTGCCAGTGTCAGCAGACGAGGTGGTGTGCAACGCTCCTGGGTGCCCGTGGGGCGTGCCGGTGGTGGCACAGACATGGCTGAAATGCGAGAAGCACTGGGACAAGGTGCACGGTGGCGGGGAGAGTGGCACGGGGTTGGTGCGGACGAGGAAAGAGGTGCTGGCGGAGAAGCTGGTGGATGCTCGCGCGGAGTGGGAGTGGGCCACACACGAGAGCAGAGACCACGTGGTGAGCTCTGCTTTGCTTGCTGCATGGCCTTGGGCAGGATCACGTGGAGTCGGTCTCCTAGGTTTCCTGAAAGGGGTTCTTTACCTGGTTTCCTGTCTGAGGTTCTTGTATCCTCCCACCTGCCCTTGTGCGGGGCCCCTTGCATGCCCCTGTTCTCCCCTACCACCCTCACCCTCACCGTCGCCCCGTGTCCCCGTCATGTGTCACGCGTGTGTACATGCGTGTGTGAGAGCAGCGGCTGCTGACGGGCATACAGCAGGTGGCGTCGGAGCGAGTGGCACTGCTGGGTCGTGTGGACGCGCGGGCAGCCTCAGCGCTCATTGGCCTGCTGGACCCATGCCAGCTCAGAGAGATAGGTCAGCTGCAAGCAACGCTACATCATTCTCCTCCTCATTTCCTCTGTTTTGCCTTTGCTTACATTCCGGCCAGCTCCCTGCCACATGCATGCTGTTGCTGCTCGCTTGCCTCTGTGTGTACTCGTTGGTTCATCAGCTTGGCTGTCTTCTGCTGATGCTGCCTTGTCACCAAACTCGTTCCGTCTCGCCTTGCCCTTGTGTTCCCGTCCCACACAGCCTCGGCCGTCCTCTCGTACGCCACACAGCGCTTGCAAAGCCGTGCTCCAGCACACACCGCAGCAGCACCAGCCGCCGATGCAGGAGCAGCAGCTGCTGCAGCAGCAGCCGTTACAGGTGCAGCAGAAGCAGCAACCGGGAGGGGGGTGGTTGCATCAGGTGTTCCAGCAAATGGTGTTGGTCCTGGGGGGAGTGGACGAGGAGGACAGCATGGTGGTGATGGTGGTGTAGCAGGGCCGGGTGGTCGTTCTCTCCCCAGTGGCAGTGCCTTGTGCGCGGGAGTGCGTGCAAGGAAGTAAATGGGGAGGAAATGGCGTGGGGGGACACAGCAGCAGGCGCAAGGTGGGGTTGCGGATGGGTTAAGAATAAGCGTTTTCAGGGGCGCGGTACTGGAGGTGGATGGGATAGCAAAGATAGCAGTGGTTAATGCGGTGGAGAAACCAGAGAGGCACGTGGGCGAAGACATGAGAATGCAGGATGTACCGTAGTTGCTCATCGAGGAAGTTGGTGGGGTTGGAGCAAAGGCCGTGCACGTGAAAAGCAGGGGAGTGGAAGTTGTTAGGAAGGAAGAATGAGGTTGCTAGAGGTGTGATGTGGTGTAATATCATTATTATCATCAGCTAGATAAATGTAGTGTAGAATTCAACATGGCGCACTAATGTTGCCCACTGGACCGCGCTGTGTTCTACTAGCATTTGCTGTGCAGGAGTAATCTAGGCAGCCCATCGGAAATCGCCGAATCACAACAATCCGCAGCACTCGCCAGTGCGCACACACATCATCGTTGGCACTCTTTCCATTTCTGCGTGCATCAGTTCACATCGTTGTTAGGTGCTTTGGATTGGACTCACTTTGCTTCGCTTCACAACGCAAACCCCTCCACCTCCGTCCTTTGTCCTCCTTTGTTCCTCACTCCAATTTCAACGGTTCTTACCTTTACTTCGCGTTTGACTTCCCACCTCGTCATGGCAGCCACTAAGATAACCCGCGCTATAGTCCCGCCGTGGGCTCTATCACCCACGGCACCCCGCCAGCGCACATTCATTGCAAGCACTGCTGCCTCTGATCCTCGCCTTGCAGCTAGCGATTCCGCCTTCATGTCGGGCCGCCTAGGGATCTCCGCGCAACTCCTGGAACCGCGCGGATCAACCTGGGCGCACAAGCACGCGTCGCAGGCGATCGGCGTCAACGGCTCCTCGGGTTTTGTGGTGCCCGGGGGCGCGAGAACCGGGAAAGCCCGCGCGTTGGTGGTAGTGTCCGCTGCGTTTGCAAAGAAGGTGAAGGTGGGCGCGGGGAGGCTCAAATGGCCTCCGATGCGGCGAGACGGCGAGAACGCGCAACCTAAGAGCGTTTCGCAGAGGCGGTGGGAGGTGCTTATGTCGGAGCTGCTTGCAGCGGGGAAACGGCGGAGGATCGGCGCGGCGGCGGACGGGCGCCTGGTGGCGGAGATCATGGCGGATGCGCGCACGGCGGGGTGGGTGCAGCGCACGGATGTGGTGGGGGCGTTGGTGCGCCTGCATCAGCTGCGCATGTGGCACGCGGTCGTTGAGGTGATGCGCTAAACCCGCCTGGGTTAGGGTTGAAGCTTCACCTGTAAAACCCTCTCCCCCTTTTTCTAAACCCTCTCCGTTTTTTTTTTGTGATCCTTTTCTCACACGTCTCTTCTCACACGCGTCTCCCCTCACGGGCCCCCCCGTCACCCCCTTCCCCCCCTCCCCACCCCACCCCCCCACCTCCCCCCTTCCCCACGCGTCTCCCCCCACGCGCCCCGCCTCTTGCGTCTCCCCCCCGTGTCTCCTCACACGCCTCTCCCCGCACCCCCCGCAGCTCTTCGATTGGCTGCAGGCCCCCGAGCAGCGCGCTTCGGGATGGTGGCGCATGTCGGAGCGCGACTACGCCATGCTCATCACCGCCGCCGCGCGCTGCCACCAACTCCCGCGCGCGGAGCAGGCGCTGCGGGACCTGATGAACGAGCCCGCGGAGGCGGAAGACGCGGAAGGGGGCGCGGAAGGGGGCGCGGGGAAGAGCAGCGTGGCGGAAGGAAAGGGCGCGGGAAGGCGCATGGAGCCAAACACGGTGGTGATGACGGGAATGGTGGAGGCATACGCGCGCAACGGGCAGCTGGAGCAGGCAGAAGCCGTGGTGCGGCGCATGGAGAGCAAGGGCCCCGCGCCCTCCGCGCTCACGTACCAGTGCCTACTCAAGGGCTACGCCTCGGTGAGCGCGCGCGGGGGGGGGGTGATGGGGGAGGAGGAGAACGGGGAAAGAGAGCTGCGGGGGAACGAGAGCGGGGCGGAGAACGGAGAAGAGAGGCGGAGATCAGGGGGTTGATCGAGGGGAGGTGGGGGATGGAAGTGGAAGGGTCGGGAAGGTGGAGGGTGTGGGATATTTTCCGGGGTTCTATGTTGGTTGTCAGGGTTTGAGGGGCGGAGTTTATGCAGATGGGGCAGCAGCTGCTGCCCAAGTCCCCCTCACTCTCCCCACTCCGCCCCTTATTCCTCCCCCTCCCCGTTCCCCCTCCCCCTCCGCGTCCCCCTCCCCCTCCCCGTCCCCGTCCCCGTCCCCGTCCCCTTCCCTCGACCCCTCTCCCCCCATTTCCCGCTCCCCACAGGCGGGGCGTGTGGAGGACGTGGAGCGGATATTCGAGGAGCTGCTGCTGCGCATGAATTCAACTACCCCTCATTCTCCCCACCTCTCTCCTTCCCCCCCGCCCCCCGCCCCCCCCCCCCCCCAGGCGGGGCGTGTGGAGGACGTGGAGCGCATCTTCGAGGAGCTGCTGCTGCGCAGCGGACAGGGGCCCTTGGAGGCTCGGGCGGAGGGGGAGGCGGAGGGGGAGGCGGAGGGGGAGGCGGAGGGGGAGGAGGAAGAGACAGAGGGGGAGAAGTTGGACGTGGGGCAGGTGGGGAAGGAAGCATCAGCAGCAGTAGCAGCAGCAGCAGCAGCAGAGCCAGCAGTAGCAGCAGCAGCAGCGCCAGCAGTAGCAGCAGCAGCAGCAGCAGCAGCAGCGGAGGCGGAGGCGGTGCGGGTGGACGAGCGCATGTTCAACGTGATGATAGACTGCTACGCGCGCGCGCGGCGAGCAGAGGACGCGTCGCGCGCGTACCGGCGCATGAAGGCGCTGGACGTGGCGCCGTCGCCCGCCACGTTCAACACGCTCATGGCCATGTTCGCCCGCGAGGCGCGCAGCCGCGAAGCAGAGGCTGTTCTCAAACAGGTGGGGGGGGGGGGGGGATAAAGTACATGGGAGCAGGATGGGAGGAGTGGGGGGCCTGGTTATTGTTTGATGCGAGGCCCGCAGCCGTGAGGCTGGAGCCGTGCTCAAACAGGTCACAAACCGTCCTACCTACCTACCTCCCACCCAGCCCCATGGTCCATGGAGTATGCCACAACAATCATGCGAGCCCACCCAGCCCAGCCTCATGACTCACGAGCCGTCTGGTCACTCTTTCCACCCCCTTCCTTCTCCCCTCGCTCCCATGCCCGGGCGCAGATGCAAGCGGCGGGCATGCGGCCGGACGTGGTGACGTACACGGCGCTGATGAGCGCGTATGGCCGTGCGGGCCGGGCAGAGGAGGCGCAGGCTGTCTTCCGCGACATGGTCATGTGCCGCATCCGGTACGCTCTTACCACTGCTGCTGCCGCCGCCGCCGCCGCCGCCGCCGCCGCCGCCGCCGCTGCTGCTGCTGCTCTGGATGCTATGCTCTGGATGCTATGCTCTGGATGCTATGCTCTGGATGCTATGCTCTGGATGCTATGCTCTGGATGCTATGCTCTGGATGCTATGCTCTGGATGCTATGCTCTGGATGCTATGCTCTGGATGCTATGCTCTGGATGCTATGCTCTGGATGCTATGCTCTGGATGCTATGCTCTGGATGCTATGCTCTGGATGCTATGCTCTGGATGCTATGCTCTGGATGCTATGCTCTGGATGCTATGCTCTGGATGCTATGCTCTGGATGCTATGCTCTGGGTGCAATGCTCTGGGTGCAATGCTCTGGGTGCTATGCTCTGGGGGTGCATTCCGGGGGTTTGAGGTGTGTGAGAATACATGAATGGTGATGTGCCACATCCGGTACGGTATCGCTCTGGCCGCTCTGGGTGGGAGTCATGTGCGTGCTCCTGTTTTTCTCTACTGTGTTTTATGACTCCTGAGAGGGGGATTGATGTATGTCACACCTCTTGATGACTGGCTCGTGCTAAGGGCTTTCACGTTCCTTCATGCCACTCCTCTTCTTCACCACTTTCAATTCCTTGCTTTTCCCTCCATGCCCAAACCCGCCTGATTCCATCCAACCCCACCCAACCCCCCCGCCCAACCCGTGCCAACCTCGGTGGCGGAATGATTGTGGATGTGTGGGTGTGGTGGCTTGGTGGTGCGTTCAGTCCCACGGGCATCTCATACACGGCGCTGATAGACGCGTACGGGCGCGCAGGCGACGTGGACAATGCCGAGTTCCTCTTCAAGGAGATGAAACGCAACCGGTACGCCCGCACACACACATGCATGCATTGCACTGCCCTGCCCTGCCCTGCCCTGCATGCATGCATGCACGCAGGCACGCACACACTCACGCAAGCATGTGTGAGGCGGAATGCATGGCTAGAGGTGAATTTTGTGATTCGAGCTGGGGCATGTATGACTTTCAGTGAACGGCTGGGCGTGTTTCTGCTTTTCTCAAAGCATTTCGCTCCCACAACTCACCGTCACTCGTGCCGTTTCTCCCATTTCCCCACGCCCCCACCGTGTGCCTTTCCTCTCCTCCCCCGCTCCCCGCTCCCTCTCTCCCTCTTCTTCCTCCCCCCCTCTTCCCCCCTCCTCCTCATCACATACCTGCCATCAGAGGCGACGTTCACGTTTTTGTAGACATCCCAAAAGGCAATGTTCAACGTTTTCTTCGTTCTCTTCCCACCCTCTCCATCCGCACTCGCCTCCCTCTCTCCCCCCGACCAGGAACCTGCCATCGGAAGCCACGTTCAATGCACTGCTGGCGGCGCACTCCAGAGCGGGCAGCATGGAGCGCGCAGAGCAGCTGCTGCGCCAGATGTGGTGGGACGCACAGGACCGCGGGGAGGCTCCCCCCACAGGATCAGCAGCAGCAGCAGCAGCAGCAGCAGGAAGCATGCAGGAAGGGCAAGGGGACACGCTACTTGAGAAGGAGTCCTGGTCCGGAGTGGAGAGAGAAGGTGCCGCGGGCACGGGGACGGGGACACGGGGGAAGACAGGGGGGCGGTGGGGGGTGGAGTTTGGCGACGGGGGGCGGGTGAGTCCGAGCGCGAGCACGTTCAACATCATGATGAACGGGTACCGGCGCGAGGGGGACCTGAGCAAGGTGGTGGGCATGTTTGAACGCATGCTGGAGGCCGGGATAGACCCGACTGTCGTGTCGTACTCTGTGCTTATCTCCGCTCATGGGGACTGCGGGGATTTCGACGGTGCGGTTGCTGCGTTTAGGGAGATGGTGGAGGAGGCGGGTATGCGGCCGGATAAGGGGGTAAGGACCGCGCTGCTGCATGCGTGTGACGTGGGAGAGGGGGAGGGGGAAGGGGAAGGGGATGAGGAGGATGGGGAGGGGGGGTGGGTGGGTGTGGTGCGGGTGAGGAAGGAGGAGGTGCAGCAGCTTCTGGCGCCGTATTTTGCGGCGGAGAGCTGGGGAGAGGAGGGGTTGGAGGCAGAGGAGGATGAGTGGATGGCTTAGCTTGAGTGTGTGCGGTGTGGACGGGCAGTTGGTGCATGAGCGTGGATGGTGGATGGTGGATTATGGATGCTGGATGGCCACACCTGCGTGTGTGTGTGAGTGAGTGCGTTTACTAGATAAACACTGTGCTGTTGCTGTTGGTGGGTGGGTGGGTGGGTGGGTGATATGGGTGGGATACCCTGTACCCAGAGTGATTCGTCAATGGAGTTGTATGGAGTGTGCACTGCACTGGTGCGCTATCTGCGATCAGTATAAGATCGGGATAGTACAATGCTATGATAGCGAAGGTGGCCAAAATGGCCAAGGTGCATAACTAATAACTCCCCTCAACCCAAGTCCTGCCAGGGCTCTGGCAGGCAGCCTCAACTCATGTATGGTACCGTATTTCATAAGATAGCTTTTGCGCTTATGCCTGATTACACGTTTATCAAGAAGAATAAATTGCTGTACTGTAGCCATTGGCAAGAACACCAAGGCATCCTGTTCCTTTCGGTGCGATGCGACACAAGAAAGCAGCAGCCTGTTGCACTAAAAAACCCTCAATCATCTCGCGAGTATACAATCAGCCACCCTATGTTAGTGGGTGGCATGGGATGGCATGGCATGCTAGCAGCAGCGGGTGCTAGCTTGTTAAGTGGGTGCCACAAGGGACTTGCTGTGCCCCAACCCAACGCCTCGCCTTGAGCAGCTGCTCCTCCGATGCTTCAACATAAGCGCAGGCAGCACAGCAGCAGCAGCAGCAGCAATCCGACGGAAACCTAACAGGAGATGAAAGTATCCCTCCCACCACCCAGCAAGCACAGTGGGCAAGCAGTCAGTCAGACGCAACACCACTCCCAGTAGCAGCACCAGTCGCAGCAGAAGCTGTACCAGCAGGTGCAGCAGCAGCAGCAGGGGCAGTGGGGGGGAAGACTCTGGCCCATCGGGTGAGCAGTGGCAGTATCTCGCCCTCCATGAGTGTGCCGGCACCCCCCCACACCAGCATGTGTGGCACGTCTCCGAGCGATCCCCCCTCCACCACCCTCACTGCGCGCATGCCCAGCCGTGAATAGTACTTCACCAACTGGTCCCGGTCATGGAGGGCACACACAGGGAGAGGGAGGGGGGAAGTGTCACAGCGTGGGGGAAAGAGGGAAGAGAGAGAGGTGGGACGGAGGTAAGCTATTTGAGTTGACTCAAAGAGAGGGGAAGTGTGGCAGCGTGGGGGGGAAGAGGGGAGGGAGAGAGGGGGAATGGAGGGAAGTGGGAGGGAGGGGAGAAAACGGGGGTTGAGGCGTGTTGTGAGTAGGGAGGGTTGGGTTTGAGGAGAGGGCGAGGGGGTTGGTTGGTAGAGAGGAGTGCAGCAGGTGAGGGATTGGTGTGAGATGGAACAGCAGGGGTGCAACGCTGCCCTCTTTCCTCCTTGCGACAGGTTCCATGTTTCCATCCGGCCTCACAACAACCAGTTGCACAGCGAGTCTACTCCACACAACCACCACGGTACCACCCACCATCAGCACCAGCACCATCAGTACCGAGATCACCCGCACCAGCATCCCCCATTCCACCCGCATCCCCTTTCACCTTCCTCTCCCCCTGCCCCTCCACCTCTCCCGCCGCTTACCTTAGCATGGTACTCGTCAGTGTCGTCAATGGCCAGTAGCTGTGCCACGCGGCATCCATGGGTGTCCACGGCCCATCGGAACACCAGCGCGCCGATCAGCAGCGCCGCACCGAACACGCCGCGCTGCCGCGCGTCGTCTATGCGCGCCATCCGCACGCTGTCCAGGTGCAGCAGCGGCGGGGGGAACAACCCCGCGCTCCCGCTGCTACTACTGCCGCTGGTGCTGTTGCTGCCGTTAGAGCCCCACAGCAACGGCCGAATGCACCCCTGCGCTCGTCCCAGCAACCGCGGCTTGCCTCCGCGCGCATCTGTACCCGCGCTCGTCCGCGCGCCCCCCTGCCCCTCGCGCTTATCTTCGCGGTGGTCGTCGAACGCGCCAGTGGCGTCGTAAGCGGAGATGGTGAAGAAGGGGCCGGTCGTCTCGACCTCTAGTCGCACGCCGCGCGCCGCTGCCGCTGCCTCGATGTCCGCGATCGTCGGCGCAGAATGCGGTACGCCGCCACGCGGACGTGGCGTGTTCGGGGCTACGGCCTCGCTTGTCGACTCCCTGGCTGTCGCGCTTGCTTCGACGCTGCCGCCGCCGCCGCCGCCGCTGCCGCCTCCGCCTCTGTTCCCCCAACCACCGCCGCTGCTGCTTGGCCGAAGCTCACACCGTACGCAACGTGTCTCCCTGCCATTGGACGAGGGACAACGGTCGTTTGAAATGCGAAGCGTGCAGTTGCCATGATAGGCCTGTGACGGCGGGACACGTAAGCACGCATGCGAGGCCCGTCGCAGCGGCTTGGGGAGCACGGGAGGCCATGCGCAACTGGTGCCGTGCGTCGAGGAGAGCGAAAGGCAGAGTCGCGGCATTGGTGTGGCTCGTCGAGGGTTGGAAACTAGCTGGTTTAGGTAGCGCGGTGAGACTATGGCTGGGGCTTGGCGGACAAGATTCGACGTTAACGTCGGAAGGGTTGCGTACGCGTTACATTCACAGTGAACGAAAAAACAAAACGTTTACTGATAAAAATACATTCACTTATTCTGCTATCTCATAATTTTAAAATATGGTATTCGTTTAATTGTTTTGAATTTCTGATGGTATATATTAGTTAGAGAATTGAGAAACATTTTAACAATTGCCTAAAAAATATTGTAATACTATCAGGTTGTTGTTCTAGTGGGTTGTGGTTGGGTTGGAGGCTGACAAGTATCACGTGTTTACGTTTGTGTTTTCACGTGACACTAGCTTCCAAATCTAGTGTGCTTTTTCTTACTGTCCAAGTTTTGTTATGGTTTCCAGATGAAGTAGTAGCATCACGGAGTGTTCTGGAAAAAACATGTTTCATGACTATTCTTTGGCAACTAACTCCGATTGCAAGAATTCAAGAACTGCACAGTACAGAATCTACAGTGTTCATTCCCTGAAACCTTCCTACCCAACCATCGCCTCCCCTCCCCTCCCTCCCACCCTGATGTCCGCTACCTCCCACCGACCCAGCAATCGCGTTTTCCTCCCACCCTAGCAATCGCCTCTCCCTCCCTCCCGCCATTGCCTTTCCCTCCTCACCCGCCATCGCCTCTCCCTCCCCGTCGTCGCCTCTCCCTCCCTCCCCGTCGTCGCCTCTCCCTCCCTCCCCGCCGTCGCCTCTCCGTTCCCTCCCCGTCGTCGCCTCCTCTTCCCTACCCGCCGTCGCCTCTGGCGACAGGCGCCAAGCGCGAGCGCCAAGGCGAATCTACCTCTGAGGCACCGTGATTCTCAGGTACGTTGTCCTTTCCCGGTCCATTTCTCCTCCTCTCTGAAAAAATAATTTACTTTCGTACATTTTTTCGTAAGTTCTCTGTCTGTCGATTGATCTCCTTTTGCATTGCAATACCATTTGAAGAGAGGGAGAGAGGGAGAGCGAGTGAGAGAGTTCGCACGGGAACTAGCACGCTGGCGCGTATAGCGTTGGCGCCTAACTCGCTGGCGCGTATAGCGCTGGCGCCTAACGCGCTGGCGCCTAGCGCACTGGCTGTTTGCGCGCTGGCGCCTTACGCGCTGGCGCCTATGCGCGCCGGCGCCTATGCGCGCTGGCGCCGGTCGCGCTGGCGCCGTGCGCGCTGGCGCCGTGCACGCTGGTGCCTTGCGCGCTGGCGCCATGCGCGATGGCGCCGTGCGCGCTGGCGCCGTGCGCGCTGGCGCCGTGCGCGCTGGCGCCTTGCGCGCTGGCGCCGTGCGCGCTGGCGCCGTGCGCGCTGGCGCCTTGCGCGCTGGCGCGTAACGCGCTGGCGCCTAATGCGCTGGCGCCTTGCGCGCTGGCGCCTATGCGCGCTGGCTCCGTGCGCGCTGGTGCCGTGCGCGCTGGCGCCGTGTGCGCTGGCGCCGTGCGCGCTGACGCCTTGCGCGCTGGCGCCTAACGCGCTGGCTCCTTGCGCGCTGGCGCCTATGCGCGCTGGCGCCGTGCGCGCTGGCGCCGTGCGCGCTGGCGCCGTGCGGGCTGGCGCCTTGCGCGCTGGCGCCTTGCGCGCTGGCGTCTAAAGCGCTGGCGCCTAGCGCGCTGGCGCCTAGCGCGCTGGCGCCTTGCGCTCTGGCACCTAACGTGCTGGCGCCTAGTGCGCTGGTGCCTTGCGCCTTGGCGATTAGCGCTCTGGCGCCAGGAGGCCGCGTGAGAGGCCATGTGAGAGAGCGCGTGAAAGTGCGCGTGTTAGTGCGCGTGAGAGTGCGCACGTGAGAGAGCGCGTGAGGGAGAGCGTGAGAGTGCGCGTGAGAGCGCGTGTGAGAGCGCATGTGAGAGCGCGCGTGAGGGAGCGCGTGAGAGTGCGCGTGAGGGAGCGTGTGAGAGTGCGTGTGAGAGCGCGCGTGAGAGTGCGCGTGAGAGTGCGCATGAGAGTGCGCGTGAGAGTGCACGTGAGAGTGCGCGTGAGAGAGCGTGTAAGAAGAGTGCGCGCGTGAGATAGTGTGTGAGAGAGCGCGTGAAAGTGCGCGTGAGAGTGCACGCGAGAGAGTGCGTGACAGTGCGTGTGCGCTTGAGAGTGCGCGTGAGAGGCCGCGTGAGGTGAGGGAGCGCGTGAGAGGGCAGGGGAGGAAGCGCGTGAGAGGCCGCGTGAGAGGGCAGGTGAGGGAGCGCGTGAGAGAGCGCGTGAGAGGGTGCGTGAGAGGGCGCGTGAGAGTGCACGTGAGAGTGCGCGTGAGTGAGCGCGTGAGAGTGCGCGTGAGTGAGCGCGCGAGAGACGCGTGAGGGAGCGAGTGAGAGAGGGCGTGAGAGTGCGCGTGAGAGAGCGCGTGAGGGAGCGCGTGAGGGAGCGCGTGAGAGAGCGCGTGAGAGTCCGCGTGAAAGTGCGCGTGAGAGTGTGCAAGAGAGTGCGTGTGAGAGAGCGCGTGAGAGAGCGTGTAGGTTTGTGTGTTTGTTTCTCAGAGAGTGTCTAAGAAAGTTGAGAGTCTTTGTGTGTCTGTGTGTGAGTGGGTGCAAGATTGAGTACAAGAGTGAGTTGAGCGTGATTGTGAAGTTGAACGTGAGGGTGGCTGTAATGTATTGCATCATGTTGGCATAGTACTGTGGTGCCATACCATTTTACCTCTGTGAGTTGTCAAAATTCCATTGCTTGTCAAGTTTCCTGCTTGGCCTCCTCGCGGGGAAGCATTATGCGTTTTATTGATTTTTTTGTACAGTGTGTGAACATTATTTGTTTTTGCCTTTTTCTTGTGCGAGGTGCGTGCTTTGCATTCTCTGTTTTTGCTCTGTGCAGGGCGCGTGAGCTGCATTCGTTGATTTTGTTTGGCAGAGAAGGGAGATGAGGGAGGGGGTGGGAGGGAGATGAGGGAGGGAGGGAGGGAGGGAGGGAGGGAGGGAGGGAGGGAGGGAGGGAGGGAGGGAGGGAGGGAGAGAGGGAGGGAGGGAGGGAGGGAGGGAGGGAGGGAGGGAGGGAGGGAGGGAGGGAGGGAGGGAGGGAGGGAGGGAGGGAGGGAGGGGAGAGGGGGGGAGGGGGGAGGGAGGGGTGTAGGGAGGGTAAGGGGTGATTGGCTAGTGATTATTTATTAATAGCTGAATTTCATGATGATTGGGTATTGACTATCCGTATGTATCAGTGCTTGTTTGCGTGCGTGTCAGTGTGTATGTGAGTGTGTGAGCCTGTGTGAGATATGTATGTGCAGTCGTGTTGTTCGATTCGTTTTGTGTCTGTCTTAAGGCGTGTGCTGAAGTGCCTCGTGTATGCAACTCAGGTTGTGATCGCCGGTGGGGCAATAGCCTTAGCGTGCCAGACCAACCTTTGTTGCATCATCGATGCATTTTAGCATTCTCCCCAAGACACTTAATTATTGTTATGCGTTGTCGTCATTGTACCAGTACAATGTCGCATGTCCTCGTTCGTGTTTGTTGTAAGGTGTCATGTTAAAGTGTGTCAGGTCTGCAATTGAGGTGGGGATCGTTGTTGGGGCAGCTTTGCTCGCCTTAGAATACCGGATCCATCGCTATTGTAGCGCTGATGCATTTTGCCATTCACTTTATGACATTTAATGTTGTTGAGTGTTGTCGTTTTGCACATGTTCTATACGGTAGATGCAAATACTGTAATTTGCATCCACGTTGATTTTTTTGTCTCATCAGTTGTGTGTGATGCACCCTAAAATATTGCAAGGCTACCAATTGTTTCCATTCGCCGTATTTATCGACGATTTTGGAACAATTGGTCTCATTTGGTTTCACCTTTTTTGGAGACTCTTGTGTAGCAGTGGCTGTCATCTCCACACATTTGAAGCACACGTTCTCAAAACGTTAAAGCGAGTGCTTCAGACGTTGGGAAAGTGACAAAAAATGCACTGTTCATTCGAGTCGACCGAAAAAAAGTGCTACCAAATATAAAGGGGTTGCTACGCAACCCAAAAATGCGGGTGGCGAACAGGCTCGTAGGGATTTTGAAGCGAAGAAAAGGCGAGGTTCTGCGGCAGTGCCACGAAGGGGAAATCTCCCCACCAGAAAATAAGCACTTCATATGGGCTTGTTCCGGATATTGCGAACAAGTTTCATTCTGCGTGTTTGGCGTCGTAGCGAGGCTGTTCTTGCAGGATGTGTTTCATACCTATGCATCTCGTTTTCACGACTTCACTTCCAACCAGGCCTGTCAAAGTTCCTGGGGCCCATACTTGCGCTCCCCAGCTCCTCCCCATCTGACCCTCTTTTGTGTGTAGCTGAGCGTTTGGGCGTCCTTAAAGCCCAAGACCCGAATTACAAAAAAAGAAGGCAAACTGTGCACAGTTTGCCTGCCGCAGCCCACACTTTTGCCCCGCGTTGACTTGCGTTGAGAAATTCAGGTCTTGGCTTTAACGGTCACGGGCGCACCCCAAAGTGAAAACTTGAAATCCGGGCCTGTGAAGAGTTTGCACTTACACTATCTTTAAAGCCGCGGTGCAACTATCAAGTTCAACTTCAAGGTATTATAGCTTGGAAGAGGTTGACCCAGGCAGTTCACAGGCGAGAGGTTTGTCTTGTTGCGAAACTCGGGTTTTTTCGACCAATAGAAGTCCAATTACGCACAAGCAGTTTCTGTCCTGCTACTGTTCCTAAGAAGTTGCACCGCGGCTTTAACTTGTATTGGACGCTAAGGGAAAATTCGGGTGCTCCAAAGCTGAGGGATTGGCTAGAAAACGGGACACTTTACAAACACGGGATTGGCTAGAAAACGCTAAGGGAAAAATCCACTTCTCTCGTGCAACCTAAGGAGAAAGAGGGTGGGGGGGGTCAGGCAGAATTGGGGGGGGGGGGGTCCCTACAACCGGAAACCAAAACTGAGACAGGGGAAGGCCTGGTTTGGGCCCTTATCGCATCCGGGGAAGGGTTGAACGAGGCACTTAGTGGCACGGATGCAGTGCGAATCTAACACTTTATGCAGTCGAGCTGGAGCTAAAGTAGCCCGGAATGTCCAGGGCATAAGGGCATATGCTCTTGAATCGACAGGCCTGCTTCCAACACAACCGACGAATCTTGTTCTTGCCCCAAATCCAATTTGAAATGCGCAACCTGCAAATTCCCTTCATCCCTCCCTGACATGCGCAATTCCGATGAGCTGACTGAAACCCATGCTGCCAAGCACAGGACCGTCTCTGGTCGGTGGCTGAACTGCGTCCGCGCGACCGTCTGCTGGCAGCAGCGCCATGCACGGCACCGCGCTGCCGGGCCCATGCGCGGGGTATCTTCTCGCCACGCGGCGCCGTCTCGTCCGCCGAGAGAGAAGGCACGCCGTACAGACTACGTAACATTCGTTGCTCGTCTCGTCACTATGTGCGGGGTGGCATGCAAGGGAGACATGACCTTTTCTCGCTACTCTGCGAACCGCGTCGTCTTGTCGCTCCTCGCGCTTCGCTCTCTCATCTCGGCCTTTCGCGTCGCGCTTCTTCCCTTGCACACACAGACCATGCCGTACCCTTTTCTTTGCGTGCTGTGCACACCATGAAAGCGAGTGGGTCTTCATGTGATTTTGAGATACCTGCTTCGAGCAAGTGTCTGGGCATCCGGCTTGGGTCGATTTTCCTTCCCATCTGGCTTAATTCCTGCCACCTGCGACGTCGACCGCCGAGACGTTCGTTGCGCGTCCGTATCGGTATCGTGACCGTTGTCGTCATCGTCGCGTGTTATCTCGATCGCCCGTATCGCGTCCCTTATCGCGGGCGTCGCCATGGTGCTGTCGCGCACGACGTCGGAGGATCGCAACAAGGAGGACGCGGTCCTGGAGCCCGTCTTCGCCAACCGATACATGCAGCAACCCGTCAAACGGTACTCGTCCCGGACCGCTCGCGCTCGCGCTCGCGCTCGCGCACGCCCCTCGCGTCCCCACTCCGCGCTTCCCCCCTCCCTCACTTACACTCCCGCCATCCCGCCATCCCTGCTCCCGTATTTCTCGGTCCCCCCTTCCCCCTCCCGCTCCTCTACCCCCTTCGGGACCCCCTGTCTTCGGCTGCCTCTTTTCACGCGTTCCCCTCTGCTGCTTACTCCCCACCCCCGCCCACGCGTTCCCTGAGCATGACAGATGCTCTTGCTCTCTCCCCGCTCCCTTTCCCTCTATCGCCAATCCGCCCCATACGCTTCCCTTTCACCCACACCCGTTCCCCGTCCCCCTTTCCCTCGCTTGCGCTCCTCCCCCTGCGCTCGCTGATCCCCCCCCCTTACCCCCTCTTTTTCTCCCCAGCCACGTGTTCCCGGCGGACAAGATGCCGCGCGAGGTGGCGTATCAGATCGTGGCGGACATGCTGGAGATGGACGGCAAGCCGCGCCTCAACCCTTGCTTACCCCTACTTCCCTTTTCCCCCCTCCTTCCTCCCTTCCCCTCTTCCCCCACCTCCCTCCCCTTCAATGCTTCCTTTCCCCCACGCCTCCCTCCCGTCCCCCTCCCTTTTTACCCCGCTCCCCCCTCGTGCTCTTCCCGCCCTCCCCTCTCCCCGGCCCCCCTTACCCCTCCCCCCCGTCAGGCACGTGTTCCCGGCGGACGAGATGCCGCGCGAGGTGGCGTATCAGATCGTGGCGGACATGCTAGAGATGGACGGCAAGCCGCGCCTCAACCTGGCGTCGTTCGTCACCACGTGGATGGAGCCCGACGCTGAGCGCCTCATGACCGCCTCGCTCAACAAGAACGCCATCGATCTCTCCGAGTACCCCGCCTGCGCGCACATCCAGGTGCGCGGAGTGGGGATGGAGGCAGGTTGAAGACGGGAAGGGGAGAGACGAGGGGGGGAGGGGAGGGAAGGGCGGGGGTATTGAGGGCGCGCATGTATGGGTTGATCGCCTCGCTCAACAAAAACGCCATTGATCTTGCCGAGTACCCCTCCCGTGCGCACATGCAGGTTGGGGGGAGGGAGGGGGGAGGGGAGAGGAAGGGGAGAGGAAGGGGTAGAGGGGGAAGAGGGAGGGGGGGGGGGGGGGGGGGGGGGGGACGCGGGATTGCGAGGGAAGGAAGAGAAGGGGATGATCTACAGGTTGACACCGTCCATCCCTTCTGTCTTCCCTCCTCTCCCCCTCCCACCGTCCATCCCTGGAGCAGGGATGGCGGGCTGGGACGGTTGACACCGTCCATCCCTTCTGTCTTTGTGAGCGATTTTTGAGAATTCTCAAAATTCGCCCATCCCTTCTGTCTTCCCTCCTCTCCCCCTCCCACCTTTCCGCTCCCCACTCATGTGTCACTTTCATTGCACCATATGTCTTCGTCCCCTTACCCTCCCCCTCCCCCTCCCCCTCCCCTTCCCCTTTCCCCTCCCCTTCCCCTTCCACTTCCCCTTCCCCTTCCCCTTCCCCCCCGGGGCTGCTGGGCTGGCAGGAGCTGTGTTTGAACATGTTGGCGCGGCTGTACCACGCGCCTCTAACCGAGGGGCAGACGGCTGTGGGCACGGCCACCATCGGCAGCAGCGAGGCCATCATGCTTGCAGGTGATTGATCATTCCGTGGGGTGCATTTTGTGTCGTGGAGGGAAGGGAGGGAGGTGGGGGAGGGCGGGGGGGGGGTGGTTTATGTGGTGGCGTGTGTGATGCTGCGGGGTTGTTCATCCCTGCCTTCCCCTCCTCCCCTCCTCTTCCGCTCCTCTCTCCGCATCTCCCTCCCCCCAGGCCTGGCAATGAAGCGGCGGTGGGCCAAGTTCCGCAGGGATAAGGGTCTTAACACGGACAGCCCCAACCTAGTGGTGGGCGCCAACACGCACGTTGTGGTCGAGAAATTTGCCAACTACTTCGACGTCCACCTGCGCATGGTGCTCATGCACTGCTTCTCCTCTCTCCGCCTCTTCTCCCATCCGCCTCTCCCCCCTCTCTCTCTCCCTTCTTTTCCCCTTCTCCCCCTTCTCCCCTCCTTTCCCTCTCCCCTCCTTTCCCTCTCCCCTCCTTTCCCTCTCTCCCTCTCCCTCCCCCCAGGCCTGGCAATGAAGCGGCGGTGGGCCAAGTTCCGCAGGGACAAGAACCTTCCAACCGACAGCCCCAACCTAGTGGTGGGCGCCAACACGCACGTTGTGGTGGAAAAGTTCGCCAACTACTTTGACGTGGAGCTGCGCATGGTGCCCGTCACGCCCGAGTGCCCCTGCCTGCGTGTGAACGAGGCGGTGAAGCTGTGCGACGAGAGGACCATTGGAGTGGTGCCCATTCTGGGGAGCACCTACACGGGCCACTTCGAGGACGTGCAGGGGCTGGACGAGGGGCTGAGGAAGCTGGATTTGCCGCACGGGTGGGTTGTTGTCGGTGGGGAATGTTTTCAGGTGGGAAGTGGGTGAGTCGCCATCAGGTGGGAAGTGGGTGGGAAGTAGGTGGGAAGTAGGTGGGAAGTAGGTGGGAAGTAGGTGGGAAGTAGGTGGGAAGTAGGTGGGAAGTAGGTGGGAAGTGGGGAAGTGGATAAACCCCCCACCCCACCCCTTCGCCCTGCCCGTCACGCCCGAGTGCCCCTGCCTGCGTGTGAACGAGGCGGTGAAGCTGTGTGATGAGAGGACCATTGGCGTGGTGCCCATTTTGGGCAGCACGTACACGGGGCACTTTGAGGACGTGCAGGGGCTGGACGAGGGGCTGAGGGCGCTGGAACTGCCGCACGGGTGGGTGGTTGGTGATGCTGGGTGGCGCTGGGTGGTGCAAAGTGGTGCTGGGGAATGCTGGTGGGTTGGTGATTGATGTGATGGGTGAGGAATGCTGGGTGTGATGATATGACTATGGGGTGCCTGTGTTTCGATTGAAGGGAAGTGGGATGAGGGGGAGGAGGAGGCGGGGTGGGTGGAGGACTGTTGGCGTGGTGCCTATTCTGGGGAGCACGTACACGGGTCACTTTGAGGACGTGCAGGGGCTGGATGAGGCGCTGAGGAAGCTGGATCTGCCTCATCTTCCCCCAATCCCCCTCTCCCCCTCGTTGCCCCGTTCCTCTACACGTCCCCTTCACCCCCCCCACACTCCCAACCCCTTCACTCAACACATTTCTTTCTTATCCCTCACCCTCCCCCTCCCTCCCCCCTTCAGCTGGCAGGTCCCAATCCACGTGGACGCGGCGAGTGGCGGCTTCGTCATCCCGTTCCTCTACGCATCCCTCGCCTGGGACTTCCGCCTACCATCAGTGCTGTCCATCAGTGTGAGCGGGCACAAGTACCTCTCCCCTCTCCCTCCTTCCCCTCCTCCCCATCCACTTCAGCTGGCAGGTCCCAATCCACGTGGACGCGGCAAGCGGCGGCTTCGTGGCGCCTTTCCTCTACCCGTCCCTCGCCTGGGACTTCCGGTTACCGTCCGTGCTGTCCATCAGTGTGAGCGGGCACAAGTACGGGCTCACGTACCCGGGCATCGCATGGCTGCTGTTCAGAAACGAGAGCTGCCTGCCGCAGGAGCTGATCTACCACGTGGACTACCTGGGCGAGGACCAGCCCACCTTCACTCTCAACTTCTCCCGAGGTGCGGGTTCAGGGGGATTATAGGTGGGTGAAGGAGGGGAAGGATTGGCTTCTGAGTGAGAAGCTGGCTCCTTAGGATTCTCAAATAACCAACTCGTTTCTGAGCTGGCTCCTGAACGTCTGAAGTAACCTCTTAATTGTCTCTTGAAAGATTTGAAAGGTGTTGCTTTTCCTGGCTCACCAACTCATCATCCGTCCTTGTGTCTGTGCGTGCGTGCGTGTGTGTGTGCTCGCTTGTTCCCTGCGTTTCGCACTTGCTCAACACCATCCCATGTCATGTTACCCGGTTTTGCTTCACTCACGCCACGCCCCGCCATGCGATGTCAATCAGGAGCGTCGCAAATAGTGGGGCAGTACTACCAGTTCCTTCGCCTCGGCTTCAAGGTAACGCACCAACCCCCTTCGCATGCGGCCATGTCAACCTTATCAGCCATGTCAACCAGTTAATCTTCTCGTTGAACCCACCTGTCAACCATGTTGCCTGGATTGTGTCTCTCATTCTCGCCAACCCCCTCACTCCCTCCAAGAACTTCAATGCAGGGCTACCGGCGGCTGATGGAGAATTGTGCCGAGGTGGCGGACTCTCGGCGGGAGCAGCTGGAGGGGACTAATTCCTGACCAACGATCCTCCAATTAACCATTGTGCAGGGATACCGGCGAGTGATGGAGAACTGTGCCGAGGTGGCTGACTCACTTAGAGAGCAGCTGGAGGGCATTCATCCTTGACCTACTCTCTCTCGAACAACCACCGTGCAGGGCTACAGGCGGGTGATGGAGAACTGTGCCGAGGTGGCGGACTCGCTGCGAGAGCAGCTGGAGGCAACGGGCATGTTCCACATTCTGTCGGACACCAACATGGGCATCCCCCTCGTCGCCTTCCGCTTCAAACCCCACTCGTACGTACGCTGGAAGGGGCTGCTGTGAAGAGGTAGGAGGGGGTACACATCTCTCGAACATTAGCCGGCGATTCTCTAGGCGCCTGAGAGATCGCTAACATGGGCACCCCCTTGGTCGCCTTCCGCTTCAAACCCCACTCGTGCGTACTACTACTGGCAGGGGTGGTAGCCGTGGGGAGGTAGAGGGTGATGGAGGGGGGAGGGGAGGAAAGCGAGGGAGAGGGAATGTTTCTTGTTGATTGCCCCAGAGATTGCCAACATGGGCTTCCTTCCTCCTCGTTGGGCTTTGACTTGTCCTTATTCGTCCTTATTCTCATGCCTCCAAGGCTGGCTGTCAGGAGGGAGATGGGTGGAGGGTGGGGGGGAGGAGGGATGGAGGGGGGGGTGAGTGAGTGGACAGCGGGGAAAGGGGGATACTGACAGGGAGGCGTGGGGGCAAGTATATGGAAGTGGGAGGAGATGATGACTGTGTATGATTCGATAGGGGCTTGCTGTTGCCAACTTCCTACCCCCACCTCCCCTTTGTCCCTGCAGTTAATAACATTCAGTTTCTTTACTTCCGAATATTCAGTCTCTGTTCTTAAAACTCGAATCCTATACCTTTTTTCCGTTTTTTTTTTTTTTTTTTTTTTTTTTTTTTTTTTTTTTTTTTTCCTCTTCCTCGCTCCCTAATGTGTATTCTCCGTGCAGCCCGTACGCACACCTGAGGGAGAGGGAGCTGAGTGATGACCTGAGGAGGCACGGGTGGATCCTGCCCTCCTACCAGATGCCACCAAACATGCATGTGCGTCATGGGGTGTGGGGAGGGGCGTTTGGAGGGGCAAGGGACATGGGGAGAATGGGTGTGTGGGTGGGGATGTGTGTTTGTGTGGCCTAGCCTAAACCCTAAACTGTTCACCTTGTGAATGTCCCTCGTGCTTTTTTGTCAATTCCATGTGGAATCCTTTTTCCTCTTGCCTTTTCTCAGACCTTACTGTTTCCTTCCACCACCATTTCCGCCCACCTCTGCCACCTCCATGCCCCCTCTCCCATCACCATCTGCCCACTGCTGATTGTGCTGTCCCATCCCTCTGTTGTCTGTGTTCTCTCACCGACTCCCTCACTCACTCGCTCGTTCACTCACTACCTGATTCTTCTTCTCACTTCTCTTTCTCTCTCCCCGTGGCCAGGATGTGACCGTGCTGCGAGTGTGTGTGCGGGAGGACTTTTCTCGCGAGCTAGCAGAGTGGCTGGTGCGAGACATCAAGGAGACAGTTGGGCGCATGAAGGCTCATGAAGACAAGGCACTGGCGAGGGATAGGGAGATGGAAAGGGAGGGAGAGAGGGTGGGAGAGGGGGAGAGGAAGGGTGAGGGGGGAGCTGGGGAGGAGAAGGTGGGAGTGGAAGATGGAGGTAAGGGGGAATTGTCTCTGCCCAAATCCAGGCCCCTGTGTTAGGAAAGTTGTGAGGGTTGGTGGTGTAAGGGTTTGCGGATGATTAGGATGATGGTGTGCTGTTGAGATGTTTTGTGTTTGCTGAGGATGGGTGGGTGTGATGTGGAGCGTGAATAGAGGGGAGGGTGTAGGATAGGTTATGGTAGAATGGTACATACATGTGTTACGTATGGTGTATACATTCGAGGTACTGAGAATACCGTACAAATCCTTTGCTAAATGTGCATTTACACAGTATACATTCAAAACACTTCAAACAAAACTTGACATATAATTGTATATGTTAGATTTTAATAGCCGACGAAACATATTTACCATGACAAGGAACAGAGCCACAGCTCTCTGTGTGAGCTCACTTCCTCAGCCCCGGCAACTGTGTGCGTGGGGGTTGCTTGCTCCCAGCGCCCATAGCAGCAGCAGCAATTAGAGAAGCCACGCGCATAGACTCCGAACGGGAGCTATACTCGTACGCCGAGCAACTGTGGTCCAAGGGGTATCCCCCCTTACCACTGCTCTGACTATGCCCACTCGCACCCCCACTCGAACCTCCGCTGCTATACCCGCTGCTGCTGTAACTGCTGCGACTGGCCGTGCTGCTGGCGCTGCTGTTGGTGCTCCACCCCCCCATGCTGCTCACACTGCTCGCACTGCTCAGGTTCTCCTGCCTGGTAGTACCGCTGAAACAACAACCGTTGTCCAGCCTGGTGGCGGTGGTGGTGGTGGTGGTGGTGGTGGTGGTGGTGGCAGGACCGCTGAAAACACAACCGTGGTTGCTTGTCGAGTTATTGCTATACAGTAAGCACGCTCCGTTGCACAGACCATTTGCATCGAGAAAGCTGCTGCCGATGCTGGTGATAGTGCCGCCGCTGCTGATGGTGCGGGTGATGTTACTCAGGTGCGAGGACTCTGGCTGCGAGTGGCGGGGCCGGGGGGACGAGGGAGCAAGGAGGGTCGCAGCAGAAGATGGATAGCGATGCAGCAACGGCTGCTGATGCTGCTGCTGGTGCAGTTGCTGCTGCTGGTGATGCTGGTGATGCAGGTGATGCTGCTGCTGCTGGTGGTGGTGGTGCTGCTGCTGTATCTGCTGCTGCTGCCACTGCTCCTGGTTGAAACCCAGTTCTGAGTGCAGGTACAAAGGGGACGAAGGGTAGCGATGCAGTGGCGAGGACGGCCGGAGGAGAGCAGCACGTGGCGAAGCGGGTGCACGGGTGGCAGGAGGAGGAGGAGAAGAAGGGTAATACGGCAATGTCTCCCTACCAGCATACGAGGAGCGGAACGGGGACAGTTCCCGTCCAGCGAACTTCCCCCCTCCTGTGAATCTTTCTCTCGAGGCCCTCTCTTCCACTGATGTTGCCCGGCCGTCGATGCTCCTCCCTAGTATTTCAGGCTCACCTACGGCCTTCCCACTGGCGCCAGCAGCAGCAGCAGCAGCAGCAGCAGCAGCAGGGACGGCGCTGCTGGTGGCAACAGGTTGGAAAGAGAAGGAAGAAGGCTCGTCCTCCGCTTCGCCCTCTCTCTCGCTCTCCTCCCACATGTGCCCTGGGATGGGGAGCGTGCTTGGTGTGGAAAGGCCAGGGTGGGGATACCGCGGCTGGCACACAGGCTGGGGATTGAAGGCGAAGGAGGGCCCAATAGGGAATCCGCTGCTGCCGCCGCTGCCGCTGCCGCCACTGCTGCCGCTGCTGTTGCCGGCAGTTAATGGGTGCTCCGTATGGTGACGCCATGCTGCTGCTGGATTGGTATCACGAGCAGCAAACGCAGGAGGAGGAGGACAGTGAGGAGCAGAGATGCCAGAATAAGCAGCACCAGCATAAGCAGCAGCAGCACTGCCCTTCTCGGGTGTGATCTGCTTCACTGCCTGTGGCCCCTCCCATGCTGCAAAGGAGCAATCAAGGGCTTCGTACTCCCCATCCTCATCCTCCCCATCTTCCACATCACCATAATCACCATCGCCGTAACCTGCATACACACCAAGTATTCTATCCGCTGCCGCTCCTGCTGCTGCTACTGCCGCCGCTGCTACAGGTGCACCCATTTCCCGTGCGGTTGTTTCAGCCAATAACGCTCGCTCCAACTCCGTCACACGCCCTGCCACACTCCCGCCGCTATTACCATCGCTCCGCGTAGCCGCTGCAGCCTTCGCAGCAGCATCCGCAGCAGCAGCAGCGGCGGCAGCAGCGGCGGCAGCGGCAGAAGCGGGCGGAGGAGGAGCGGCGGCTGGGAGCGGGGCCCGCCACTGCCCGTGTGTGGGTTGCGCGGCTGGTGGAAACAGGGGTTGCGCTGGATGGCGGGGGGAGCACAAGCCTGCGCGCGGAGAGCCGGGTGAGCGGCTGGCGAGGCTCTGCGCGGAAGACGATTCGGATGCTGCGGAGATGGGGGGGAAGCGGACGAGCGAGGAGAGTGGCGGGATGCGCGGGGAGGGAGCGGCGGCTAACTCAGGAAACACAGAGACCCTGTCGAAGGGTCCTGGTGCGGAAGGACAGGGTGGTGATGCTGCTGGTGCTGCTGCTGTTGCTGTTGCTGCTGTTGCTGCAGCGCGGCGCTGCTGCACTCTCGGTGACGTGTCCTCGTCGCGTGCTGACACGCTGGCATCCGAGTCGCCAAGGCGGCTACCGACGCCATCGCCGCGACGCCCCGAGACGGGGACGGAGACGGCGTCCCACTCCGCTCGCGTGGGATTAGGGATTCCTCCCCTCGCGGACAAAGCCGAGGTCATGCGGCGTGACCGATGGTCACGCGTCGTCATGTTCGCTTCGCCTTCGTAAGGCCGTTCAGCACTCCTAGTACTACTAGCGGTACTTGTGGTACTAGTGATGGTTCGGCGCGACGTGCTACTACTACTGGTACTAGTAGCACTAGCAGCCGACGATACCGCTTCCACTGTTGTTGGTACGTCTCTCATGGCTCTCCTCGGCGACGCCGTTTCATTGCTGTTGCTGCGGCGGCTGCGGGTGCTGCTGCTGCTGCTGCTGCTGCTGCTGCTACTGCTGCTTGAGGCCACAGCCCGGAGCCTGTCGCGAGGAGAATCGTGAACCCGTTGCTCCCACTCCTCCCAGTGATAGCGATTCGAAGACTCCTTTGCATTCCAATTCGAGAAACGGCGCCCTTCCTCTCGCGCTACACCACCTTCTGCGGCGGCGGCGGCGGCGGCGGCGGCGGCGGCGGCGGAGGTGTGGCCAGTGCACGCCCCGCCTCCAACCCGCGGGCGTTCCGCGGTCGCGGGCTGCGCTCCGTCGTCTTCCCGCACAGCCCCTCCGCCATCCTCTCCGCCCGCGCCTCCATGTCTGGGCGCAAAGCCTTCTCCCCGCAAGCAAGGACTGGCGGAGACAGATAGGCGGGAATTAGCCGTTACAGGCTCAGGATACGCGCAAGAAGCCAACCTCCGTGAATATATAGGGCTTAGGGGAAGATTGCTGTCAGGATTGTACGCGGTACGAGAATAAGTCTCAACCGCGGACAGTGGACGCGGCACGTCGCTCAAAGGCGGCGCATGGGCGGATGGGCTTCGTTGCGGCGGCTGCATCACCCGCTCGGCTGGCAGTTGGGAAAATTGGATGGGCTCGTACTGCTCGTACCGCGCACTCCTCTCAATCCGCGAAGCCAGTTGCGAGTCCCTACTACAAGCCTGTGGCGTGGGCTCTTGGTACTCGACGGGGCAATAGGATGATGATGTTCTCTCGTGCTGCACAGCGAGACCACAATCCGAATCGGCAGTTGGGAGAGCTCGTGCCTCTGCTGGTGCTACTACGGAGCTTTGTTCACCCGAGCGCCAACTGCTTGCGTCGTCGGCGTGTTGCGCGCATGGGTCGACATTGAGTTTGGAGCTGTCTGTGTTTCGACGGAAACTAGGCATTCGGATGAGTGAAAAGATTCCCAGTTTCGACGCAACCCCCGTCGCGCTTTTATGCGCGCTCTCTACCTGCGTCATAACCGCCTCTGAATTCTATTCTCCAGCATGAGAATTACCTACCTATACCCGTGCGCTGCACGACTAGCTGCTTTCATTCAGGACACCAAGAACAGTCAGACAAACCCGCAAGAGTGGAGCGAAGCAGGGGAGATTGGGACAAGAGGCAGACTTGTGGTTGTTGTGAGTGGGTGTCATGTCAGCACAGCATGATATGGTTGGGGGAAAGGAGGAGCAGATCGCCGCGAGAATTTGCCGTGCTGGAGTAGCTCGAGTTTGGTTTTGGTTTTGATTGCGTTTGGCTGGGTTGGGTTAGTTTAAGAGATGCAGAGTGGCGGTCTAGAAGGGCGCGGTTGGGTGGTTCGAGGGAAACAAGGGACAGGACGGAACAAGATGGGGGAGCAGAGGCAACAATGGGGTGTGTGAGTGTGTGACGTTCTGATGACCGTCCGACATTCAAGATCGGGCGGTGGTGCACGCAATCAGAACTGCCGTGTGTTACTAGAGGAGTCATGTAAGTCGTCGCGGTCCGAATAACTTGCTGCAACTTCTGGGTAGGGGGAGTAGGGGACGTGTGAGCGGATCCGGGTGGTCTGCCCTGCCTACGCACTGCAAATGATCTACGCGACACGGACGACGACGGCTGCCCTTCCTGCACACTGCAAATGGCTTCGATACACTGACCGAGCCAGACTGAACAATCGCGTGTTTGATACTGCAAACACGTTGCAGTTCTTCCCCAATTCCATATTCCATCCCCCTTACTCAGTTCTATTTCCAGTGCACGCCCCAACAATACACTTCCTTTCAATGTGTATCTATATCCTACAAGAACACCAGTATTTCATTTCACAAACAGAAGCTAAGCAGAAACATTCACGTAACGTGCAGTTACAATCCATACACAAAAAAGGGCATCAGAAATCCTACCCACCATATGCACTCGTCCACATGTGCACTGGGCAATCTACTCTGAGGCAATCCCCTCCAACAGCCCCCCAGGGGGGGGAGCTGGAGTCCTGGAAGGGGTACCTGCAACTGGATCTTCCTCGATACCACACTCGTTGGTGCCTCGACGGATGCGGAAAAAGCCATCCTGTGAGCGGGGCCAGCAAGGATGTTGGGAACATGAGACAGAAAGCCAAGAGTACTACCAGGTGGCTAGAAGCCGGGCAACGCAAGCTAATTCTACCAAAGGACTGAATCAGAGAAACGGGTACTGGGAGGAATGAACACTAACCTCGCCCCAGCTTCGGTTCCACGAGTTGGCAATGGTCTGCACAAGACAAGACGAAGAGAAACGTTTCCACGTGAGCAATGCACCACAGGATTACAGGTCCGCAACACAAATATCGGGTAAATGAGGATGTGAGACTGGAAATGAACACAAGGATGCTGGACATACCCAGTAGTCAACACCATCGTCAGTGGTGCCCCAGCCCACAAGCTTGACTGCATGACCCCCCACCATATCCCCCACCAGGTGCGAATACACCCCGCCCTTGTAGTACGTGAAATCCTGCAAGTAAAGAATATCATCCAACAATCAACGTGAGGCCACTTTCACAGAACAAACGCAGTGCCATGCCAAACGGCTCGAGTGAACAGGGCACAGCATATAATGAAGGCACTGTGAGGCTCCCTCACCTCATAGACGTCAAAGTCGACCTCAAAGGGTCCATGCAGCAGCAGCTCTGTCATCATGGCCTCCACGGAACGCCCCACCAGGTAAGCCTCGGAGGCGTAGTGCTTGCTGCCGCGCCAGTTCTCCCCATCCTCACACGTCAGCTTGCATGCAGGCGTGGGCATCAGCGGCTCGCACCCGGGATGCTTGCACCCCTGCTGATCGAAGTAGGGCTCACACTGGCAGCAACAACAGGGGGGCACGAGAGGGGAACAGAGAACGTTGAAAAACAACCACATCTCCCTCACAACGTGTTAAGGTGCCTTTATTAAGCTTCTGCAGGCATTCAACCCCACCCAATCCACTGAACTACCTTCAATACTGCCCCACAACAGCCTTAACCCCACCACCTGTCACTGTCCTTTATTACTCTACCTCCCTCCATCCTTGCACCTGCTCAGTGACAACACCCTGCTTGGTGAAGAACTCCCACGCGAGGTACGGCCACCCGCCGTTGCACCCATCGCCACAGGTGGCGCAGCACGAGAGCAGATCGTTGGTGGACAGCTGCACGGTCTGCTCGGGGAGATGATGGGACCATGTGACAGCAGAAGATGGTGACGTGGTGAGACACGAGTGCGTACGGCATACTCTGCTAACGGAAACGCACAAGGAGGTGGGGGAATACCAGGGGCCTAGTAGCGGGGACAAGGACCATGTTAGACACGAAAATTCTCCGAGTAGAATGGGTAGACGACAAGACGCATACAGTTGGCTACTGACCTCATTAAATGTCACGCAGAAACGGTCGCTGAGCGCCTCAACTGCACCAAAAGCCCAGCAGGAACCGCAGTGGCCCTGAAACGACATAGGATTCAGCGATGTGGGATAGATCAGCAGCAACTCATATGCTTTATTTTCAGGAATCACTACGCAGAACTTTGGGCCAAATTCAATTTCTTATTGGTTCCGCATCTAGAGGTATTCATGCATACTGCACAAGAGAAAAACGAATCTCTGGACCATAATCTTACTCTCACCTGGTCTGCAGCGCATTAGCAGCGAGGTCGGCGGAACGGCATCAGCAATCCAAGAGTCACACAACCGCACCCAGTGCAGGTGAACCGATCCAGCATGGAAAACGCATGCATACAGGGCAACCGAGGAAAAACAGGGGAAAACACCGTAGTAAGACCAAGGTGGCAGGAACGCAAGAGAACATCCGCTGGAGAAATATAAAGCGTTCAACGCTTGAGAAGCCCTACACGTCCATATCTGGTACATGTCATAGCAGACACGTACCGCGAACGAAGGAGATGGACGGGCAGTGCGACCAGTGCTTGCGCGCGTCGAAGTGCTTCGGCAGCTCGATATTCATGGCAGCGGGAGACAGCTCCTTGCGGGGAAGAGCGTTGGCTGGCGGATGGCGGTAAGTGCCGACCAGCGATTTAAGGGCGGGCTTCTGGCAAAGTGACATAAAAAAGGCGAGGGAACGATGCATGATTGGAAAGAAGTGAACGAAGCTTCGACTAACGCTGGAAAATCGTGACAGAACAAAAATAAATAAAACGAAAAACACCTGCAAATTCACGGATGCGCGAGGGTGGTACGGTAGCTAAACCTACAGAAAGGCGATGCACTCGCTCGTTGTAGCCTGCTTTCCATGTGGCGCTGGGGTTCTTGTTCACGCTGTCTATCAGATCAGCCTTCCAGATAGAGGGGGACAAACAGAAGATGCGAGGAATGATTTTTTAAGACAAGAAACAAAAAGAAGTTGAGCAGGATCGGTACGATGGAATAAACGAGGTGAGAGGTGGACACGTGATCATGAAGGAGCAAGAATTGCACCTTAAACATGCTGCCTGGAAGGCCGCCATTCGCCTCAGCCTCGAAGCCTGACGGCCTTGACAGCGCGACCTGAAGCGCACGGTTCAAGTTTATCAACACAGCGAAACGGGATAAGAATCAGGTGAATCGAAGTTGCAGCTTGAAACGGGAAAACACATTCGATGGAAGATGGCAGTAACACATACCGCAAAAAGGCATCCCGCTGCAATCAGAGCAAACAGCACAGCTGAATGAGAGGCCATGGCACACGACCAGCAAACGCACTCCCAACACTACGTTCGTGCAAAGCAAACAGTGAGCTTTCTCCGCTTTCTACCAAGCAGACTTGGTTACAGTATGCAGCTACCACAGCTGAGTATAAAACAAGCCACAGCTATATGCTAGGGGAATGTGGGGAGGGTGTTGGAGGGAAATGGTCAGGGAGAGGGGAACCAGGGACAAGCAAGAAGCTCACCTGCAGTCAGCAGAAGTGGAGGTTGTCTGTTGCGTGCTTGTGTGGATGGTCAGCGACCCCCATTTTCGTCGCACGGACGCAAATCTGTTCGTTGCTGGAAGGTGGCGACGGAGTGCGACGTCCTGGTCTGGTGGCGCCGCTCGCAACGGATTATTCCCAATTGCCATGCAAAAGTAGAGCCAGATCAGCATGATGTGTGTCCAGCAACACATATGGCTTCCGATTCGTCCTACTTCGGACAGGCCTGGACTACGAACCAATCAGGACGTCACTCAGCCTGCTGTTCCCAGAAGTTGCAAGTTGAAATTTTGGATATTGAGGTGTAGGCATCACAACCATCACAATATGCTGCATAGAAATATTAGAAATATAGTGTTGTTCCATTGCTGATTTACACATTTTTTCTTAATCATTTCCAGCCACTGGCATACGAAAAATAGAATAATCCATTAGATAATGGAAACATTAAGTAAGAGGTACAATACTTTGTAACAGGTATGATAGAGAGAGTTATGGCACAATATCTTTGCTGTATGCACAATCTGTTTCAGAAACGAGACCTGTAACGGCTTCAGTTTTGCGGTGTACGCTTTACGAAGCTAAACCCGGTACCTTTACACACACATGTAATGCATTGTCGCGAAGGTGACACATGTGATGTAATGGGAGTGACGTGTTTTGCACTCAACATCAGAGAAGGAAAGGACCCTTTTCCGTGTCAACAAATCTCCACTGCGCGCCGCGCAACTGCAAATTCTGCTGGTGCTGAGTGTAATCTCGAGGGCACCAGCACGACACGAGCCGTCAATGTGAACTTTCCGTCAATTCGGGCCGCTTCGACACGGTTGCAATCTACGAATACTCATCCGCCCATTCTGTTTCGCTTGCTGAACCGGCACAAACGCGCACAGAGATCCACTTTCTCGTGCCCCTCCACCATCTCGTCACCGTCAAAAGCCAGTACACGGTGTGGACCCTGGAAGTTGCACACATCATCCAAACCGCAACTCTTTAGCAATTCCCGAAGGCGTTACGGAATACTCAAGGCGTCTCTCCTGTTCCCACCTGCCTGCACGTTGCCATCTCCTGCCATCGCGGCTGTGACTGGTGGTGCTCGTGGTGCTTTGTATAAAGGCCCTCCATCACCCATTCAGAACTGACAGGTTCAGGGTTCGATAAAACAACAGACGAGATACATACACCGCTTCGCTTTCCGGTACTAGCAAGTCAGTTTTGAACAGGAGAGCTGCTACTGTTACTAAAACAATCTAAGAAGAAACTTGGAATTTGCGATGGAGATGCACGTGGAATGCTGTGGCGGGCATTTCTGGCTCTACATAGTCCTGATTTTTGGCCTCGTCACGTTCTCTGGACTGATGTCGGGTCTGACGCTTGGACTCATGTCGCTGGGCCTGGTGGACCTAGAGGTTTTGCAGCAAAGCGGGTCGGAATTGGACAAGAAGCATGCAGGTGCGAAGTGCGAAGCCAACTTGAAGATTCCTTCCTCTCGTTCTCCTTCACTTTCTGCTGGTGGAATGATCTCGCCAAGACCTTCCAAAGTTGTTACTAGATTGATGACCATCAGTTCTAATTCAAGCTCAATCAAACGTGTTGTTCCCTTTCAGCTAAAATCCTTCCAGTAATGAAGAAGCCACATCTGCTCCTGTGCACTCTCCTCATCGGAAATGCTCTTGCTATGGAGGTCAGTCAAATCTTCGTTTTCAACATCATGTCGTAGGCTAATCTTTGTCCTCCTCGGCGTCTTAATTTCTTGAACTACCACCCACGCATCATCCCGAATATGGTTCCCTCATCCTCATCATTCTCGTCCACCTCTTCACCTCCCCTACACCCCCAACCCCCCACGGTTCATGGTTTCCGCCATGCGTGCATGACAGGCCCTTCCCATATTCCTGGACGCGCTCGTGCCGTCGTGGGCCGCTATTCTTCTCTCAGTCACTCTCATCCTGCTCTTTGGCGAGGTCCGTGCTCCGTACTCTTCTAGTCGGTGATGTCTCTCATGTCCGTGATGTCATTCATTTCGGTGATGTCTCTCATGTCCGTGATGTCATTCATTTCGGTGATGTCTCTCATGTCCGTGATGTCATTCATTTCGGTGATGTCACTCATGTCTGTGATGACTCTCATGTCTGTGATGACTCTCATGTCGGTGATGTCTCTCATGTCTGTGATGTCTCTCATGTCTGTGATGTCTCTCATGTCGGTGATGTCTCTCATGTCTGTGATGACTCTCATGTCTGTGATGTCACTCATCATGTCTGAATGTGCTCCGGGTCGTGCAGATTATTCCGCAAGCCGTGTGCTCGCGCTACGGGCTGGCCATAGGAGCTACCCTGGCTCCTCTGGTCAAAGTTCTCGTCCTGCTCTTCTATCCCATCGCCCTTCCCATCAGCAAGGTAAATTTCATGCCATGACTCACTTATCCGCTCCCTACACCTCACACACCTGCGTAATCCATTCGCATCCCACTCACACGTAATACTTACAGTGCCGTTGTTTTCATCTCCCCATCCCCTCCTCCCTGGTCTATGTGACGGCATATTCTTCACATACTCTTCTCTTCCAATGATTTTCACCCGCCTGAACCCATCATTTGATCCTCTCCTTCTCGTCGCAATTCTTCTTTGTCGCCTTCTCTCTGACACGAATCCCTCACCCCGAAGCAGCTTCTGGACCTGGTGCTGGGAGCGAGCAACGAGCCGCTGTACCGCCGCGCAGAGCTCAAGGCCTTTGTCAACATGCACGCAAAGATGGTGGGTGGTTGCCACCGCTGCTATTGGTCATCACGTGCATGCACACATCAACACGCATGGCACCATGCCTTGTGGGGGGGAGGGCTTTCATCCCCGCTCCCTTCCTTCTTCCTCTTTTGATTTCCCACTGCACCTTACCCGTTTTTTTTCTTGGGGTTCTGCATGTGGCAGGAGGGTCGGGGCGGTGACTTGACAGTGGACGAGACAACAATCATTACTGGCGCGCTGGAGCTCACGGGAAAGACGGTGGCGGACGCCATGACGCCCATCCACCACGCCTTCTCGCTCAGCGTCGACACCAAGCTCGACCTGTGCGTTTTGATATCATGCATCATGTACCATGCATCATGCACCATGCATCATGCACCATGCACCATGCACCATGTACCATGCACCATCCATCATGCATCATGCATCATGCACCATGCACCATGCATCATCCATCATGCATCATGCACCATGCACCATGCACCATGCACCATGCATCATCCATCATGCATCATGCACCATGCACCATGCACCATCCATCATGCATCATGCGTCATGAGATCGCCAGTGCCAATTTTAATCTGCCACTCAATGCCAATCTCTGCGTCTGTAGGATTTCAACTACCCTTGCTTCGTGACGAGCAGTGTCGTCATTTGTTCTGGTACATGCAATGGGAGTATGCGTTTGGTTGTTCTATTCTTGACTTATCCCCAACCACCCTTGTGTGTGTGCGTGCGTGCGTGCGCGCGCGTGCATGTGTGTGTGTGCGAGTGTGTGTGTATGTTTGTGCGTGTGTGCACGTGCCGCATGTGCATGTGCTGCATGTGCATCTGCTGCATGTGCATGTGCATCTGCTGCATGTGCATGTGCATCTGCTGCATGTGCATGTGCATCTGCTGCATGTGCATGTGCATGGGTGTGTGTTTTGTTTTTGTCATCTTCGCTTATGCAAGCAGGGAGACGATGCAGCAGCTGATGAAGAGAGGCCACAGCCGGGTGCCCGTGTACCATGGCTCTCCAAACAACATTATTGGATTGCTGCTCGTACGTTCTAGAATATTGCATGAAAAGACAAGAAATGGGGGGGCTGTGGTGAGGACAAGAAAAGGCTGATTCGGGTGGGGTTGGTGGGGTGAGCATGTGATTGGGAAGTAAGCCGTGGCGAGAGAAGGTCTGGTGGCATCGTGAGTTGTGCTCTTTGTATCTCTCTTGCTCATGCTATTGCTCTGTGTGGATGTGTGTGTGTGCATGTGTACATTTGCATGAGTTTCAACGAATGTGCATGAGAGTGTATGCATTCTGTTTATGTTTGTGTGCATGTGTGTGTCGCTGCGTGCATCAATGCGTGTGTGTGTGTGCGTACTCAGGTGAAGAATCTCATATCGCTCCACCCAGAGGATGCCACTCCAATTCGCAAGGTCCCTATTCGCCGAATTCCGAGGTATCACTACCGACCGACTCTGTGCTCAATCAATGCAACCCACTAGTCCTTGTAGTAGCTGAAGTGCCCCCAGTCCACAAAGACGATTCATGCACCACTCTTTCTTCTGCACCAAGGTGACCTCTCTTTTCCCCCTGTTCCCCTTTGTGTGATCTACTCCCTTCCCCCTCCCACTCACCCCCACTTCATCACCCCTTCCCTGCCGATTTCTCACCTTCCTCCCACCCCACCTTCCTTGCCCAACGCCCCACCAGAGTGGCGCTTAAAAAACAGACTTTTCACCTCCTTCCCACCCCCTCGTCCCTCCCTCTCCTGGCGCAACGCCCCGCCAGAGTGCAAGCCTCCCTGCCGCTATACGACATGCTCAACGAGTTCCAGCGAGGCCACTCGCACATGGCGGCTGTTGTCTCTCCTGCTCGCACTCACGCCCTTGCCAACCCCTCCGCCGCTGCTACCACCACAACGGTCACTACCACCACCTCGGGTATTACCATCACCGCGAGTGGCAGTACCAGAGCCACTTCAACGACTGCTACTGTCCCTCTTGGTCGTGTTACCAGCACTACTGCCACTACCATCAGTGCTGGTAGCCCCATCACTAGCGCCAGCAGCACCTGTGTGACTAACACGCCGGACTTCTCCCCCTTCGCCTCCCCTCCCTCCGCCTTCCTTCTGTCCCGCTTCACTGCAACCACTGCTGCTGCTGCTACTACTGCCCCCGGAGGTGGCATGTCACATTCACATCCATCCATCCCCGAGGTAGCCAGCCTGTCAAATGTCACCGGGAACAATATCATTGAAGGTGCGAGCTGCAGTACTGCGAACGAGCCAGTAAGACGGCAATCCCTTGAGCCGTTGCTCTCCACGGGCATGCCATGGGATGTTGATTCACCTGTTCCATCCCAAGCAACAGCAGCATTAGCCATGGGAAACGTCGCGAGTGAACCAGCCCTATCGAGGGGTGGTGCAGATGGGATCTCCAGGCCCACGATCCGTGTGCAACAGCTGACTGCTGCCACTGTTTCCGCTGCCCTTACTGCCAGGCAGCAAAGGGATGGCAAGAGGTTGTTGATCGATGTGCAGGGAAGTGGGCCGATGGCTGGTTCTGGAGGGCGGAAGGGTGTGTTCCGCAGCAGTGTTGCTGCTGCTGACATGGCAGTTGATGTTTCTCAGCTAGAGGCAGCTGCCGGTACAGGGAGGAAGCGGCGGAGGAGGAAAGATGGTGGGGAGGGGAATGGTGCTGGCAGTGCCGTTACCGGGAGTGACGGCAACGGGTTGGGGTTTAGTCCCAGGAGTGAAGAGGCGGAGGAAGTGCGAGGAGGGGTAGGGGAGGAGAGGAGTCTTATAGGTGGTGGTGAGGGATCGTTGGGACGGGCAGAAGGGGATGTGGAAGCTGAGGGGAGGCAGGAGGAGGCTAGGCGTGCACGTCCAGGAGGCTGGGAAGAGGAGGAGGAGGAAGAGGGGGAAGAGGAGGTGGAGGAGGAGGAAGATGAGGTGGTGGTGGGGATTATAACGATGGAGGATGTGATAGAGGAGTTGTTGCAGGAGGAGATATTGGATGAGACGGACGTGAACCTGCTCATGCACCGATGCGTCAAGGTGCCGTCCTCAACGGGACACACTCCTGGAGGCACGTCTGCACGCTCGTCGGATCACAATCCTGTATATACAGCTGAGTGCACTAGCGGAGATGCAGCAGAGAGAACTGGTATATCCGAGCCCGTTTGCACCCAGGCAACTGGCTCGAACAGCGGCACTTCTTCTAAGCGCACAACAACCTCGTCGATTTAAACCAATCTTGCCAGACACACATGGTAGATTGTTGATGTTTTACACGGTAGTTTCTAGTGGCTTGTTTATAGCGAGACTTAAGTGTCCCATGCCACCTGTAATAATGTTTTAATTGTCGAAGTGTTAGGGACATGTATGGTTTCCAATCGGCAAGCACTCCACTTCTCCTACGCATCTGCCGTGGATGCACAGTATATTTGAACACAGTGGTTGACATACTGACAAAGAGGTTCATTGTGTCCCGAGTTCAGTGAAATACCGTATGGGGACTAGTTAGACAGGTGAGAGTATTCTAATAACTCTGTAAGGTGAGACTTTATGTCTCTTAGTAAAACAGATAAATTTCTGAAGCGAGGATGCACTGTTTGGGGAGGTCGCGCCTTTTCAACCGGCGGCGGAGGTTCCAAGAAAAGGGATGGGCCACAGTCGCCGCAGGAGGTCGGAAGCAGGGCTGTCGATTGCTCTGGGGCGAGAACTTGGAAGGCTGAGCTGCCCCGAAATGTGCCCTTAACTTTACGTTTTGGGGCCAAACTCAACACTTGAAATCAGGGCTACAAAGTGTTATGCACTTTTGCTAAGACAAGAGATCACCCTGGATTTGCACTGCCACCCGAATTGATTCGTCACGCACCTGCTAGTCACTGAATGAAACCTCTTAGCGGAAATAATCGGCAACAACGCCGAACCTACTCAAATCTGTAAGGGTGAAGTGAAGTACTGGGACCTCTCTAGTACTTCATGTGTAGCCTTCCCAGATCTACCACTCAGTTTGTACTTCGATAATACTTTAGGTTCTTTCTGACTTGCAGCTCGGGTTCTGACTTCGAAAAATAACGGTTCAGGCCCCGACCTTGAGAGTGTCAGAGTACATCGAAACTGGCTCTTGGGAAAGTTATACTGCACCTGGGCCTGGGATGACTGGAAATGGGGCGGGTCAGGGAGGAATCAGTTCGAAGGGGAAAGGGCTAGCCTCAAGACTGATACTTGAAATCCGGGTTAGTCTCGAACACAACACTTAGGCGGACGGGCTGACCTGAAACCCAACCCTTAAATTCGGGGACCTAGGCCGAACTCAACCCTTAATGTTCAGGGCATTAAGGGCATTTGCCCTTGTAGCGACAGCCCTGGTCGGAAGGAACTTGAGTGCGGGGCGGAGAAGCACTGGCTGTTTGTTGGTCAGTTCGTTGTACTACGGTTTTGTTCGGTTCGCGGATATTCGGCGAAAACGACGTTTAGAGACAAGAAACCAACCAATCAGCCTGAACCGCATCCAAACGAATGGAATCGCGCTCGGCATTCCCTAGGTTCCATTCTTCCTGTCGACTTGTCATGGTCTTTCATGCCATGCTGCAAACTGATTTCTTTCTTCCAGGTGGTTCAGTTCAGAGAGTTATGTGGCACATTTCTCGAAGCTCCGTCGCCTCCTGTGAGTCCAGCTTACCTGCCTCAGTATCATCATATTTCTGCGGCCTTAATTATCGGTCATCGCAAGATCCCGGCCTTGTACTGGGGTAACTTCGGTGACTTTCACAACCATCCTATCACTCGTGTCGTGATTTGGTTCTAAAGGCGGAAATTGACCAAAGTTTCATTGCTATGGCACACGCGGAGCAACTCCAGCAGTATCCGTATCCATATCCACAGCCGCAGCCCCAACCGCAGCCGCTGCCTCAGCCGCAGCCGCATCCGCAGCCGCCGCGAGATTGGGAGCGGCAGTTGGTGCTTAGTAGTGTGGGCGACTGGAAGGCGTGGGCTAAGGAGTTTAGCGAAGCGGCGACGGTCATTCGCGGGCATGAACATGACAATGAGAACGACTATTGCAATGACAAAATCCTTGCCGTTAACCTTTGCGACGGCCAGCCTGCTGCTATGGCGAATGGCGCCGCGGTCGCGATCCAATCGGAGCAGGTGCAACTGTCGCAGCAGCAGTCGCAGCGGAAATCACAGCAGGAAGCGCAGCAGCAATTGCAGCAACTGTTGCAGCAGCAATCGCAGCCACGTTTGAAGCCGCGGGAACAGGACGTGCAGCCGCAGGAGCGACCGTCGTTGCAGCGACAACTGGAAGGATCACAATATCAACAAACGGAACCGTACCCGCGACAACCACAGCAGCAGCAGCAGCAGCAGCAGCAGCAGCTGCTGCCAGCGCAACAGCTGCCAGCGCAACAGCAACAGCAGCAGCTGCCAGCGCAACAGCTAGCGGGCGTCGGGAAGTTCGAGCGGTCGGTGCTTCCGGACACCGCGAGCGCGCCCCAATTCCCGCAACAGTCCCCGCGCGCACTCCTGCCGGGTGCGGCGGCGGACGCATCCTCCGCGGCCGTCGGCGGAGAGGTCGGCGGCGCGCAAAGCGGGGGAAGGGCGGTCGGCGCTGCGCACGCGCGCGCGAGCAGCGATGCGCGGAACAGCGTCCGCTCTATGATCGGCACGGCGCAGAACCCCGCGGATGGGCGGAGTGAGAGTCTGAGCGGGCGGCGGCGGTACGTGGTGACGAATATACGGCGGGACAAGCTCAGCAAGGGCAGCGAGGTGCGTTGCGGAACGTCATGGGAGGAAATGGCGTGGTATTCCATGTATTCATTCCATTGCATGTAGACACCATGTCGAATGACATCTGTTACACCAGTCGCTTCTTCGTGCTCTTTCTTTCCCCTTCCTCCGTTCTCCCTCCTCCCCTCCCCAACCAACCCGACACCCGCACACACTCTTCCCTTTCCCCTCCCTGCCGCTCTCTCTTCCCCTTCCCCCTTTCTCACCTCGCTTTCCTTTTTCCTGGGGCGTGTGGGGGTGTGCGCGTGCGCGTGGGGACTCGCGTGTGGGGATTGGTCGTGTGTGTTCTCGCCAGGGCGTGCCTGCGTGGAACGAGGGGTGGAATCGCGACGAGCAGCAGCAGGGCTCCAAGCAAGTACCGCCCATCAGTCCGCGCGTGGCTCTCCGCTCCCTCATCACCACCGTCAAACACGCCGCCGTCGCCACCGCCGCCATCACCTCAATCACCGCCAGCGCGAGCGCGAGCGCGAGCACCAGCGGCAGCGGCGCCGTCAGCGCGAGCTCTAGTGGCGCTGGCTCCTCCGCTAGTGCTGCGACTGCGGGCTCCGCCGCCGCCGCTGCTGCTGTTGCCGCTGGCGGCGCAGCGGGGGCGGGGGCGGGGGCGGGGGCGGGGGCGGGGGGGCTTCAGCAGCGCGGGTACAAATACTCCGCGTCGTTCTCGCGCTACTCCGAGGAGCGCAAGGCGCCCCCGCCCCGCTCGCTTTCCGTCTCCTCCTCCGCCTCCTCCGCATGCGCGCCTGCTGTCACGAGCGCGGCGGAGGCGCGGGCAGCGGAGGTGGCGGGGAGGGCCGGGGTGGCGGAGCTCGGGCGGGAGAGGCAGCGCGGAGGCGGAGCAGGAGGACGAGCAGCGGCGGGTAGCGCGTTTTCGGTGGAGGAGATGGAGAGAGAGTTCGAGGAGATCGAAGAGGTGAGTAGTATAATACAGAGAGTGAGGTGGGAGAGAGGGAAGCAGGAGAGGGTGACAGTCGTGGTGGTGGAAAACGGCAAGGGGATGTTAGGTAGGTGGGAGTAGCAGTGGGGGGTTGGGTTGAGCTGAATGGATGATGCATTGCTACGTGGCGACGTTGATGCTGCAGTGGTGCAGTGATTTTGTAATGCAATGCTGTTGTGATGCTATGCTGCTTTAACGATATGGTCTCCCCCCTCTCGCCCCCATGGTTCCCTCCCTTCGTTTCTGCCCGCCCTGTCTGCTCTCTTCATCCTCCCCTTCCACGCCTCTCGTACATGCATTTCAAACTGCTCCTGTTGCCCTCACCGCCTGCCCTCCTCGCTCTGCCCCCCCGCAGTTCGAGGCACAGTTCAGCACCATCACCTCGGCCGCCCGTCCACGTGTCACCGACTCTCTTTCTCTACCCTCCGCTGCTGCACCAACCACCAACCCCACCCACACCCTGCCCAGCACTATCACCACCCCACCCACCCATGCCACCACGGTGCTTGAGTCCCAACGCATATCCCTGCCTCCCTCTCAGCCCCCTCTTCCTCTCGTCACTCCCGCTATCCGTCCCTCCATCCCTCCTCTCCTCTCCCATACGCCCTCGCCCCCATCTCCCCCCCTGTTTGCGCCCCCACCACTTTATTCCGCTGCCCCCGCGCTGGTCCCTTCTGCTCCATCCACTGGCACCAGTTGTGCCCCCCCCGCTTCCACTGCATCCCCTGCTGCGCGCCCCTCCCCCGAGCCCCCTGCTGCGCGCCCCTCCCCCGACCCCCCTGCTGGGCGCCCCTCCCCCGAACCCCCTGCTGCGCGCCCCTCCCCCGAACCCCCTGCTGCGCGCCCCTCCCCCGACCCCCCTGCTGCGCGCCCCTCCACCGAACCCTCTGCTGCGCAGCCTCTCCTTGAGCCCTCTGCTGCACACGCCCCCCTGGAACGCATGGGGGCGGGCAGAAGGTGGGGACGGGAGATGGGCGCGGGAGAGGGCAGGGGTGATGGGGCGAGGGGGGTAGGTGTGGGAGGGAGAGGGCGAGAGGGAGAGGGGACGAAGGGAAGAGAGGGGGAGGTCTGTGTGGCAGGGCGAGGAGATGATATGAGGGGGCCGGGGGATGGGGTAGACATTCCACTGCCACAGTGGCCAACACCACACACACCTCCTCCCCCTTCCCCTCCTCCTTACAGTTCTGCTGGTGCTCCCTCTGCTGCCCCTACTGCTGTTCTTACTCCTGCTCCTGGCCCTGCTCCTGCTCCCGCTCCTGCTCCTTCCCCTTCTCCCACCGTTGCTCCTCCTGCTGCCTCCCCACGTGCCTGCGCATCCCGTGCCACTGCGAGTGCAACTGCTGGGGCTGTTGATGGTGCCGCAGGCGTGGAAGTGCCGCTGGCTGTTGGTGGTGCGAGCATTTTAGGGCACAGAGACTCAGGGACAGGGCAACGGATGGGAGGGGAAGGCGAGCCTGCGGCAAGAGCAGCAGGAGGAGCAACAGGAGGAGCATCAGGAGGAGCAGCAGGAGGAGCAGGGGAAGCAGAGGAAGGAGCAAGTGGAGAAGTCCCACCAGTAGCCGCAGCAGCAGCAGCTAAATTGGGCAGCAGCTTGCAACAAGGCACGTTTGAGTCGAGGGTTGGAAGAACAGGCGCCTCCATATCCCAGGCTCGCCCAACTCTTACCCTTGATCACATTACCCCTGACCCCACTCCCTCTCTTTCCCCATCCGCTCCTCCCAACCCCTCAGCACCACCTTCTGCCCCTCTCACATCCCCACAAGCTCAACCCACACGGCAAGCCACCGCCTCTCCTCCTGTAACCCCTCCCTCCTCGCGACCCAGTAGCATCCTGCGACGCTTCACCCTTCCTCTGCTGCACACGCCTCACTCTCGCCACAGCATGTCGTCACCATCGCCCGCTCATGCAAACCCGCACATAGCCTTGTCATCCCCATCGTCAACCCCTACGCTACCTTCCGCCCTAGCTTCTGCTGCACCGCCTCTTTCACCGTCTGCCCCACAGTCTGCCTCATCGTCTTCCTTCGCGTTGTCATCAGCTCGCCGCTTCTTCCCGATAAGTCGGTCCACCTCTGCTGCCTCCGCCTCCTCCTCTCACTCCCACTCCCACTCCCTCTCCAACTTCCGTTCCCCTGCCCGCCCCTCCTGCACACCTTTCGCTGCACTGCGTGTTGATACCTCCCCTGTTGCTGCCACTGCCGCTGCAGCCGCAGCTGCAGCTGCAGTTGGTGCTGTTCCCTCACCTCCCATGTCCCCGAATTCTGAGGGGAACGCTCAAGCACGCACCACTGCCGCTTCTGCTGCAGCTGCTTCTGCTGCTTCCTCTGCTTCCACCGCTCCTTCTGCTTCTGCTGCTGCTGAGTCCATCAGTCCTTCTGCGCCTGCAGCAACTGCTGCCTCCCCTACCACTCCAACCAGCAACTTCCGTCTCGTCCCTTCCATCTCTGCACGCTACCGTTTCCCCTCCAGCCGATCCACCTCCAGCGTGCCCTCCCCCTCCGCTGCCGCTGCTGCTCTCGCCTCCCCCTCATCCGCCCCCACCTCGTCTGCTGCCGCGGCTCAGCTTGACAGCAGCGGGGGTGGTGGCGCTTCAGGGGCGGACGCAACAGGCGAGAAAGCGGGAGAAAGAGCAGGAGAGAGGTTGGACATGAGCACCATGGATCCTGCCCGCCTGCTGCAGCGGCTGGCAGCAAGGGCGAGGCTGAGCGAGGAGGAAGAACGGATGGTGGAGCAACTAGCAGAAACGCTTCCAGGGATCCGAGAGATGGTGAACCGGCGGCAGCAGTTGGTAGGCAAACAGGCGCAGGAGCGGAACAAGGCTGTGGAAAGCCAGGAGGAAGAGACGGTTGGGGGGGAGGGTGACCGGGTTGGTCGGGTTGTGAGTGCGATCGAGGAAGGGGATGAGTGGGAGGAAGCGGCTGAAGCGCCAGGGAAACCGACAGAGAAGCAACAGCAGCAGCATCAGCAGCGTCAGAGGTCCTACGCCGCTATGCCTTCCCCCTCCCCCGGGCCTTCCCCCTCGCCGACCCCGGCGATCAGCCGAGTGTCTGCAGCGGCGTTGCAGTGGCCTAGGAGTGTGTCGGCTGCTGCTGCCAGTAGCACACGGAGCAAGGAGAGGGCGGAGGAGGAGAAGGGGAAGGAGGGCGAGGGGGTGAGTGAGCGGTACAGGGGGAGGCGGCTGAGTGGGCCTCTCATGCCCAGGAGGGGGCAGAGGCACAACCGGCGGCTTAGCCAGGGGCTTAGTCAGGGGCACAGCCAGGGGGAGGTGCATGGGCATGAGGCGCAGGGACAGGGGCAGGGACAGGATGAGAAGAAGGTGAGACTTGGTTGCACTTGTTTGTGTGTGTGTGTGAGTGTGTGTGTGTATGTGTGCGCGCGCGCGCGCGTGTGTGTGTGTGCGTGCGTGTGTGTGTGTGCACGCGCGCGTGTGTGTGTGTGTGTGCGCCAGACTCGGGGTGTTTTTAAAATGTTTTTCTTACAATGCAAACCGTGGTCTTGGATAGCGTGTGTTGCATCGCTCCAAAAACCCTGCTCGTACCGACAACCTCCCAGCCTTCCTCCCCGTTGCACCCGCCATCACTGGGATGTTCACAGGGCTTGTGGAGATTGGATGTGTGGCGCAAGCTCCTCTCGCCCACCACCCCCACCTGACAGCACACCAGCTAGCACTGTGCTGGCGTCTCTCTGCCTCCTGCTGTTCCCTGGTGAGTCTGTGCCAATGACAAAAGGCTGGCCTTAGAGGCATATCTAAACTAGTGTGTGACTTTGTGCTCCGCCTACCCACTCCATCCACCATCTTTGTGCTCCTGTGGTCTACCATGACAATAAATGCATTGACGGTGTGTCCTGGGTGCTGATTGCAGGCAGAGCTGATGAAACGGCGCGAGACACTCCCTTTGCTGAAGCGCGTCGAAGATCCCAGGAGCCGTTTGGTTGAGGTTTCAGTGTGCTGAAATATTGTGTACAAGTTAGTGTCGAATTTCTGTGGCACATGACAGGTTGGCTTGGCACCCTTGGGAATTAGAGCTTGTAGGTTGTGTTGCAAGGGAGTTGGCATAATCGCCTGGGTGACAATATGCACCATTCATACCTTGGTGTGACCTGAAATGTATGTGTACAGTAATTATACCTAGTTCCTCAACAATTGTTCAATGCTAAATCAGTATAACGGTCACCTCAAAAGCGAACATCGCATATATCTCTACATTTGTGTCCCCTCTCCGCGTCCGAGAAAGAAAACCCCTCCAGGTTTCCACATCTCATCCTCACCTGCTCTACAGTACCGGCTGACGCCCAGGATGATTCGTCCTGAGGGGTTTTCCAGCCTCAGGACGTGGGGGAACACGACCGATCGCCCTGAGGGTCATCTTAGTCACGGGACTGAAATCGGTTATATAGTTTTAGGTGCGGTTCAAGTTTATCTTTGCCTCCCCGTGACCCTCGAGATTGCCAACTTGTAGCATCGCATCCTTGACAGGCATCCCCCATGAGATTGCCGATAGACCTTGAAATGCCTTCAGCCGCCCCCCTGCTCCACTAAGAACTTCAGACTGATAAGTTGTGGTTCTTGGCGCTGTTTGCTTGCGAAGCCAAGCTACGACATCTCTCCAGGTTCGTCTTGACAAGCAGTTTTTTTTCTCAGTTTAATTATTTTTGTGTAAGGGAAGGAATATCATCCTTGCAATCTTGTTTTGTCCAGCCTGCACTTCCCGAAAGTATCGCCTTTTTTATTTGCCGCGCTTTCGCTAACTCCCTTTTTTTCCACTCTGCGCCATGAAAGCCCACAAAATCACGCGGTCTGTTTAGTCTACGTGTGCGTCCTTCCCGCCATTTATTATTGTAGCAATACGACGTCCACTCTTATATCTACATTTTTTTTTCTGTACATTCACGGCGCTCAATCCTAGACAGAAGACGTAGTCGGAACGCTGTTATACCGCTCAGTTAGCAGCAGCACGCATCATCTGATCATCTCTCGTATCGCTGTACCATCTGGTTATCGGACTCATCAGTTACCGGACCATCTGGTTAGCGGACTCATCAGTTACCGGACCATCTGGTTACTGGACCCATCCGTCTAGTTACCGGACCCATCTGTTTACTGGAACCTTCTGGTTACCGGCCCGTGTTTGTAGAACCCTTCTCTGCCGCCATTCCTCCCTTCCTACCTTCCCTGCCTTCCGTTTTTTCCTGCTACGCCCGTTGTCTCACATCAGGCGGTTTTTTTGCCTTTTAAGGCGAGGTGTGTGTTCGTCGCCGCTGGCCGTCGACGCAGGCTCAGCATGCGACACCCTGCGTCGCACGCATTGCCTCTGCCACACATGGATGATGTTAGCTAGGGTTTGGTCTGTCGCTCGGAACTTTCTCCACGCCCCACAGCGATGCGGTCGGGAGCAGCAGATTCGTGGAAGACAGTGGCTTCAGCGGGTAGAGTACGATTAAGTACGGCCCGCGAAGGAAGAGGGTAGGCGTGCTGAAACCTCCGACTAGGAAAAGATAAGGCTGAACGAGGGGATTAGTTTCTGTAGAAAACTGAAGGAGGGAGGGTGGAGTAGTTTTGGGAAAGCTGGGGGCGGCAGTTTGGGAGGTGTGGCGTAGAGTAGGCGATTGAGTTGAAGACGGGGTGTGAACGGCTGACGGCAAGCAGCAGCCGGCCCGGCGGCAGTGGCAGCGATGCAGCGACAGATGAATCGCGGCTACAACAGTCCAGCACCGCAAGGGCCGTCCGGAATGAATCCTATGGTGCTAGGAGGCGCGGCGGCAGCAGCAGCAGCGGCGGCGGCGGCCGGTTTGGAGGGCGGAGGCGGAAACATGGGGCCCCGCCGAACGCGGAGCCTTGACGTCGCGCAGCTGCAGCTTTTGGGGCCGGGAGCGGCGGCTGCGCTGGCTGCGGTGGAAGAGGCGGAACGGGCGGAAGGGGAAGCGGAAATGGGAGGCGGAGGGTCCCTTGCGAGACTTATGGCGGGGAGAATGGGGCCGGGAGGTTTGGGCGGAGGAATGGGTGGAGGATTGGGCGGGGATTTGTATGGGGGAATGGTCGGGGATATGTATGGGGGAATGGGTGGGGGAATGGGAGGCGCGATGGCTGGTGGAGGGGGAGGAATGGGGATGAATGGGGGGATGGGCGGGATGTTGGGGGGAGGGTATGACGAGAGTGGTATGATGGGAGGTGCGGATTATTCGGCTGTGATGGATGGCGGGCAGATGGGCATGATGGGGAGCAACAACATGGCAGGGCCGAGAGGGCATGGCGCACCAGGTGCGTGCGCGTGTGTGCGTGCGCGCGTGCGTGTGTGTGCATCTCGCAACGAGCCTCTTCTGCCTCTTTGCAATCTTCGTTTTCCTTTTATTTTTGGTGCCGCGTGTTAGCAAAGTGAGTGAGTCGAACAAGAAATTCGAGGCGCGACTCGTATACTGTTTCGTTTTCACTTTCCTCTAACCCTCGCCCCCTCTCCATTCTCCCCACTTCGCTTCTCGCCGCCTTCCCCCCTCTCGCCTCTCGCCCCCCTCCCCCGTCCTCTCACGAAACAGCACCAACATTTGCAGACTCTCCTTTCTTTGCGCGCCTCTGTCGCACGCGCGCTTCGCCCTCGCCCCTCTCCCCTCTCGCGCGCCGCCGCACCACATCCCTCAACGCCGCTCTAGGCTCCCAACTAGCCGCTGCTGCAGTAGCTCACACCGCCGCTGCAGGAGCAGGGGGGGGCGGAGGCGGAGGGGGAGGATTAGGGCAGACCTGGGGAATGATTGCGGAAGGGGAAGGGGGACTCGATGGGGGAGCGGACGTCCCTATGATCTCCGCTGGGGGTGGGAGTAAAGGGGGGTATATGGGCGGGGGGGCGCCTCCCCGCCCTCTTCCCCAGCTCTCCCCCACACGTGCTGCTGCGCTTGCCCATGCCGCCGCTGCTGCTGCCGCAGCTGCTGCTGCATCAGGCACAGGAGCAGGAGGAGGGATGGGGGGAGGAGGCATGGGAGGCATGGGGGGCATGGGGGGCATGGGGGGCATGGGGGGCATGGGGGGCATGGGGGGCATGGGAGGGGGTGGCATTCCGGGGTATAATCTAAGTGTGCTGGGCATGAATGCGCGTGACTTGGCCAACACGCTAGCGCGCACGTCCAGCGCCCCCCCCTTGGGCAATCTCACTGAGCTGGAGCAGATGTGCCTTGCAGTAGAATCGTCCGCACAAGGAAACCCTAATGCTGCTGCAGCCGCCCTTGCCGCAGTTGGCGCGGCCAGCATGGGCAGCACCTCTGCTGCTGCCGCTGCTGCCGCCGCCGCTGCTGTTGCTGCTGCTGGTGGTGGCGGTGGGGGAGGCGGAGGGGGAGGGTGGCCTCCCCCAACTCCGCCTGGAGGGGGTTCAGGTGGTCTTTCCGCGGCTGCCACGTCAGCAGCCATCGCAGCGCTTGCAGGGGGTAAGGGCGCAGCGCAGCACCTGCAGGGCTACCCGCAATGGGGCGTGGGGGGCGGGTCAGGGGGAATGGCGGGGCTGGCGGGGGGCGGGGGGGGGCGCATGGGGCTTGGCGCACAGGTATCATCACTGCAGCGGACGTCCAGTGGAGGGAGAGAGGTGGAGCGGCGAGCTATGCTGTGGAAGGCCCTGGGGGGTGGTGCAGGCGGGGGAGGGGGAGGCGGGGCTAGTGCAACGAGTGGGGGGCAGTCGAGCAGCGGGGCAAGCTCGTTAGTGAGCATGGGGGAGGAGAACAGCGCGGGGGCTCAGTTGGACCCACACCACCAGCAGCAGCAGCAGCAGAGGAAGAAGGTTGGGGGGCAAGCGATGCAGCAAAACCAGCTGGCGAGAACCAGTAGCTGCCCGCCCTTGAAGCAAGGCCTTGCTGCTGCCATGGCTGGTGGGTCCTCGTGCTGTCTCTCTCGCTCTCTCTCTCTCTCCCTCCCTCCCTCCCTCACTCCCTCCCTCCCTCCCTCCCTCCCTCCCTCCCTCCCTTCCTCCCTCCCTCCCTCCTTCCCTCCCTCCCTCCCTCCCTCCCTCCCTCCCTCCCTCCCTCCCTCCCTCCCTCCCTCCCTCCCTCCCTCCCTCCCTCCCTCCCTCCCTCCCTCCCTCCTTCCCCCTCTCCCTCTCTCATCCTTTCTCTCGCACATTATCCCTCGTTCTCTCTCCCTCTTGCTCATCATCTCTCTCCCTCCCCGTGTTCACCCCCATTCGTTTTTTTTGGCGTGCCTGCCACGTAGCCCCTTCGCCACTCTTTCTGGCTGCTCCAATCCTTCCCCACTTCTCCCCGCAGAGACACCTCTTGGGGAGGCGCACATGCTGCTGCAGGCGCTGCTCAACCGCAAGAGAGAGTTGGAGTTCTTCCGTGCCTCATTAACGCCTTCTTGTCCGCCTCGCTGCTCTGCTCTGCTCTGCTCTGCTCTGCTCTGCCCTGCTCTGGCCACGCCACTCCTTCCCCCCTTCTCCCTGCCCTGCAGAGATGCCTCCCAGGGAGGCGGACATGCTGCAGGCAGGCGCTGCTCAACCGCAAGAGGGAGTTCTGTGGCGCCCCATTACCGCCCTCTTGCCCCCCTTGCTGCCCTGCTCTGGCTGATCCGCTCCCCCGCCCCACCTGCCCTGCAGAGATGCCTCCCGGGGAGGCGGACATGCTGCAGGCGCTGCTCAACCGCAAGAGGCGTTTTTTGAGGCGCCGTATAAACGCCTTCCCCCCCCTCGCCGCTCTGCCCTGCTGCTCCGCTCCCTCCCCGTCCCTCCCCGCAGAGATGCCTCCAGGGGAGGCGGACATGCTGCAGGCGCTGCTCAACCGCAAGAGGCGCCGCCTGCCCGCCACTGCATCGGATGTCATGGCGCACATGGGGCCAGGGGGAAAGGTGAGGCAAAAGGGGAAAGGTGGTGCGCAGGGGGCAGTCAGGGAAGGCGGGGCGCATTGGGTGGGGGGAAAGGTGGGGTGTGGGGAAAGGTGGGGCGCGTGGGGCAAGGGGGGAAAGTGGCGCGCTTGGGGTTAGGGGGAAAGGTGGGGTGGGCGGGACATGGGGGAAGGTGGGTGGGCAAGGCTTGAGGGGAAGGTGAGGCGGGTGGGGCAGGGAGGATGGTGGGGTGCGTGGGGGACAGGGATGGGTGTGGTGTGGTGGTGGGGCAGATAGAACGATAAGGGCATTCGGGAATGTAATGCTTCCCGAGCATTTCTTTTGCCGATTCATGTTAGCAGTCAAGGATCCCAACCTCTCTTATTCCGCTCCTCGTTCTCCCGTTCCCTGTTCCTGCCGTCCCCTCTCTCACCCCACCCTCCCTCCCTTCCCCCTCCCTGTGCAGATTCCTGGAATCCCCACTTCAGGGGACGGAGACGCAGGGGGGAAGGAGGTGGAAATGGCTGAGGGGGAGCAAGGGGGTAGGGAGGCTATGTTACGGGGACAGGGGAGTCTCAGTGCGGGGGCGAAAATGCACATGGGGGGCGGGCGCAGTGGGGGTGCAGGGAAGGCTGGGGGAGGAGAGGGATGGGGTGACGATGGGTGGGGGGAGGAGAGGGAGGTGGTGCATGTGCGGGCGAGGAGAGGGCAAGCAACGGATAGCCACAGTATTGCGGAGAGGGTGAGTGGAAAGTGCTGATAAGACAGCCTGCTTCTGATAGAGTAATCTGGTAGCAGGCTGAGCTGGGGTGGGTCAGGACTCAGGCTTGGTGCTGTCATGTCATGTCATGTCATGTCATGTCAAGTGTTGGTGGAGTATTCTGTGTGTAGTGGAGTGCGCATGGGATTTCGACACAATGTTACTCCCCTGCCGTTTTCTGTTGTCATCCTCGGTGCATGCATGTTTGCGCATACATTACCTCCCATGCATCCATGTGTGTGTGCGTGTGTGTGTGCGAGCGCGCATGCGTGTGCATGTGTATGTGTGTGCAGATGCGGAGGGAGAAGATCAGCGATCGCATGAAGGTGCTGCAGGCCCTCGTTCCCAGCTGTGCCAAGGTGAACCCACCACCACCCCCACCACCCCCACCACGCCCGCCACCACGCCCGCCACCACGCCCGCCACCACGCCCGCCACAATGCACACTTCCTCCTCTCTTCATCTCCCCATGCCTTGTAAGTATGAAACTTCTGAAACCCCAAAGATCCTGAATCTCTGATACACCTTCCACAACCACCAAACTCCTTAGATTGTGACATGCCCATCTGCTCTTGGGGGAAAAGATGGACAGCCAAACAAGGCTCATGAACTACGCTAGCTGCAAGTTCCCGCTTCCAAAGCGTTTCCTGCACCGTGCCTGCCTCTCTCTTTCCTTCCCCTCCCCTCCCCTCCCCCCCCCCAACGACTGTGAGGAGAGCAGGTGACGGGCAAGGCGGTGATGCTGGACGAGATCATCAACTATGTGCGCTCGCTGCAGCTGCAGGTCGAGGTGAGACACACTCACAGGGAGAAGCGGCGAGGAGTAAGAGCAGGCGAAGAGGAGTGGGAGCAGGTTGCTGCACAGTGGTGCACTCGGGTGCACAGGCATGCTCAGCGATGCTTAGGGTTGTGCATGGGCGCATAGGGGTGTACAAGGGTGTACAGGGGTGCAGAGGATTGCACAGGGGTGTACAAGGTCCAGCTGCATAGCTGGCTGCTGTACAACAGCGCATGTACATCCATCCCTATGCACCTGCCTCCTCCTTCTGTAATCGAAGCCACCGTTTCTGCTCCCCATTTCGTTACCTCTGAACCCGCCATTTCGTTCTCTTCCCCTCACTATCTCCTTCTCATCCGCACCTCTCCTTCCCTGCCCCCCTTGCCATCATCGTGTTTGGTGTGTGCCCTGCAGCTTCTGTCCAGCAAGCTAGCAGCCATGGACTATGGCAACCTCGCTTCGCTTGGCGACCCCTCTGCATTTGAGGTCTCCTTCCCCCCTCTCCCTTCCATCCATCTGTCACCTCACTCGTTACCTCCTCGCCCCCCCAGCACTACCTTTCTTCTCTCCCTTCCTGCCTTCGTCCCATAAACTCCATCTATCTTTGAATTTACTTTCTCCGTGATTCCCTTACTACTGCTTACACCCCACTCCCTTGCTCCTCCCTCCCTCCTCCCTCCCTCCTCGCTCCCTCCTCCCTCACCCCATCCCTCGTCTCTTACCCACTCAATCGTCCCCCACTCCCTCCCACTCTATCAGGACATGGACGACGGCAAAGCAGAGGCGGCAGCAGCAGCGGCTTTTGAGGCGCCTCAAAAGCCCTTACCCACTCAATCATCCCTCACTCCCTCCCTCCCACCGCATCAGGACATGGACGATGACGAAGCGGAGGCGGCAGCAGCAGCAGCAGCAGCCACCGCCATTGCAGCAGCAACGCTAGCCGCAGGAGGACCCGGCATGGCAGCACGGGGAGCAGGAGGCATGCGGCTGGAGGGCGGTCGGGGGAGCGGTGACATGTCCAGTGCAGGGGGGAATGGGTCCGGGTGGAATGATGAAGGGCTGCTGAAAGCAGGGATGGGGGAAGGAGCGGCAGGAGGGGTGGGAGCAGATGGGAGTGACGCAGGAGCAGGGAAGGATGGGTCTAGCGGTAACCATGACCTGCTGGCCCAGTATTTCCGGCAGCTGGGTCCCAAGGACGGGCACACGGGGAGTGGCTTGAGTGGCGGTGCTGCCGATGGTCCTGCTCGTTCGGCCAGCAGCCAGGGGGGAGAGGGCAGGGCGGACGGAGGGGCAATGGGGGTAGGAGGTAATGTGAAGGAGGAGGTGGTGCCGGAAGGGGTTTCAGTGCACGTGGATGGGGGGGGGTTGAGGGGAGGAGTGGAGGGAGGGGAGGGGCAGGAGGTGATCGGCCCGCTGGGTGTGTCGCAGTTTGAAGGGCTGGATGAGGACGGGGAGATGTTAATGGATATGCTCTTGGCGAGGATGAGTGGTGGGCTGCAGGACCTGTCCCTGCAGGCCTCGCTCTCTAACTCCCTGGCTGCTGCTGCTGCCGCCGCTGCTGCTGCCACTGCCTCTGGGTCTGCTGCATCTGCTGCTGCGGCTGCTCCTGGTTCTTTGGCAGCAAGGGGAGCAGGAGTGCCAGAGTCCAGTCAGAACATGGAAGGCACTTCAGCTAATGTGAGCTTTGCCTCTGGAATGGCGGGGTGGGGGGTGGGGTTGAGGGGTTATTGAGCAGGGAGGGAGAAGGGGGGGGGGAGGGGGGGAGAGGTTACAGGCCCATGTGAGAGTTTTTGGGGATTGTTGGGATGCAGGCTCATGGGGGAATTGGAAATGGAAAGGAATTTGAATGCGGGGGCTATTGGGTGAATCAGGGATGGGGGTAAAGAAGGGGGAACTGGGGATGGAGGTTGTTGCTGACTCCGTGTGCTCAATGTGTGCTCTGTTGCTGACTGCCTTTTCAATGTCGAACCTCACCCCCACCTTTCCCCTACCCGTTCCTGCTACCTACCCTTCATCTTCCCGTCTGCCCTTCCCCATTGCCCTGTGGGTGTGTGGTGTGGTTCCCCTGCAGTGAAGAGGACCAGCACACCCAGAACTGCTCCACCCACCACTGCAAGAAAGAAACCCCAGAATTGGGAGGTCACAGAGCACCCGAAGCATCCTAGTACTCTACTTCTCTCCTCAGCATTGGCTGCTCTGCTCTCCAAAACCCCGTGTTTCCTACTTGAGACAAGTTGCTGGCCCCTGCAAGTGCGAGCAGGATCTGTTGGCAGCGGTTGGAGCACTGGAGTCTTGTGACACCGGTATTGCTGGGGGATGTGAGCGACCTGCTCTGCTTTACTGTTGGGGTAGTGTAGCTTGGGTGGGTGGGTGGGATGTGTCCGGTCATGGCATGGCTGGCAGAGTGTGATGGTGGTGGGAGCAATTCGTATGGTCACAGTGCTCCAGGTGTAGTATGACGGAGTGGGAAGGCGGTTTCGCTACAGAAGCCTCACATCACAACCACCAGCAGTTCTCTCTATTTATAGAAATAACCCTAGACAAGAAGCACCAAGTCGATGTGCTTATAATCAGGTAACGATCGCTGGAGCCCTTCAGCTGAGGCTGCAAAGCTAAGAGTACCATATGACTAGTCTGGTAGATAAACTTATCTAGTCATCTTATCTAATTTAGTGCGGACTGTTGTTCACATTCACTTGCCTCAATCTTGTGTACCCGTTGTAGTTTACGAAGCTGCTTTTCTGCTAACGGATCCGTACAACTAGCACCAAATGAACAAGGGGGGGAAGTGCCCTTCACTGCTTCCAGCTTCGCGCTTCCCTAGCAGCGTCCTCCACCTCCCGCCCATCTCCTCCGCCACCCGCCCACACCGTATTCTCGCAGCATTTCCGCCATCCGCGCGTATCCCTCCCGCCCCCCTCCCGCCTCCGCACAACCAAGTCGCAATGGCGCTGCTTCTCCGCGCGGCACAGCGAACCACCAGCACCGCGTATCGCGCCGTTCCGCGTCTCCTCCCGCTCCTCGACTCCGCTCTCCTCGTCCCACGCCGAGCCGCATCCTCCGTCGCTACGTCTCCGTCAGTCGCGCCCGGCTCGTCCGCGCCGACCGTGGCGGATCGCGCTGTGCGCTTCACCGCGATCGACGCGGACGGGCACCGCCACGCGGTGACGGGGCTTGCGGGGCGCACGCTGCTGTCTGCGCTGATCCGCTCCAAGGTTGAAACCGTGGAGCGGCATCAGCTGGAGGAGCTTGATTCGTGCAACGGCAACTGCCAAGGTGCGTGCGCGCATCGCGCGCACAGGCGCATAGGTGCACAGGAGATTAGTAGGCGATTAGTCGATCAGGCGATTAGGCGATAGCAAGCAGCAGCTAGGAGTGCCTATTTAAGTAGAAATAGGTAGGGTATGTCACTTTGTCAGCAGCAGCTTCTACACCTTTTCCCCATTCCTTAGTCCCGTTTTGTGATTATGGATGTCAGCATTGTCACATACTACACTTGTTGCGTCATCTTCTTTCGGTATAAGTTCTCTTTCACTTATTGCCTTCAACTAACGCTCCCCTTTTCTCTCCCCCCACCTTCCTCCACCACACCCCCACCAACCCCCCGCCCTCTTCCCCCTCTTCCTCTCCCCCCACACCCCCACCCCCCGCTCCTCGCCCCTCCTTCCCTCCCCTCCCCCCCCACTTCCGTGAACCCCATGCTCTTATTCCCAGTGTCGATAGCGCAGGAGTGGCTGGACAAGCTGCCACCGCGGACGCAGGCAGAGGAGGATCGGAGGCGAGCTTTGAGGCGCCTCAAGGCACCCCCCCTTCCCCCTCTTCCTCCCCTCTCACACCCTTGCCCCCATTCCGTGAACCCCATGCTCTTATTCCCAGTGTCGATAGCACAGGAGTGGCTGGACAAGCTGCCACCGCGGACGCAGGCAGAAGAGGATCGGCTGCGGCAGGTGTCAACTGATGGGCAGGTGACAGGCAGCAGCAGGCTCGGGTGCCAGGTGCACCTGAGCAAGGACCTGGAGGGCATGACTGTGGCTATGGCTGAGGAGCGTCCCTGGTACACCTTGTGATGATTATATTACGGTGCTAAGTGTAGTTGGAATCGAAGAATGAATCAAGTGGGGACATAGGGGGGTAATTTGAGCGAAAGTTTGCATTGGACGGCTGCTGATTGTGGGCCATGTAAGCTTCAGTTCAGTGACGTGCTGTTAGTGAACTAGAGCTGGTTTGTGCAGGTACACATTCTTTAAGCTTTTGTCATAACTCTTAAGAATATCATTGCTGAAGGTACAGTAAGGAAACTTGTTCAACATCAAAGCAGAATCTGAACTGCTGCTGGTAGTTTATGTTGCAATGAACTGCACTTGGTAGTTTATTTACATTAAGTGTGTTGCACTTTGTCCTTGCTGTTTATTGGAATTGCTCTTGGAGAGGAACTGGTGTGGGCCTGCTGACTCAAAGCACCTGATCTGATTCATCCTGAGGCAGATAACCTCTGACACTTGCAGCCTCGGAAATTACGAACCAATTGTGATCACCCAAAAAGCAGCTGAACCACAAGCACAGAACCGAACGGTGCTGACAGACATGGGTCATTCTAGCGAGCCGGTTGCACCAATCACTGTTCCCGCCCTGCATCCCCGTGTTCGCGGAGACAGGTGGGTGAGTGGAGTGGAGCTCGACAGCTCCAGCTCCCACGGTCCCTCCCACCCAACCTCCCTGGGTTCGAGAAGGGTTCGAGAAGGTGAAGTGAAAAGAGGTTCGGTGATGTGTGGTGCAGACATATGATGTGACGTGATCCGTGAGCCACGGCACAGTGATCCATCCATCTGCAGCAAATCGTGATTCGTGAGCCGTGATGCTTTGCTCTGGGTGACGGTCTGCTCTCTCGTCTGTTGTTCGCTCCTGGTGCGTTCAGTTGAGTCGGTCGGTTCGGTTGAGCCAGTTCCAGTTCAGATGAGAGAGCATTTCAGTGCATCCACTCGCTCACCCACCCACCACACGCTAACTGACCAGCCTCGAGGCTCGAATCAACAAAAAAGCCTCTTCACCCAATTCCTGCTCCGTAGCTGGTCTCACGATAATCTTGTTCAACAGTCGTACTCAGCCTATTCCTGCGGAGGTGCAAGAATGGGAACTACTGTGGACAGCATAAAGGTAGCTTGCCGTCCCTGTGCGATTTTCCCGAATTTGCTTTCCCCCCGTTTCAGCTCTGTCATAATCCGTCGAGTCAATTTCTAGACGCACGTGTGTGTGATTGTCTTTCTTCGCGCTTCTTATCAATCCAGCTTACCACGCTCCGATCCGATCCATACCCACTGTCCGTTCTCCTACGTTTGAAACTCCATTGACGTTCAGGTTGGCGATCTGGTCGTCCTTGCGACGCCTGATGGTCGCCTGTATCGCATGCGTCCCTTGGCGAACGGTCGCGACTGGTCCTTCTCCTCCGATGATGCTCCACACACCGACAGGTCGGTTCCGCATAACACAATGTCAACCGAATTAGTCAACAAAATCTGCACTAAATAACACAGCAGCATCATCGTCCTCACTGTTGGCATGTGGCGTCTGCATATTGAGGCCTCTGAAAGGCTCATGAACCTGCGTCGTAAAGACTGAGCTGGTGCGTCCAGCTTCTTGGCAGTCTGTGTTCTACTCGACTCTGACTCTAAACTCTGACCCCGACCACAATTCACCGTTGCAACACCGTTGAATATCATTGACTTTGTTGAACATTGCTGAACCTCATTGAACGTCGTTGAACGTCGTTGAGCATCATTGACATCGCCATGCGCGCCCCGTCCCCTGCAGCTCGTACCCTCCTGAGGCCATGCTGGTGGTTCTTCAGTCCGATTGCAAGCGCTACTTGGGCTTCCGCTCTGTGGCTGCGGAGGGCAAGGTGAGCGCAAGCAACTCACCAAGGTTGTGATGGAGATGTCAACGTGACAGCAGCACGGTTAGAATATAAATATCACTGGTCTGAAGCAATGAGCACTGCAGCACTGAACAATGACCTGCAGTGATGCCGTGACCATTAGGCCCTTCGATTCCGCAGGCTCCCTTCATACTCTCACTTTCCACATTTCGTCTCGCATGCTGCGATCATCCGTCGCGCCCACTCATTGAGATTCTCTCCGCGCTCTCCTCCCGGTATCCCATCTGTCCTCCGTGCAGATCATGCAGTCGGGTAAGGACCTCAAGATGCGCGCAGGGAACTACAACTTCAAGACGGTGCGTCTCTCCGCGTCTCTCCGCGTCCCTCCGCTTCTCTCCGCGTCGGTCCGCGTCTCTCCGGGAGCATTTGCATGTGCATCACCGTTGACATCAACCCGTTTCGTCGCGCGGTCTTGCACGCTGCACTTACCGCCTCCGGTTCCTCGTTCCTGACTCTCCCATGCTCTCTCTCTCCCCTCTCCCCCTCACCCCACCTCCCCTCCCCCTCCTGATTTTCTCTATCCCCCCCTCACTCTCTCTCTCGGTCCCCATCGCTCCCTCCTGCTCACTCGCTTCCTCTCCTGCTCTCTCTTCCCCTTCTGCCTTCTCGCCGGTCGCAGTGGGAGCATTGGCAGGTGGAGCCATCCCAGGTGTCTCGCTCCGTGCAGGCATCTCCAGCCAAGGCTCTCGCTGGAGCGGCGGCGGGACCGCCTTCTCCGCTCTTCTTGCTCACCAACCGACAGTGAGTGTTGCTGCCCTTCACTCAAAACCTCTCTAGAACCTCTCTCGCGTGAGCCGCTCTCTCTGTTGGTCGTCTCGATCCCTACCCGTCGCGATCCTTCCTCTCCGTGCCCCTTTTTCGGACAGCCCCACAACTTGTGCTTCCTGATAGCTCCCCCCTGTTAGAAACCCACCTGCAGATCCACCCGCATTCGAGGTGACTTTTGAGTCGACTCAAAGGACAGCCCCACAACTTGTGCTTCCTGATAGCTCCCCCCTGTTAGAAACCCACCTGCAGATCCACCCGCATTCGAGGTGACTTTTGAGTCGACTCAAAGGACAGCCCCACAACTTGTGCTTCCTGATAGCTCCCCCCTGTTAGAAACCCACCTGCAGATCCACCCGCATTCGAGGTGACTTTTGAGTCGACTCAAAGGACAGCCCCACAACTTGTGCTTCCTGATAGCTCCCCCCTGTTAGAAACCCACCTGCAGATCCACCCGCATTCGAGGTGACTTTTGAGTCGACTCAAAGGACAGCCCCACAACTTGTGCTTCCTGATAGCTCCCCCCTGTTAGAAACCCACCTGCAGATCCACCCGCATTCGAGGTGACTTTTGAGTCGACTCAAAGGACAGCCCCACAACTTGTGCTTCCTGATAGCTCCCCCCTGTTAGAAACCCACCTGCAGATCCACCCGCATTCGTCCCATTCGTCCCCATGCACCCGGATCCTCTCTTCTTTTATCTTTCTTCTCCCCAATCCCCCTCCTCCGTCTCTCCTTCCATCCCCGCCAGGTTCCCCTTGATGCGCATGAATGTGCGCATAGAGCGCGCGGTCGCGCTCCCCGAGTCCAGCGCCAAACGCGTCGCGCTTATGGAGTTCGCGGGCGCCTCCGCCTTCGACGCGCAACCGGAGTCCCCCTCCACCCCCGGCGGCGGAGCCGGCGGGGGAAAGGGCGAGCAGGAGGAGGAGGTGAAGGCGGTGGTGGCTGCGGAATCCGGGGATGCTATTGCGCGCGCGTTGGCGGAAGACGACGCCGTGCGCGCAAAGGAGGAGCTGACGGCGCTGCGGGAGGAGAACCGCCTGCTCATGGAACGCGCAGTAGAGGCGGAAAAAGCGGCGGAATCCGCCAAGTTCAGCGCGGATGTCGCCATGAAGCTCGCGCAGGAGTGCGCGGAAGGCCGCGCGAGCGGGCTGTTGGTCGGAGAAGCAACCGGCGCCTCCGGCGCGGGCGCATCCACCGCGGACGCCGCCTCGAGCGAGATGAAAACCGCGTCCGCGGACCTGGCGGGGCTGGGGGGAATGGGCGGAAAGGTCTTTGAGCGGAAGCTAGCAAAGAAGTTCCCCGCGTCATATGCTCCGGGCGTTGGGGAAAGCGAGGAGCCGAGCGGGCGGATGGGGTCCGGCACGTGGGCGGATCTGGTGGAGACAGAAACCAAACTTTCCGCTGAGGCGGAAGCCGCCGCGCATAAGATGGCGGAGGAGCAGTTAGCTGCGCTGCGCGCGGAGCTAGAGGGGAAGATTGATGTGCTCCAGCGGGAGCTGGAGGAGGAGAGGGCGCGGGCGGACGCGCGCGTGGCGGCCGCGATGGGGGCCGCATCGGGGCCCGCGGGGATGAAGATTAGAAAGGCGGCTGCCGCCACTGCCGCGGGTAATGGAGTGAGCGGTGAGGGCGAGGGGACGTCGGCGCTGGTTTCCGCGAGCTCGTGGGGAGAAGGGGGGGGAGAGTGGGTGGGCGGGGAGGACGAGGGGACTGCGGCGGTGACTGCTGCAGAGTCGCTGCAGGGCGCGCGGGAGAAGCAGGAGGAGGAGAGGAGGAAGGAGGACGAGGCGAAGAAGGCGAGGATTGCGGAGTTAGAGGAGGAGGTGGGGCGGCTGTCGGGTGAGGCTGTCGCGTTGAGGGAGGAAGCGGAGCGATTGAAGGGTGAGGAGAAGAAACTCGTAGAGGAAGGTGAGAGACTGAGGGCTGTGGAGAAGAAACTAAGGGGTGAAGAGAAGAAGCTGAAGGAGGAGGGAGAGAAGCTGAGGGGCGAATTGGCAGCACTGACGTCTCGCGAGGTGGAGTGGAAAAAAGCGGAGGCCAAGTGGAAGCAAGTGGAAGAGGAGGGGAAGAAGAGTCAGCAACAGGCGGCAACTCTGGAGGAAGCACTGCAGCGCGTGCAGGCAGATCTGGACTCTGCCCGGCAAGAGAAGGCCGCAGCCGAGAGCAAGTGGGCGGCGCAGGCGAGCGAGAAAGACACGGCAGCGAGCAAGGAGGCTGAGAGCAGCAGGAGGAGAATCGCGGGGTTGGAGGAGGAAGTGGCGCGCCTGCAGGCGGAAGCAGAGGCGCTCAAGCGGCGGGCGGAGGAGATGGAGCAGCGGGAGCTGAGATGGCGCGAGGAGGAGCAGCAGCGGCTGCATGAGGCGCAGAAGGGATCTGAGGCCGAGGAGAGGGTGAAGGCGCTGGAGTGTAGACGTCAGGAGCTGGAGAGCCAGTGCGTGCGGCAGGGGCATGAGCTCGCGGAGGTGCAGGCCAGGGCGGCGCACCTGGCTGGGGCCCTGGAGCAGCAGCAGGTGCGCGCGATGGAGAGCGAGGGCAGGGCGGAAGCCGCCGCGCGGAGCTTGGAGGAGGCGGAAGGGAAGGCGACGGTGGCGCAGCAGCAGGTTGAGGGGCTGAGCGCGCAGGTGGCGGGGAGGGGGGAGGAGGTGGGGCGGCTGGAGGCGTGGCTGGGAGAACTAAAGGGACTGCTGGAGCAGCGGGAGAGGGAGAACTCGGTGCTGGTGGCGCAGGTGGAGGCGGGGGATGCGGAGAAGGGGCAGCTGCGCGCGCAGGTGCAGGAGGAGCAGATGGCGCGGCAGATGCAGGCGCAGATGCAGGCGCAGGTGGAGGGGCAGGTGCAGGAGATGCAGACGCAGCACGTGGGCGAGGTGCAGCAGCTTCAGGCGCAGGTAAGTTTGTGTGCGCTCAATGCTCAGCTAGAAATGCAGCAGCTTTGTTTGCCGTTCATGTGCCCTCTTTCCTTGCTTTCTGCCCTCTGGTGTTGTGCTTTTCTTGTTGTACTCTCGTGATCCCTGACAGCAACGATGCTCCCCCGTGTGTTTTTTTTTTTTTTTTATGTTGGTGTGCCATGGCTCTTCCTCAGATGCATAATCTGATGCAGGAGAACTCGCTGCTCGCTAACCAACTCTCAGACCTGCAAGAAGCCATGGCAAAGCAGCAGCAGCAGCACCAGGAGCAGGAGCAGCAGAGGCAGGCTGAAGCAGCAGCAGCCCCCCCTGCTGCCACCACGCCAACAGCAGCCAGCATCGCAGCAGCAGCAGCTGCAGCAGGCGGTGGAAAGGGCAAGTCGGCCAGGGAGGTTGCACTGGAGGGGCAGCTAGCAGCGCTGAGGGCACGCGGGGATGAGAGCAGGCGGCTGCGGGTGAAGCTCAATGAGGCTGAGGCGAGGCTGCAGGACGCACAGGGCAAGCACAAGCAGCAGGTGGGTGGGGGAATTGGGGCAAATGGGGCAGAAGGGCATGCGCAATGTTGAGTGGGTTGGAAAGGATTTCGGGCAGGGCAATGGAGTGTGCGAGTGCGATCTTTTCATAGTTGCAGCGTTCCTTTTGGACGAAAGAGGAGTCACGAGTGCGATCTTTTGCTGGCTGTGTGTGGCCCATGCCTCTCGATCAGTCACAGTCCAGGGTCGGTGGCCTCGTGCTTTGAGTGCATGTGGTTGTACTCTGATCTTGCCTGCTGTTGCTCTGCCCTCTGCTCCTCCTCCCCCTGCTTCACCTGCACTCACTCCCACAGGTGTCAGCCAAGGAGCAGCTGCTGGCATCGGTACAGAAGGAGCTCAGTGGAGCAATGGCGCAGCTAGCTACTGCTGTATGTTTTCCCACCTAATTCTTCTGACAGAGCTCGTTCATTGCCGTGAATCATTTTTTTTTGTTAGGGCAGTGCTGCACATTTGTTCGTATCGTGCCACGACCATGAGAGTAACAATGCATAGCATTCTGTTGTTTCGTACACCCTTGTCGCCCGTGAACCCAAGTTCATGTTCTCTGCTGTTAAGAAACTCACATGGGAGCTCCGGCTGTATCGCATGTGTGTGCGTGCCATTGTGTGCATGTGTGTGTGTGTGGTATAACAGGAGCAGGAGGCAGCTAAGCTCAAGGCTCTGGAGGCGGAGCTTGCTCGACTTCGCTCCCTCAACTCGTCCCTCCAGGTCTCCAACAGAACCTCTCTTCCACCAACCGCTCCCCTCGCTCTCCTCGCTCTGAATAATTCACTATCCATTTCCTCATGGTTCCCCCTCCGGAATTTGTTTCTACCTCTCTCCACTCCTATCCGAAGTGATTCCACCTCTGAGCACCTTTTATCTGATATTTTCTACCTTGATCCTCCTGCACCTGCACCCCTGTCAACCTGTGGTTTAGGGCCCCCTGATCTTCTGTACACTCCCACCCTAGCCCCTTTACATCCCGCTCGTCTCACGTCACCACCATCTCCCCCCTGCTTTATCGTCCCCTCCCCGTTCCATCCTCTCCATGCCATCCCCTCCATTTTGTCCTCCTGTTTCCTATCAACAGAAGGACCTGAAGCAGCTGCGCGCGTCTGCTGCGTCCAAGCAGTCTCAGCCTGCATCGGGAGCAGCAGAGGCGGCACCTGCCAAGGCAGATGCAGAGGAGGGCAAGGGAGGGGTTGTGTCAGAGGGATCCGGGGATAAGGATCCAGCAGGGGAGGCTGCTGGCGTGGCAGCAGCAGGAGATGCAGGAGAGGAGCAGAAGAGGGCCAAGGTAGGCTAATGGCTGCAATTGGGGCCTGAGTGTTGAGCTGTATGATACCTCAATGCTGTTGGTGGTTGCGTGCTGCTTCTTACCCACCTTTATTCTTGCCTGTTATCTCTTTTCCCACTCCCTCGCCCCCTCGCCACTCGCCCCCCTCCCCTCCTCACTCTCTTTTCTCATCTCTGGCCTCCTTCAATCTGCGTTTCGGTTTCCCATCCCATGGCACACCCACTTTCCTTTGCAGTCTGGGCGGCGCAAGTCGGCCACCAAGGCCCTGCCGTCGTCCAACGGCACCTCAGCTGCTGCTGACACTGCCACTGCAACCGCTGCTGCAGATGCAGTCACAGCAGCCGCAGAAGCAACAGCTGCTGTAACAGGGACTCTGCCAGAGAATGCTGCTGTTGCTGCTGCTGCTCCCCCTTCCAAGCCTGAAGTGACGGTACCCTCGGACCAGAAGCAAGGGGTTGAAAATGGTGTGTTGCCTTCTCCTTCTCTTGCCGCCGCTGCGTCGGCCACTACCCCGACTGCTTCGTCTGCTGCTGGGAGAAATGGTCGGTTGACGAAGCGAGGGGGGGCATTGCGTCGCAGCTCCAGCGTGGATGCAGGCAAGCAAGGCAAGAAGGGCCAGGGTGCGGGATCGTTAGCGCGCAAGGGTATCTCAGGAGTGGATGCAGATGCCATTGCTCAAATTGAAGCGATGATTATGGATGACTCGGTTACTGCTAAGGAAATGGCGGGCCAGCTCAGCTCGCAGAGGCTGACGGGTCTGTCCTCGGCGCTGATCAACGCCCTTCCCCTGCCGGCGAGCCTGAAGCGTGAGGAGAGGACAGCCCAGCTTGTGAAGTTGATTGCTGCCTTTCTCATGCTGGTTGTCATGGTGCTGCTGGCACTGTGGGCTGTCGGAGTTTTGATTCGTTGACAGTCGAGAGGCTGGTAGAGGATTTTTATGTGACCTCATTAGCATTCTTGTTTTTGCAGGTAGGTTACAGCTAACTTATGCCGTGTGTTTCTGATTGCACACCTAAAATGTAATAAATGACTAGTGCAGGTGAGGGGGACAGAAGAAAGTGGGTGGAAATCAGGGCCAGTCGACCTCGGGAGGAAGTCGCTTATGTATCTTTCAGAGACGATAAGCGTGTACGGTACGGTGAAGTGGCGGATCAATATTGGATCCTCGATTTTGGTTCTCACCAACCTGTGACAACCCCCAAGCCCCTAGCGTTTCTGTCCGCATTCTTAGGCGCCATCAGCGGTTCCGCATTCTCATGCCCGGTCGGTTCGCGCGCCGAGTCCACCGTTTGTCTTTTAGAGAACAAGCTTGGAGTTTGTCCGTCGTGTGCCTCAAGAATTCATTCCCAGGGCTGTTGACGGGGCTTCAATAACCGTACCACGTGGTAACTTTAGATTCGCTAATCGCGTCACCCTGGGCGTTTCAAGGGTGGCGCCACATCAGCTCCGGCGCAGCACACACCAACCAATTTGGCGCGGCTCGCATCCCTTCAGCGGGTAAAGAAACGAGTGGCTCGCTCGCACGTGTTTTGGGAGGTGAAAAAACATGGCTTGCCATTTCTGCCGAAGCTTGAGAAACCAAGCCGGTAACCACAGTCGTCGAGCTATAATTTGCCCGTGGCGACAGTCGCCAGATTGCATATTTACATGCGAAACCGAACCAAGGCACCCAACTGCTGGTTATGGTTCAAAATCCAAACCGTTGTAAAATACTACTCAGACGTTATAGAAGTTTCGGCAGCTCACTAGACCGTACTTGAACAAGTGTAATATCAGGGAAGTGCGATGATTAAGGGAACTCCGATGTGCGGATTCGCAGTAAAGGGACACAGCGAGTATTCGTAGGAACTGGTCGTCATTCTGCAGTTTTCATCATTTTCAGCCGATCATTTCGTCCACGGTGCTATCGAGGCAGTGGCTCAAAGACTTATTTCCACGCTAGCTTATCTCCAATACACATTTTTATTGCTGGGAGTTTATTAGCGATCCGTATCCGCCGCTCGCATCTTGCAAAGCCATGTCTCTACGCCGAAGGTTTCAGGTTTAGTTTCTTAGTTGCACTTCTATGCAAAACAATACACCGTTCAGTTTATTCGTGTCTCCCATTACTTGCTCTTCCCTTCCCTTGCCACTGCCGGCCTCCTCCCCCTCCCCTCTCCTCCACCAACTGCCGCCATGGATTCATTAACAGCCCCTCTAATTCACAAATCTCTGGCAAACGCGGTTGCGGAACCCGCGGGCGACCGAGTAGCCACCGCGAATGACGCCGTTATGAACGGCGCGAGCGACGGCGAGGATCACTTGGATGACGTGGTGGTCCTGCGCCGTTCCACGGGGAATTTAGCGGGACTCGGCGCTGCATCAGGAGGGAAAGGGGGAAAAGGCGGAGTCGGCGGAGGCAGGGCGGAAGAGGTCGCTGCGCTGAGCGGAGGGCACGGGGGAGGAGGCGGGGGTCTGTGGGGCGCGGTGTTTAATCTGGCGACGACGAGCGTGGGCGCGGGCATCATGGCGCTCCCCGCTACTGTCAAGGTGCGCTGTCATGATGCCGCGCGCAATGCTCTGGGCGCAGCCCGCCTTTACGAATAACCAATAAAATCAACAACGAAGCAAGCAAGCAAGCACACAAGCCGAAGCACCAATGCCGCTGGTAACGTGTGATAATGGGCCTGCGCGCGTGGTTGTGCTCGTGCTTGTGCTCATGGCATGGTGGTGTTCATGGCATGGTGGTGCTCATGGGATGCTGGTGTTCATGGCATGCTGGTGTTCATGGCATGCTAGTGCTCATGGGATTGTTCACCCACGGCGCCGTGCTCATCATAGCTCTCCCCACTCCCCCCTACTTTCCTCACCACCGCTCCCCCTCTCCACCTCACTTCCCCAACCCCCGCCGCGACTCTTCCACTCCCCCTCCCACTCCCCCGACTCCTCGCACCCTCCCCCCCGCCACTCCCCGCATCAGGTGCTGGGCCTTCCGCTGGGGCTGCTGCTGATAGCGCTCATGGGCGCGCTGACGCACAGCGCGGTGCTCATCATAGTGCGCCTGGCGGCCGCCACCAACTCACAGTCGTACGGGCACCTCATGGGCACGCGCTTTGGCGAGCGCGGGCGCGTGCTGTGCGAGGTGATGGTCATGGTGCAGGCGCTGGGGTCGCTCATCGTCTACCTCATCATCACGGGTGCGTGTGTGTGTGCGTGTGTGTGTGTGTGTGCGTGTGTGTGCGTGTGTGTGTGTGCGTTTGTGTGTGTGCGTGTGTGTGAGAGTGTATGTGAGTGTATGCGTTTGTGAGTTTTGAGGCTGCTCCTAAAGCGTGCTGTGTGAGGTAATGGTGACGGGGATGGTCATGGTGATGGTCATGGTGATGGTCATGGTGATGGTCATCGTGATGGTCATGGTGATGGTCATGGTGCTGGTCATGGTGATGGTCATGGTGATGGTCATGGTGCTGGTGATGGTCATGGTGATGGTCATGGTGATGGTCATGGTGATGGTCATGGTGATGGTCATGGTGATGGTCATGGTGATGGTCATGGTGCTGGTCATGGTGATGGTCATGGTGATGGTCATGGTGATGGTCATGGTGATAGTCATGGTGATGGTCATGGTGATGGTCATGGTGCTGGTCATGGTGATGGTCATGGTGATGGTCATGGTGATGGTCATGGTGTAGGCGCTGGGCTCGCTCATCGTGTACCTCATCATCACCGGAGCGTTTGTGCTGGTTTGAGGCGCCCCAAAGCGTCGGTTAATAGCTATGCTGCGAGCAAAGGGCTCGCTCGTCGTCTACCATCATCACCGGTGCATGTGGATCCGTCTAGGTGTGTGTGTGTGGTTGTGGGTGTGAGTTGGTGTGTGAGTGTATGTGTGTGTGTGTGTGTGTGTGTGTGTGTGTGTGTGTGTGTGTGTGTGTGTGTGTGTGTGTGTGTGTGTGTGTGTTTGCTTGCGTGCATGTGTGCACCCCTCCTTTTCCCGTTTTTCGCTCTTTCCCTCCCGTTCCCTCCCCTCACCTCCTCTCTCCTTCCCATTCCCCCCGTCCCTCACGCCCTTTGTCTCAGTCCCTTTCTCCCATCCGCTTGCTAACCCCCACTCAGCTTACTCTGCACCACACTGTCCCCCCCCTTTACCCCGTTCTCCCCCCATTCTCTCCCTCCCCTTTGTCCCATTCCCCCCCTCCTTTCCCGTCCCCCCCCCACAGCGGACGTTCTGTCAGGCACGTCAGAGGCGGGAGGCATGGTGCACCACGTGGGGCTGCTGGAAGAGCTGGCAGGGGGACCCACGTGGTGGAACGGCAGGGCTGTTGTGCTGCTCGCTGTCACCACCCTCGTGCTGCTGCCACTCGTGCTCCTCCGCCGCATAGGTAGGTCCCTGTGGGTAGGTCCCTGGGTGGGTGGGGTGGTGCTGTTGAGTGGGTGGATTGGTGGTGGTGGTTGGTTAGTGTGTGAGCTGGTGATACATCCACCATACGAAAAGCCCCCAACAAGGACTGCACTGTATTCACCCCCCAAAAACCTGTTCTAAATACCTGTTCGAGATGTCTCAAAAACCTGTTCTAAAGTCAAGGTTTGAGACGCTCTTTCAGACGTTAGACCGTTTTGTATCGCAGAGCATCCCTCTGTTTCACAATTCCAAAGGTGCTTCAACAACAGCAGTCAACTGTTTCACATGGCATCTCCATTATCTCCCCCGCCCCGTCCCGGCCACCCCCAACCCACCATCCACCTCCTTCCACCCTTTCACCCAACCTTCCTCTCCGCCCGCCCCGCCCCCGCCCCTACCCAACCTCTCATCCCCCCCTCCGCCGCCCGCCTCTCCCCTCCACCAGACTCCCTCATGGCCACGTCAGCACTCTCACTGGGCCTAGCAGTGCTCTTTGTGCTCTTCACTGCGGCAGCAGCAGCAGCAACAGGAACAGCAGTGGGGGGCATCCTGCAGCTTCTGATCGACAAAAAAAACAAATCCCCTCAAACCTCTTCTGCCCACCTTCCACGGTCCACCCCCTCTCCTCCAGACTCCCTCATGGCCACGTCAGCACTCTCAGTGGGCCTAGCAGTGCTCTTCGTGCTCTTCACGGCAGCAGCAGCGGTGATGCGAGTGGTGCAGGGGCGCTTGCCTCCGCTGCGCATGGTACCGGACGTGTCGTCATGGCAGTCGGTGCTGCTCATCTTCACCGTCGTGCCCGTCATGACCAACGCCTTCATCTGCCACTACAATGGTCAGCTTCCCTGCCTTGCCTTGCCCTGCCTTGCCTTGCCTTGCCTTGCCTTGCCTTGCCTTTCTCCCCCTTTTCCTCCCTCCCCCTTCCCCCACCCCCCCCTCCAACATTCCCCCATTGTGCCTGTCATGACCAACGCCTTCATCTGCCACTACAATCTGCCATGGTCAGCTGCATTCCCCCCCTCTCCCCTCTCCCCTCTCTCCTCTCCCCCCCCACCTTCTTCGTCGTCTTGTTTTTCTTTGCTCTTTCTCTCTTGGGGAGAGTGGAAGGCGGTTGTTGATTGAGAAGAGTGGAGCAGCCCTGGAGTGGATACAGGAGCGTGTGTGAGCGTGTGTGAGCGTGTGTGAGCGTGTGAGAGCGTGTGGGAGTGTGCGTGAGCGCGTGAGAGCGTGTGAGAGCGTGTGTGAGCGTGTGTGAGCGTGTGTGAGCGTGTGAGAGCGTGTGTGAGCGTGTGAGAGCGTGTGAGAGCGTGCGTGAGCGTGTGTGAGCGTGTGGGAGCGTGTGTGAGCGTTTGTGAGCGTGTGTGTGTGTCCTGATTTTATTCAACGGCGACGCTAGTCACTGCTGCTCCCTATCAGTCTATCCGCACCACCATTCCCCTCTCGTTGTCTCGTTCCCACTCTGCCTCTGCTCCCCCCACCTCCCATCCCCTTCCCCCACGCCAGTCCAGCCTATCTACCACGAGGTCAAGGACTCCCCTTCATGCATCGCATAGCGCCCGGGGCCACCATGGAGCACACAGCGGGGCTCTTACAGCTCCCCGTTCCCCCACCTCCCATCCCCTTCCCCCACGCCAGTCCAGCCTATCTATCTACCGTGAGCTCAAGGACTCCCCTGCATGCATGGCATGGCGCCCGGGGCCACCATGGAGCACACAGCGGGGCTCTTACAGCTCCCCGTTCCCCCACCTCCCATCCCCTTCCCCCACGCCAGTCCAGCCTATCTATCTACCGTGAGCTCAAGGACTCCCCTGCATGCATGGCATGGCGCCCGGGGCCACCATGGAGCACACAGCGGGGCTCTTACAGCTCCCCGTTCCCCCACCTCCCATCCCCTTCCCCCACGCCAGTCCAGCCTATCTATCTACCGTGAGCTCAAGGACTCCCCTGCATGCATGGCATGGCGCCCGGGGCCACCATGGAGCACACAGCGGGGCTCTTACAGCTCCCCGTTCCCCCACCTCCCATCCCCTTCCCCCACCCCAGTCCAGCCTATCTATCTACCGTGAGCTCAAGGACTCCCCTGCATGCATGGCATGGCGCCCGGGGCCACCATGGAGCGCACAGCGGGGCTCTTACAGCTCCCCGTTCCCCCACCTCCCATCCCCTTCCCCCACGCCAGTCCAGCCTATCTATCTACCGTGAGCTCAAGGACTGGCATGGCGCCCGGGGCCACCATGGAGCACACAGCGGGGCTCTTACAGCTCCCCGTTCCCCCACCTCCCATCCCCTTCCCCCACGCCAGTCCAGCCTATCTATCTACCGTGAGCTCAAGGACTCCCCTGCATGCATGGCATGGCGCCCGGGGCCACCATGGAGCACACAGCGGGGCTCTTACAGCTCCCCGTTCCCCCACCTCCCATCCCCTTCCCCCACGCCAGTCCAGCCTATCTATCTACCGTGAGCTCAAGGACTCCCCTGCATGCATGGCATGGCGCCCGGGGCCACCATGGAGCACACAGCGGGGCTCTTACAGCTCCCCGTTCCCCCACCTCCCATCCCCTTCCCCCACGCCAGTCCAGCCTATCTATCTACCGTGAGCTCAAGGACTGGCATGGCGCCCGGGGCCACCATGGAGCACACAGCGGGGCTCTTACAGCTCCCCGTTCCCCCACCTCCCATCCCCTTCCCCCACGCCAGTCCAGCCTATCTATCTACCGTGAGCTCAAGGACTCCCCTGCATGCATGGCATGGCGCCCGGGGCCACCATGGAGCACACAGCGGGGCTCTTACAGCTCCCCGTTCCCCCACCTCCCATCCCCTTCCCCCACGCCAGTCCAGCCTATCTATCTACCGTGAGCTCAAGGACTCCCCTGCATGCATGGCATGGCGCCCGGGGCCACCATGGAGCACACAGCGGGGCTCTTACAGCTCCCCGTTCCCCCACCTCCCATCCCCTTCCCCCACGCCAGTCCAGCCTATCTATCTACCGTGAGCTCAAGGACTCCCCTGCATGCATGGCATGGCGCCCGGGGCCACCATGGAGCACACAGCGGGGCTCTTACAGCTCCCCGTTCCCCCACCTCCCATCCCCTTCCCCCACGCCAGTCCAGCCTATCTATCTACCGTGAGCTCAAGGACTCCCCTGCATGCATGGCATGGCGCCCGGGGCCACCATGGAGCGCACAGCGGGGATCTTACAGCTCCCCGTTCCCCCACCTCCCATCCCCTTCCCCCACGCCAGTCCAGCCTATCTATCTACCGTGAGCTCAAGGACTCCCCTGCATGCATGGCATGGCGCCCGGGGCCACCATGGAGCGCACAGCGGGGCTCTTACAGCTCCCCGTTCCCCCACCTCCCATCCCCTTCCCCCACGCCAGTCCAGCCTATCTATCTACCGTGAGCTCAAGGACTCCCCTGCATGCATGGCATGGCGCCCGGGGCCACCATGGAGCACACAGCGGGGCTCTTACAGCTCCCCGTTCCCCCACCTCCCATCCCCTTCCCCCACGCCAGTCCAGCCTATCTATCTACCGTGAGCTCAAGGACTCCCCTGCATGCATGGCATGGCGCCCGGGGCCACCATGGAGCACACAGCGGGGCTCTTACAGCTCCCCGTTCCCCCACCTCCCATCCCCTTCCCCCACGCCAGTCCAGCCTATCTATCTACCGTGAGCTCAAGGACTCCCCTGCATGCATGGCATGGCGCCCGGGGCCACCATGGAGCGCGCAGCACGGCTCTCACAGCTCCCTTTTCCCCTTCTTCCCTTCTCCCCCCACGCCAGTCCAGCCCATCTACCGTGAGCTCAAGGACTCCCCCTCCTGCATCGCCCCAGCGGCCACCATGGAGTGCGCAGCAGGGCTGTCTTGGGCCCCATTTCTCCTCTCCCTCACCCCATCCCCTTCCCCTCCCCTCTCCTGTTTTCTCGTTCTCATGGGCGCAGTCCAGCCCATCTACCGTGAGCTCAAGGACTCCCCCTCCTGCATCGCCCCAGCGGCCACCATGGAGCGCGCAGCGGGGCTGGCGCAGGTGATATGCACGGCACTGTACGGCACCACGGCGCTGTTTGCGTACCTGCTGTTCGGGGATAGCACCGCTGCTGATGTGCTTGCTAACTACGACCAGGACCTGGGGCTCAGCCAGGTGAGGGCTGAGGGTGGGGGGGGGAGGGAAGGGGAAATGGGGGGGAGGCTACAGCGCTGTACGGCGCCACGGCGCTCTTTGCTTAGCTGCTGTTCGGATACAACACCGCTGCTGATGTTCTTGCTAACTACGACCAGGATCTGGGGCTCAGCCAGGTGCGCGCCGGGAAGGGGCGGAATAGGGGGGAAGGGGGAAAGAGGAGGAGAAGAGGGGATAGGGGGAGCAAGGTGGGGGGAAGGGGGAGTAGGGGTAGGGAATGAAGGGAGCAGGGTGGTGTGGTGGGGGGAGGGAGGGATGGTGTGGGAGGCTGGGAGGGGCGGCACTGTGGCACCGCCCCTATGGTGGTACCACGGCGCTCTTTGCCTATCTGCTGTTCGGGGACAGCACTGCTGCTGACGTGCTTGCTAACTACGACCAGGACCTGGGGCTCAGCCAGGTGCGCGCTGGGAAGGGGGTGGGGGGGCGTGAAGGGGGAAGGGAAGGGGAAGGGGAAGAAGAAGGAGAAGGGGAAGGGGAAGGGGAAGGGTTTAGGGTAAGGGGAAAAAAAGGGGAGTAAGGGTGGAAGAAGAAGGTTGGAACGGAGGAAGCATTGATGGATGGATGACCCTTACTCCGGACCAGATGTAAATGTTGGACGAGTCACGAGTTTCTGCCGCAGCACGCCGACGGATCTGGATGCCATACTCCGGATGTGCTACATCGTCATCTCATCTCATCTCATCTCATCTCATCTCATCTCATCTCATCTCATCTCATCTCATCTCATCTCATCTCATCTCATCTCATCCCCATCATGCACTTCCCATTGCGCCTCACGGCCCACATCGTGCTCTTCCTTCCTTCTCCCCCTCAACCGCCATCCCTTCACCCCTTCGCCCCTTCTCCTTCCCACCATCCCCCCTCCCTCTTTTCCCCATTCCCCGTTTCCCTCTTTTTCCCCTTCCCCCATCTCTCCCCCATTCTCTCCCCCATCTCTCCCCCATTCTCTCCCCCTTTCTCTCCCCCAGGCCATGGACGACATAGTCCGCGTGGGCTACATCGTCCATCTCCTCCTCGTCTTCCCCATCGTGCACTTCCCCTTGCGCCTCACCGCCGACATCCTGCTCTTCCCCAAAGCGCGCCTGCCGCTGTGGCGCTCGCAGCGCCGCTTCTTCTGGCTCACGGCCGCCACCATGGGCTTCATCCTCGCGTGCGGTGTGCTCGTGCCCGACATCTACGCTCTCTTCTCGCTGCTCGGGGCCATTGTTGCGGTTTCTATCGGATTCACCTTTCCCGCCCTGCTCGCGCTCCTGTGAGATTTGCCTCCACTTTCAAATGCCTGCTTCTGAGTGCCTCTGTGAGTCTGTTCGCGCTCGTGCTGCTGTCAGCTTGCCCGTGCTGCTGTCTGCTGTCACTCTGCTCCTGTATTTTCTTCTGGCTCACGGCGGCCACCATGGGATTCATCCACGCGTGCGGTGTGCTCGTGCCCGACATCTACGCTCTCTTCTCGCTGCTCGGGGCCATTGTCGCCGTGTCCATTGGATTCACCTTCCCTGCCCTCCTTGTCCTGCTGTGAGACCTTTGGCTCAATTCACAAGCATGTTTGCGGTCTGCTGTCGACCTTCTCGCGGTGCTCTCTGCTGTCTGCTGTCACTCTTGCTCCTGTATCTTCGTTTTTACCCCTTCCCCATGTCCATCCTCATGCCCCACGCGATTTGCAATAACGCACACATCTGACTACGCCTGTCCATTCCTCCCTCTCCCCCCTTTCTTCGTCCCCTCTCATCCCCCCCTGATTTCTCTCCTTCTGCCTCACCCCCTTTCTCCCCCTCTGGTTCCCGCCCTCTGCCCTACATCGCTCCAGAACCCCAGGGCTAACCTTTACATGCACGGAGAGAGTGGCGGTGTGGAGCATGCTGGTGGTGGGCGTGGCAGTGAGCATCACAGGCGTGACATCAGATGTCATAGTCGCCTGCCAGTGGCTCTCACGCCTCCACCAACCCCCCTCCGAGCCACACCTGCCGCCGAATGCGCCGCTATTCTTGCAGTCTTCCATTCCACTTGCTGGGGTATGGCCCGTGCGTCATTGACCATGCCATGCGGTGTCATGATTTGAGTGACAGATTCACTTTGTGACAGCATCACAAGGGTAACTATGCAGGCCGACAGGTTTCGTGAACTGGTACTGCTACTTGTGGCAAGCAGACGATTCAGTATTGTAGGTGGTGTGTGGAAATGGCAGGTTCGTCCAATGTACTGGCAGTTCCGGAAATGTGATAGTCGTTTCTTAGGGCTTCAACAACCCATCATACCCGCTGTTCTGAAATTCCATTGTTCATGCATGCTGCTCCATACAATTTTTTTATCATTCACGACCTACCTCTGAATACATGAGCCATGTTGGGAGACAAGCCAGTATGTGAAGGCGATAGACGGTGCATAAGTTTGTTGTTGACCTTATCGAGTCATTTACCGAGACCATCAGAACGAGTCCGCGCATGTCCACCCCGTCCCCCCCCCGAATTCAAGTTCCCCCATTCCTGCTCAACTCAGCCAACATCCTGCTGAGCTGACCAGCCCAGAAGCGCAGCAGCGCAGCCCCGCCCTCCGCCACATCCCATGGCCCCCAACCGAACTCCCAAATCTCTGACCAACCGCAACCCAGAAGATCGACCATGGGGGAAGATTGCCAAATTCTAGAATCTGCGCACCCCACCAACCCACCCAACCCATCCCCGTCCTCCCCACATTCACATTCACTTCTGGATTTCACCTTCCCATTCTCTCTCCCCAGTTCTGTGGGTGCTAGATTTTCCTTCACATTTCTCGCCTGCTTTCCAAACCAGTGTGATTCGCTCAACCATCTAAATTCGCTCCTGCTGCTGCTGGTTCCCGAAGATTCCTTCCGCAATGGAAGCGACTCCCAGTCGCACATTCGCTGCGAATCCGGCGACGCAGCGCGGGCGAGGGCTGCTGATCGGATCGCACGACGCGACCGAGGTGATTACCTACTGCTCTGGCAAATCCGTCGTCATAAGATCGCTTAAAGACCCTCGCGACTGCTCAATCTACTCCGAGCATTCCTATCCGACGACCGTCGCGCGCATTTCCCCCAACGGGGAGTGGGTGGCGTCCGCGGATGTGAGCGGAACGGTGCGCGTGTGGGGGCGTGGCGGCGAGCGGCGGCTCAAGTACGAAATCAAGGCTCTTAACGGTCCAATCGATGATCTGCAGTGGTCGCCGGACGGCCAGAGGATTCTGGTGTGCGGCGACGGCAAGCCCACCTACGTGCGCGCGTTCACGTGAGTGGGATCGCATCGGATCGCATCGGATCGCATCGGATCGAATATGTTTTCCTTCCCCACGCTAATGCCTGTGGTATAACGCATTCCATGGCTTTCCATGGCAGTCGGCTGTCAGTCGGCTGTCAGTCGGCTGTCAGTGAGCTGTCAGTGAGCTGTGATCACGCTACCCTCCCTGGATTCCCTAATGGGGCCCTTTCATGTCTGGTACTTTCTTTGAGCCGAGTGATGTGTATCCGCCACATCATGCCATGCCACGTCACGTCATGCCACATGGTAATATTGTGTCCTGTCATGCCATGTCATGCCGCATCATGCCATGCTCATGCCATTCGCATGCACCTACCCGGCTAGTCCGTGCAGGCGACGCATACTTCACTTCATCCCACGGTGATTACTCAGTCGACTAAAAAATCACCTCATACTTCATCACGCCCTCGCATCGTCCCCCACTCGCCCGCATTCCGCCGCCATCCCGCTCGCCAGTCCAACCCGCCAACCCCATTCGGCCAGCCCGCCGAATTGTGTTTTGAGTCGACTCAAAACTTCATCACGCCCTCACATCGTCCCCCACTCGCCCGCATTCCGCCATCGCGCTCGGACTGTCACCTTCCTCCCCGTCGCGCTCCTCCCTCCTGCTCCCCTCCCCCCTTTCCCCTTTTCCCCCCTCCCCCTCTTCCCTCCCGCCCGCGCAGCTGGGATTCGGGAGGCAATCTGGGCGATTTCGAGGGCCACGCCAAGCGCGTGCTCAGCTGCGCGTTCCGCCCCGCGCGCCCGTTCCGCGCGTTCACGTGCGGGGAGGACTTCGCAATCAACTACTATGAGGGCCCGCCCTTCCGCTACAAGGCTTCCAATAAGTGCGCGAGAGGGGCCGAGGGGGCGAGGGGGCGAGGGGGGGAAGTGGGGAGGGGGGATGAGGGATGGTGTTAGTGGGGATGGGGCTGGTGGTGGTGCACGGCGGGCGGGTGGTAAGAGCGTGTTTGGACGAGACGCGGAGTAGCTTCACATGCATTGATCATTGAACACGGTTGTGCACTGCACTGTGCAGCGTGGGTGGGTGGCCATGGTCAGCCGTGCCACTCGTAAGGATTCATAGTGATACTCGTCTCTCCCACGTCCTCTCTGAATCCCGTCTCTCTTCCCTCTCTCTCACTACCCTCTCCCATCCCCTCCAACCAACCACCGCCTTCCTTTTCGTTGCTCCCCCCCGTCTTCCCCTTCCCACCTTCCCTTTTCCAAACCCCCTGCCCTTGTGTTTCCCCTCTCCCTCCCTCCCGTCCCCCGTCCCTCTCCCCCACCCCCCGCCCCCCTCTTTCTTCCCCCTCCTCCCCGCGCCACTCCCTCCCTCCCCCCCCCCGCTCTCCTCCTTCCTCCTCTCCTCCCCCCCCACCCCCAGGGAGCACGGCAACTATGTGAACTGCGTGCGTTTCTCCCCGGACGGTGCGCTGCTGGTGTCTGTGTCATCAGACCGCCAGGGGCAGCTGTTCGACGGCAAGACGGGCGAGAAGCGCGGCGCGCTCAGCACGGACGACGCGCACACGGGCAGCGTGTACGCCGCCGCGTGGAGCCCCGACGGCAAGCAGGTGGGATCTAGTTTTGAGGCGCCTCGAAAGTAGGCGCCTTCAGCGCGGACAATGACGCGCACACGGGGAGCGTGTACGCCGCCGCGTGGAGCCCTGATGGCAAGCAGGTGGGGAAGTCGGTTGGAGGAGGCAGGGAAAGCGTGGTGGGGAGAAGGGGAGGGAGGGGGGGGGTGGGAGGGTGAGGGCGCGGAGTAAGGGTGGTTTAGGAGGTTGCATTGCTGGTGAAGGCGATGATGAGGGGAATGGAAGGGGCTGGGAGAGGGAAGGGCAAGAGGCAAGGGGAAGGGAAAGGCGGGGGGAAAGGGTGAGCGAAGGGGGGTGGGGAGTTAGTGGGGCGGGATGCTTCCGGCTGTGAGGGAAGCATGTGTGAGCTTGTTTGCTGGTTCCCCTCTCCCATGCCACCCTCTTCCTCCCTGCCAATCCGCCATTCTTCTCGCGCCATTCTCCCCTTCCCTCCAGCCTATATCCCCCCTCTGCGCTCCCCGTCCTCTCTTCCCTTGCACCATTCTCGCCTGACTCCGCCTGCCATTCGTTGTCATCCTCGTCTTATGAACCTCCAACAAGATGGATCCTCATGAAAGCAGCGCTGCTGCCTCTCTTGAGTCGACTTAAAGCTCAAGAAACCCCGCAGCTGCTATTCGTTCGTTCTCATCCTCCTCTTGCAAGGAAAAAAAGGGAAAAATGAACAAATGAAAGTGGTGTTGCCATCTCGTCGCCCTCACGCACACGCACCCACTGCTCACCTCACTGCTGCTCCTCCCCCCCACGGCTACTATCCTTCCCATCCTCCTCGCGTGCCTCCTCCCCCTTCCCCTCTCCCTCCCCAAACGCCTGTGTTTTTTTAGAATTCTAAAAAAAAAACACGCTCGTCCCCCTTCCCCTCTCCCTCCCCAAACGCCCACAGCTGTTGACAGTGTCAGCAGACAAGACAGCCAAGGTGTGGGATGTGGCAGCGGATGGCAGCACGGCCACCGTCACCACCACCTTCCCGCTAGGCTCCTCGCTAGACCACATGCAGGTGAGTGGGAGTTCTTCGACGGGGTTATGCGTTTTGAGTCGATCCACTGAGCAGCACTGCCATCGTAGCTGCCACAATCCCCCTTTCTCTCTCCCTCCCTCCTCTCCAACCGTTGTCACCTTACTACTCCTCGGTTCTCCCTCATCCAGCCCAGCCGCCGCACGTCCCCTTCTCTCATTGCCGTTCTCTTCTCATCCCCCGCCCGCCTACACCCTGCCATGCCGGCCGGCACTTGATTGACTGTTGCAACACACGTGTCAAAGCTCTCTCCTTTTTCCTTAAGCCCCTCCTCCCATTTGACCACCTGTCGCCCCTCGCCCCCACCCTCGCTGCCTCCTTCGTCCCAGGTGGGGTGTGCGTGGGTGGGAGAGCACCTCATAACCGTCGCCCTCAACGGCGACATCCACTTCCTCTCGCCCGCCTCCCCCTCCGCGCCACTGCGCACGCTCGTAGGCCACTGCAAGCCCATCACGGCACTCGCACTCTTCTCCCCGGGAGGAGGAGATGCGGGTGCGCCCACAGAGCTCGTGACAGGCAGCTATGATGGCACTGTGGTGCGCTGGAACATCGAGACCGGGTCGCTTGGTCGCATGGAGGCGCCTGCTGCTGCTGCTGCTGCGACTCCGGGTGCTGCTGGGGGTGCTGCTGCTGGAGGGGTGGCGGCCATGGCAGCAGCGGGCAGCACGCTTCTCCTCGCATGCAATGATGATACCGTCAGTGCCCTCTCTCTCTCCTCTCTCCCTTGCGCCTCTCCCTCTTCCTTGTCCTTCTGCCGCTTCCCATTCTGCTATGTGCCGTTCTGCCTCACAGCCCCGTGCCTCTGCGTCTCTGCCTGGCCACCCTTTGTGTCTTAAGCCTTCTCCACTCCTGTGCCCCCTCATCTTCTCCTCTGCTCTCGGCATTGCTCTTTTCTTGGGACCATATCAGCCCACTCCAGTCCCTGTCCCCCTCACCCCTCCCCCTCTCCCGCTCCTTCCCCCTCTCCCTCCCTCCCCCCCTCCTTTCCAAACCTCCAGGTTCATCTGTTGAGCCTCCCAGACCTCACGCCGATCAGCGACACGCCAACAATTGCACTGGGAGCGCACCCCAAGGACATCAGCATCGCAGCACACGACCCCGATCTCGCCCTCCTCACCACCGCCTCCGGCCTCACCCTGCTCCGCTCCTCCAAGCTCCTCTCCTCCATCACTCCCGCCTTCACACCCACCGCTGCCGCACTCTCCCCTGACGGCAAGGAGGCGGCTGTGGGAGGGGAGGATGGGGCGGTGCGTGTGTTCAGTGTGAATGGGGATACGATGGAGGAGGTGGCGAAGTTGGAGAGGCACCGGGGGCCGATTACGGCCGTGCGGTACTCGCCTGATGGATCCATGCTGGCCACTGGGGACCAGAACAGGGAGGCTGTTGTGTGGGATACTGCCACGCGAGAGGTGAGTCGCTCCCCTGCCTGCCCGCCTGCCTGCCTGCCTGCCCCCGCACCTGCTTGTCTGTCCGCCTGACTGCTTGCCCGCCCGCCCGCTCGGCCGCCCTCCGCTCTTGCCCCCGTTCCCCCTCTCCCTTCGCCCGCATTTCACCAGGTGAAGATGCGCAACATGGTGTACCACAGGGCGCGCATCAGCACCACCATCATTGCTCCTGCTCTTCCCTCCACTCTTTCACCCCTCCCTGCACCCCTCCCCCTCCCTCTCGCACCACACCAGGTGAAGATGCGCAACATGGTCTACCACACGGCGCGCATCAGCGCACTCGCATGGTCGCCCAACTCCACCCATGTGGCCACGGCATCCCTGGACATGTCCATCCTAGTCTACGACGTCAGCAAGCCGCCCTCCACCCTTACCCCCTTCCCCCCCCCTCCCTTCTCTCGCACCACACCAGGTGAAGATGCGCAACATGGTCTACCACACGGCGCGCATCAGCGCTCTCGCATGGTCGCCCGACTCCACCCATGTGGCCACAGCATCCCTGGACATGTCCATCCTAGTCTATGACGTCAGCAAGCCGCCCTCCGACCGCGTCACGCTCAAGAACGCGCACGTGGGCGGCGTGTCTGCTCTCGCCTTTGTGGACGCCACCACCATTGTGTCTGCTGGCAACGACGCCTGTGTCCGCCTCTGGTCCCTTGCATAGACACAGGAGTAATTTCCTTAGGTGCCTCAACAATCACCGGCACCGCACGCTGGTCTTTGTGGATGCCACCACCATTGTGTCTGCTGGCAACGACGCCTGTGTCCGCCTCTGGTCCCTTGCATAGACATGCCTGGTACCGGTAGTACTGTAGTAGTATATGGTTATGGTAACTTTGGCGTGCCTCAACAATCGCCTCATTGGCAGGTAGGGCTTTGTGGATGCCACCCACCTCCGTTGCTTCCACTGGCCATGCTGCTTGTGCCCGCCGCTGGACTCAAGTGTGCGTACGGTGGTTGTGAATCATTGTATCGCCTATGGCAGTACCTTGAATCGTTGGTGCACTAATAGGTGCAATGCAAGCAAGGCAAGAAGAAGGCAGCAGGAGTAGGGGTGATTGGATTAATTGAACTTGTAGCAGTTGGATTTGTGGCAGTAGTGGACCATATTCACTTGGGATAATATATCAACAGTGTTTCTATGCTACAGTCTGAGTGGGTGTTGCTCGGGGTAGTTCACCAAATGCTAGAAGAAAGAGGCCATTGCTTGTCTAATTTCTGCACTTGCTGTGATCACACTTCCTGATTCCAGTAGCCAAAGACTCTTCAAACTCATGGACAACGTTCCCTGCATAACCCTACCATCACAACCATGTATAATGAACGTTCACCCTAAATTCCCTACACACCCAATATCCACCAAACACACTGCATCAGCTCTGCAATCACCTCCCACTCATACCAAGATACAAACCCTGGCAAATCACTCAAGCCTTCACCTCCATTCCAGCAACCTCTCTCCTACAACCTCCCTCAACTCCTTTCCACACAAACAACTGACACTCCCCACTTCCATCGACACTCCCGTCCCCACTCCCCTTCCCCCTTTATCTGCCAGAGTCAGAGGAAATGGCTTGCAGGGGAGTGCGGCAGACGGGGCAATCACCATGCACCTCCAGGTTGGCATGCGCACAGTCCGCATGGCTCATACGCCGTCGTGCACTCCAACCACTCTCCCCCCTCCCCTCATCTGCCAGGTTCAGAGGAGATGCCCTGCAATGGAGTGCGGCAGATGGGGCAATCACCATGCACCTCCAGGTTAGCCTGCGCACAGTCCGCACGGCTCATACGCCGTCGTGCCATCCAACCACTCTCCCCCCTCCCCTCATCTGCCAGGTTCAGAGGAGATGCCCTGCAATGGAGTGCGGCAGATGGGGCAATCACCATGCACCTCCAGGTTAGCCTGCGCACAGTCCGCACGGCTCATACGCCGTCGTGCCATCCAACCACTGTCCCCCCTCCCCTCATCTGCCAGGTTCAGAGGAGATGCCCTGCAATGGAGTGCGGCAGATGGGGCAATCACCATGCACCTCCAGGTTAGCCTGCGCACAGTCCGCACGGCTCATACGCCGTCGTGCCATCCAACCACTGTCCCCCCTCCCCTCATCTGCCAGGTTCAGAGGAGATGCCCTGCAATGGAGTGCGGCAGATGGGGCAATCACCATGCACCTCCAGGTTTGCCTGCGCACAGTCCAGGCAGAATGCCGCATGCCCACACGGCTCATACGCTGTCGTTCGCTCCCTCTCCAAGCAGATCACACACAGCTCCTCATCGTCCTCCTCCTCCTCCTGCCACCCTCCCCCCCCACCTCCACCTCCACCCCCCGCGTCAGCCACTGACCAGAACCCACCCCCCACCACTCCCGCAGAAGCAGCAGCGCCTGAAGCAGCAGAGCGAAGTCCCATCGCTCCTGTGTTAGACCCTCCTCCTCCCACTCCTGCTGCTGCTCCCCCTCGGCCTGCAGCGATTGCAGCAGCTGACTTGCCTACCCATGCTCGGCTGGGAGCAGTGGCAGCGCCGGCAGCAGCAACAGCAGCAGCGGCAGCGGCGGCAGAGGCAGAGGCAGCATGAGATGCTGTGCCAGCACGGCTTGACAGAATCCCATTTCCTCCTCCTGCTTCTCCTCCACCCATACCCCAAGTTGGCACTGTGCTATTAGAGCCAAACTGCAGCTGCTGGTGATGGTGATGCTGGTGGTGGTGGTGGTGATGGTGGTGGTGGTGATGCTGCGTGTGCCCATGATGGTGGGGGTGGGAAGCATGGATAGAAACCTGCCCGTTTCGGCCACTGCTTGCTGCTGCCATTGCCATACCCATCCCCATCCCCATTGCCGTCCCACCTTGTTTACTTCCGCCACTCCCCTTTCCTCCTGCAGTGCCTGTGGTAGCAGCAGCAGCAGCAGCAGCAGCAGCATCTTTTGACCTGGCCAGCCCAGCAGCCACCCGATCACTCCATGACGGCCCCCCTGCGCCTCCCCCTCCCCCTCCCCCTGCGCCTACAGAACCACTGCCGCTGGCGCCACTGTTGCTACTACTTCTGCTACTGCTGCTGCTGCTGCTGCTGCTGCTGCCCCCTCCGCCGCTGTTGCTGCTACTGCTGCTACCACTACTGTGGTCGGTGCTGCTAGCAGCAGCTGGGCCTCCAGAGCCAGTGGGAGGAGGGGGCGAGAGAGCAGGCGAGGAGGAGGAGGAAGTGGGAAGGGAACGGTCAGGGCGGGCAGCAGCAGGGGCACGCGATGATGGGAGATTACGATCGGGCGGAGAGAGGGTTTCAGGGACAGAGGGGAGAGGAGAGGCGGGGGTGGGTGGAGAGGAGGAAGAAGAAGTGGTTCTAGGGCTTTGCAGTGAGGGCAGAGCAGGAGGAGCTGTAGCTGGTGGGTCTGACAGAGCAGCACACCCAGAGGGCTCGTGCGATGCTGCTGCTGCTGCTGCTGCTGGTGCTGCGGCTGATCCGGTTAACCCGGCGCCGGTCACAGCAGCAGCACCGCTCTTGTTCTTCTTCTTCTTCCTCCTCTTCTTCTTTGCATCACTCTGCTTACCCTCGTCCTGGGTTTCCTCCTCCTGCTCCTGCTCCTGCTCCTCTAGTGCCCCTGCAGCGTGATCCGTGGTACTATTACTACTCGCCTTGCCCTTGCTCATCTCCTCCTCCCCTGCTTCATCTCCTCCCTGCCCCTCGCCTTCCCTACTGACCTTCAACCTCTCGTTCTCCTCCTCCTCACGCACGTCACTCGATCCCCCCTCTGCCAGCCCACTACCCCCTGCCTTTTCCTCCCCATCATCAAGAACCACATCCCTCCCTTGCGTTGCTCCCTCATTCTGGCCGCTCTTGTCACTCTCCTCCTCCCCATCTTCCCCCCTCTCCTCTCCTCCTCCCGTCCGCCCCGGTCCATCACCCACCCCTTCGCCTGTACCACCACTACCAACACCACCAGCACCATCTGAACCAGCAGCAGCAGCCTGTGACGCGCCTTTCTTTCCCCGCGCCCTCTGCTCCTTCTTCTTCACCGCACGTGCCAAACAGTGCCGCACCGCTGCCACTGCCCTCGCATTCATCGGATCCTCAAGCGCATTCCTCATGGCCTGCAAATCCCCAGACGCCTGCCAGGGAAGGGAACACGGCGGGGCGAGGGGGATGGCGGAAGCAGAGAGTTTAAGTTGGAGCGCCTCATAAATAGAACAGACTGCCCTGGCATTCAACGGATCCTCCAGAGCGTTTCTCATGGCCTGCAGATCCCCAGACGCCTGCCTGCCAGGGAACATGGTGGGGCGCGAGGGATGGCGAAAGCAAAGAGTCGATTCATGAGGCGTTTCAAAAACAGACTGCCCTGCCATTTGACGGATCCTCCAGAGCGTTTCTCATGGCCCCCGCACCCGCAGGTCCCCAGACGCCTGGCAGGGAAGGGAGAACGGTGGGGCGAGGGGGATGGCGGAAGCAAAGAGTGTCTATTCCTAAAGAATAGACTGTCTTGCCTTGGCATTCAACGGATCCTCCACCTCCAAAGCATTTCTCATGGCTTGCAGGTCCCCAGACGCCTGGGAGGGAACGAGGCAGGGTTAGGGGATGGTGGAAGGAAAGAGGGGAGCAGGGACAGGGAGAGCGGACGAGACGAGGGTTGGGGAGAGTGAGGGGCATAGAGGTTGTGGGAAAAGCAGGGGATTTGACTTGAGGTAAACAGGGAGTGTGGTTTGCATGGTAGTGAGCAGCGGCGCGCAGTAAAGCGTGCAGTAGGGGGCAGTAAAACACAGTTGAGCACAGTAGCGCACAATGCGTGCATGAAAGAAGCACAGCAAGGTAGAGGCAGCAGCATATACTCAAACCAGAGCAGATGCAAATGCAGATGGGGATGCCAAGGTAAAGCAAAAGCAAAAGCACATGGCAAAAGCAGATGCACAAGCAGATGCAAATGCGAATGCAAATGCAGATGCAAATGCAAAATGCAAAGCGAATGCGGATAGGCGGGTTTCCCTCGAGAAAGCCATTCTTTTCATTGAGAGACCGTCGCCTTCATGCCAAAAGCTATGGGAGGAGGAAACGGCTGTCAGGGTTTCAAAGGCACCTGTTTCCGCTGTGGCCAGGGAATGTGCACATGAACAGGGAATGGATGGAGTGCCTTCAGCCATGAGACTAGGCGAGCTGCAGCTTAGGAGAATTCTTTAGCAGAAGAAAAACAGTAGAGTTTAAAACTCTTGTGTTGCCAGTTCAAAAAACAAGATCGAAACTGAGCTCTAAGTCCACTACAACGATTAAAACGCAAACATGTTTCGGACGACTGGGACAGACCCCCGTCAATCCTTCATCAGTGCTAGCGGAAACAGGGAATGGATGGAGTGGAGTGGAGCATCCCAGCTGAGCCTGGTTTTTGAGAATTCTCAAAAACCAACATGAACAGGGAATGGATGGAGTGGAGTGGAGCATCCCAGCTGAGCCTGGTTTTTGAGAATTCTCAAAAACCAACATGAACAGGGAATGGATGGAGTGGAGTGGAGCATCCCAGCTGAGCCTGGTTTTTGAGAATTCTCAAAAACCAACATGAACAGGGAATGGATGGAGTGGAGTGGAGCATCCCAGCTGAGCCTGGTTTTTGAGAATTCTCAAAAACCAACATGAACAGGGAATGGATGGAGTGGAGTGGAGCATCCCAGCTGAGCCTGGTTTTTGAGAATTCTCAAAAACCAACATGAACAGGGAATGGATGGAGTGGAGTGGAGCATCCCAGCTGAGCCTGGTTTTTGAGAATTCTCAAAAACCAACATGAACAGGGAATGGATGGAGTGGAGTGGAGCATCCCAGCTGAGCCTGGTTTTTGAGAATTCTCAAAAACCAACATGAACAGGGAATGGATGGAGTGGAGTGGAGCATCCCAGCTGAGCCTGGTTTTTGAGAATTCTCAAAAACCAACATGAACAGGGAATGGATGGAGTGGAGTGGAGCATCCCAGCTGAGCCTGGTTTTTGAGAATTCTCAAAAACCAACATGAACAGGGAATGGATGGAGTGGAGTGGAGCATCCCAGCTGAGCCTGGTTTTTGAGAATTCTCAAAAACCAACATGAACAGGGAATGGATGGAGTGGAGTGGAGCATCCCAGCTGAGCCTGGTTTTTGAGAATTCTCAAAAACCAACATGAACAGGGAATGGATGGAGTGGAGTGGAGCATCCCAGCTGAGCCTGGTTTTTGAGAATTCTCAAAAACCAACATGAACAGGGAATGGATGGAGTGGAGTGGAGCATCCCAGCTGAGCCTGGTTTTTGAGAATTCTCAAAAACCAACATGAACAGGGAATGGATGGAGTGGAGTGGAGCATCCCAGCTGAGCCTGGTTTTTGAGAATTCTCAAAAACCAACATGAACAGGGAATGGATGGAGTGGAGTGGAGCATCCCAGCTGAGCCTGGTTTTTGAGAATTCTCAAAAACCAACATGAACAGGGAATGGATGGAGTGGAGTGGAGCATCCCAGCTGAGCCTGGTTTTTGAGAATTCTCAAAAACCAACATGAACAGGGAATGGATGGAGTGGAGTGGAGCATCCCAGCTGAGCCTGGTTTTTGAGAATTCTCAAAAACCAACATGAACAGGGAATGGATGGAGTGGAGTGGAGCATCCCAGCTGAGCCTGGTTTTTGAGAATTCTCAAAAACCAACATGAACAGGGAATGGATGGAGTGGAGTGGAGCATCCCAGCTGAGCCTGGTTTTTGAGAATTCTCAAAAACCAACATGAACAGGGAATGGATGGAGTGGAGTGGAGCATCCCAGCTGAGCCTGGTTTTTGAGAATTCTCAAAAACCAACATGAACAGGGAATGGATGGAGTGGAGTGGAGCATCCCAGCTGAGCCTGGTTTTTGAGAATTCTCAAAAACCAACATGAACAGGGAATGGATGGAGTGGAGTGGAGCATCCCAGCTGAGCCTGGTTTTTGAGAATTCTCAAAAACCAACATGAACAGGGAATGGATGGAGTGGAGTGGAGCATCCCAGCTGAGCCTGGTTTTTGAGAATTCTCAAAAACCAACATGAACAGGGAATGGATGGAGTGGAGTGGAGCATCCCAGCTGAGCCTGGTTTTTGAGAATTCTCAAAAACCAACATGAACAGGGAATGGATGGAGTGGAGTGGAGCATCCCAGCTGAGCCTGGTTTTTGAGAATTCTCAAAAACCAACATGAACAGGGAATGGATGGAGTGGAGTGGAGCATCCCAGCTGAGCCTGGTTTTTGAGAATTCTCAAAAACCAACATGAACAGGGAATGGATGGAGTGGAGTGGAGCATCCCAGCTGAGCCTGGTTTTTGAGAATTCTCAAAAACCAACATGAACAGGGAATGGATGGAGTGGAGTGGAGCATCCCAGCTGAGCCTGGTTTTTGAGAATTCTCAAAAACCAACATGAACAGGGAATGGATGGAGTGGAGTGGAGCATCCCAGCTGAGCCTGGTTTTTGAGAATTCTCAAAAACCAACATGAACAGGGAATGGATGGAGTGGAGTGGAGCATCCCAGCTGAGCCTGGTTTTTGAGAATTCTCAAAAACCAACATGAACAGGGAATGGATGGAGTGGAGTGGAGCATCCCAGCTGAGCCTGGTTTTTGAGAATTCTCAAAAACCAACATGAACAGGGAATGGATGGAGTGGAGTGGAGCATCCCAGCTGAGCCTGGTTTTTGAGAATTCTCAAAAACCAACATGAACAGGGAATGGATGGAGTGGAGTGGAGCATCCCAGCTGAGCCTGGTTTTTGAGAATTCTCAAAAACCAACATGAACAGGGAATGGATGGAGTGGAGTGGAGCATCCCAGCTGAGCCTGGTTTTTGAGAATTCTCAAAAACCAACATGAACAGGGAATGGATGGAGTGGAGTGGAGCATCCCAGCTGAGCCTGGTTTTTGAGAATTCTCAAAAACCAACATGAACAGGGAATGGATGGAGTGGAGTGGAGCATCCCAGCTGAGCCTGGTTTTTGAGAATTCTCAAAAACCAACATGAACAGGGAATGGATGGAGTGGAGTGGAGCATCCCAGCTGAGCCTGGTTTTTGAGAATTCTCAAAAACCAACATGAACAGGGAATGGATGGAGTGGAGTGGAGCATCCCAGCTGAGCCTGGTTTTTGAGAATTCTCAAAAACCAACATGAACAGGGAATGGATGGAGTGGAGTGGAGCATCCCAGCTGAGCCTGGTTTTTGAGAATTCTCAAAAACCAACATGAACAGGGAATGGATGGAGTGGAGTGGAGCATCCCAGCTGAGCCTGGTTTTTGAGAATTCTCAAAAACCAACATGAACAGGGAATGGATGGAGTGGAGTGGAGCATCCCAGCTGAGCCTGGTTTTTGAGAATTCTCAAAAACCAACATGAACAGGGAATGGATGGAGTGGAGTGGAGCATCCCACCTGAGCCTGGTTTTTGAGAATTCTCAAAAACCAACATGAACAGGGAATGGATGGAGTGGAGTGGAGCATCCCAGCTGAGCCTGGTTTTTGAGAATTCTCACAAACCAACATGAACAGGGAATGGATGGAGTGGAGTGGAGCATCCCAGCTGAGCCTGGTTTTTGAGAATTCTCAAAAACCAACATGAACAGGGAATGGATGGAGTGGAGTGGAGCATCCCAGCTGAGCCTGGTTTTTGAGAATTCTCAAAAACCAACATGAACAGGGAATGGATGGAGTGGAGTGGAGCATCCCAGCTGAGCCTGGTTTTTGAGAATTCTCAAAAACCAACATGAACAGGGAATGGATGGAGTGGAGTGGAGCATCCCAGCTGAGCCTGGTTTTTGAGAATTCTCAAAAACCAACATGAACAGGGAATGGATGGAGTGGAGTGGAGCATCCCAGCTGAGCCTGGTTTTTGAGAATTCTCAAAAACCAGCATTAACAGGGAATGGATGGAGTGGAGTGGAGCATCCCAGCTGAGCCTGGTTTTTGAGAATTCTCAAAAACCAACATGAACAGGGAATGGATGGAGTGGAGTGGAGCATCCCAGCTGAGCCTGGTTTTTGAGAATTCTCAAAAACCAGCATGAACAGGGAATGGATGGAGTGGAGTGGAGCATCCCAGCTGAGCCTGGTTTTTGAGAATTCTCAAAAACCAGCATGAACAGGGAATGGATGGAGTGGAGTGGAGCATCCCAGCTGAGCCTGGTTTTTGAGAATTCTCAAAAACCAACATGAACAGGGAATGGATGGAGTGGAGTGGAGCATCCCAGCTGAGCCTGGTTTTTGAGAATTCTCAAAAACCAGCATGAACAGGGAATGGATGGAGTGGAGTGGAGCATCCCAGCTGAGCCTGGTTTTTGAGAATTCTCAAAAACCAACATGAACAGGGAATGGATGGAGTGGAGTGGAGCATCCCAGCTGAGCCTGGTTTTTGAGAATTCTCAAAAACCAGCATGAACAGGGAATGGATGGAGTGGAGTGGAGCATCCCAGCTGAGCCTGGTTTTTGAGAATTCTCAAAAACCAACATGAACAGGGAATGGATGGAGTGGAGTGGAGCATCCCAGCTGAGCCTGGTTTTTGAGAATTCTCAAAAACCAACATGAACAGGGAATGGATGGAGTGGAGTGGAGCATCCCACCTGAGCCTGGTTTTTGAGAATTCTCAAAAACCAACATGAACAGGGAATGGATGGAGTGGAGTGGAGCATCCCACCTGAGCCTGGTTTTTGAGAATTCTCACAAACCAACATGAACAGGGAATGGATGGAGTGGAGTGGAGCATCCCAGCTGAGCCTGGTTTTTGAGAATTCTCAAAAACCAACATGAACAGGGAATGGATGGAGTGGAGTGGAGCATCCCAGCTGAGCCTGGTTTTTGAGAATTCTCAAAAACCAACATGAACAGGGAATGGATGGAGTGGAGTGGAGCATCCCAGCTGAGCCTGGTTTTTGAGAATTCTCAAAAACCAACATGAACAGGGAATGGATGGAGTGGAGTGGAGCATCCCAGCTGAGCCTGGTTTTTGAGAATTCTCAAAAACCAACATGAACAGGGAATGGATGGAGTGGAGTGGAGCATCCCAGCTGAGCCTGGTTTTTGAGAATTCTCAAAAACCAACATGAACAGGGAATGGATGGAGTGGAGTGGAGCATCCCAGCTGAGCCTGGTTTTTGAGAATTCTCAAAAACCAACATG